TCTTTCCTTCTGTCATTATTTGCTTCGATTCTCCTATTTTTCCCTCATGTTATTTCCGCTCTCTCCAGATCTTCTTACCCGTGGCTTGTTGCACTTTGATGTGCGTCTTTTCGTCCTCTCTCACATGCCCACTCTTTTTTTCTTGGTATGGGATACTTCCTCTTTGGATCTCTTCTTTCTCCTCACTCTTTTCATCAGAAATCACAAGCATAATCTTGTGTCTCTTTGCATGGATCCTTGTTTCATCGTCTTCCCTCACGTCACTTCCTCATTATCGACTTCATTTCCGTCGAAAGTGACGCTCTCCGAGGATCCCGCCATCCTCGTTGCTTTCACTAAAATCTTACCATTCTCTTTCTCACCTGTCCTCCCTCGCTCTTGTGTTACAGTTTGGGTAATACAGGTAATCATGGTGAACAAGTGTGCGATATCCATGGAAACCTCTCTGTGGTCAGGTACGAGTTGTACTTACCAGATCTGTTTGCTTGCATGCTGAGGTATTAATTGGTGGAGGGATATTCGTCTGTAGAAGACAGAACTAAATGTGCTACATGAGATTTTTCCACAAACGTTAAACTTATAAAGAATTCCCCATGTGTACGTGTGCATGTGTTTGGATGGGTGCGTGTGTGTGCACGTGATGTAGCTCCCCCTATTACGACACTCTGACTCGGTTCCCTCGGGCCTCTGCTCCTCCAAGCTACTCCGACTGGTGACCCACAGGAGCATTCTCCCCGTTGAAGAGGTATTGATTATTGGTTACATATAACCATCCACTAACCCACTTCTAACTGAAGTAACCATCTAACAACCACCAGCCATTCAATCATCACTAGTCTGACTTTACCCAGGAGACTGTGAGTGATATTTCACCGTCTTTCCGCTGTGTTTCATCCGTTCCTCTTCTTCAACCTTCATCCATCACCATTGTTTCTTTTAACTGCTCATTCAAACAACTGGACTCATCAAGGAGAAATCACTCATGATTTAGGCTCAAAGCCTCATATCCATCTGACACCCCTGACGCCCTGAAATATTAGTAAATATAGAATTCTTTTATATTTATAGCTTTTCACACCGAAGTTAATTTTACAGTAAATTTACAGTTTACAGTAAATTTGCACAATTATTCCTTGCAGCTATTTGACTTCGATGGTCAGTGATGTTTTAAAATGGTATGGTATCATATTTTGACCAAAGTCTATCATCCACCTGAACAATAACAATCATGTTGCAGATGTAGCACAGATTTCATCTGGAATTTGTGTTTGCTCTATCCATCTACAACCTTGATAAATGTTAAAGGCAGGAATCAAAAAGGGTCATACTACTGAGTTTTTATTTGCCTTTGAGTCAAACTAACGCGCTGGCTTTTCTAGAAAAGCCTCTGGGTCTTAAGCCTGGGGGAAAATAAAGCTGTTGATAAACCCAGAGCTGATTTTATTTTTTCTTTCTCTGCAGCGGACAAGAGAACTGGAACTGAGCTTTTCCTCATGGTAAATGTTCTTCTGTTTATTCTTTTTCTCATCGTCACTCAGTAAAAAAAGAAAACCCACTGCAGGACAGAGCGCGGGTTATTTCTGACATGGCCTTTCTCTTTTCCAGGACCACTGGACTTTCCATCTTCCCTACTCAGATCTTGTAACACTTCCAAGGACAAAATGGAAGAATGACAACAATCAGGAACTGTGTGAGGCCCCCCCCCCCCCGTTACCCCTTCAAGCCATTTGACAAAGACCTCTGATGCCAGCCAACTGTAATTTATCTCATACATCCCAGCATCCAGTCAGCAGCACCACAGCAGTCCTTCTAGTGTTTCATGCTGTACTTTATCAGATGTCAGAAAATTTTTCCTGCATAGTTAGTTTTACATATAGAGAATGAATTTGTATTTACATCATCAGTTTTAACTTGGTGACACAAGTGTACATTTTTTACGCTTTCAAAACTTTTGAAAGTTTTATATTTTTGTTAATGTTTGTTTTATAACATGTACGTAGGTTTTTTTTTGTAGGAGTAGTTCATTTCTTTTCTTTCTTTTTTTTCTTCATTTCTTTGCTTGGTGAATATTTGTAATGTAGCTTGCATCATTTTGTCTACAGGTTTGCACTGACCAGGTAGATGTTCAAGAATAAGTTTTACATTGTGGAAAATATACTTCTCTGCTTTGTTTCCAAGAGTTTGATGAGAAGATGCCACTCTCACATCTGTGTGTTAAATATCAGCAGCCAGTTAGCGTAGCTTGAGTGAGGAAATGACCAAAGTCAGGCTAACATTGCCATCCATATAGCTATGCTGTTAGCATGGCTAAAGTGTCAGTTTGTGGTTTTACAGTTTTGGATTATGTACGTATTAAAGACACAAGATAGAAAGTTTTACTTGATCTCTTTGCACTTATTAAAAAGATGTAGTACTTTGTTCTTATGCCAACGTTTCCTGTTGCACTGAAGCTTTAGTGTTGTCCCTCACTTGTCAGTCGCTCTGGATAAAAGCGTCTGCCAAATGAGTAAATGTAAATGTAGAAAGTGTAAATTGCTAGGCTTTGGGCCAATTATGTTCATCTTAAAACAGCACCAGATCAGGTGTTTACCCCTGTCTCTGGTCTTTGTTCTAAGCTAAGCAAACAGTCTCTACACTGTAGCTTCATACACAGATGAAGGTGCTATTCATCTTCTCAGCAAACTCTTGGGAAGGATGCAAAACAAGGTATTTCACAAAATGTCAAACTATTCCTTCAAACACTGACCGAGAAAAGCTGCTCAGTATTCAAATCTTTGAGACATGAAGAGATTAGTCCAGAGTTTATACTGGTTCATGCTACTGTAAGAGGCAGTGTTTCAAGCGATTCAACACACACATAAGCTACATACATATTACCCTTACAAGGTGTTAAGACAGCTAACAAACAAAAAATTGTGTCTAAGGCACTTCTCGCCAGACCATTAGTGAGGGCCTAGTTGATTGTGTTGTCAGAGGTTTTGTTTGGTTTTTTTTCGCCATCATGTGGTTTGAGAAATAAAACTCCCAGAAGCCTCTGTGTCTTCGTCAGAGATCAAATGGAGGAAAACACACACACACACATACATACGCACACACACAAAAAACAGCTGGAGTTTATGGTGAGGGCGCAAATCTGTGAATAAAAACTTCCGTCCACTAAGTGTCTGCTTTGCTTTTCTTCCATTAAACACAGGATTCATGAACCACTGTTGTCTGGCTCACATACCAAAGCAAAGAAACACACCCACTGAGGAAATTCGGGAAGCTTTTTTTTGTTGAGGGGTCATAAACCACCTACAATTTAAACTTTACATAAGCTCTGAGCCACAGGTTTAAGTGAAAGAGGAGCCCATCTGCCAAAACACAGTACACCTGTGATCATTCATGTTGAAATGGTTCAGGTCTGTTTTGGGGGGCAGGTTTGCAGGGAGTGGTGGGGGGGCTTAGCAGTGGTTGAGGTGGCGTGACACAGTTGCAACCTATCGGCAGACGACTACACTTACTTAATTGTGGAGAACATCTGTTCCAGACAACATAAACACACTTCTCACATGGGGGGGGCAACTTTTTCTCTTTCCTACCAAGTTGATGGCTATAAAAAATAAAACTTCCTGAATGTACTGAGGGCATGTGTGTATTTGTACACATACTTTACACAGTAGCAGACTATGTGTGCAACTCTCCTCTTCCTCTCAGCCGATCCATATGGAATATTTAAGTCTCTTAAAAGGCAGCATGTGTTTCTCTGTTCAGTTCAAACTCACTGTGGAGTTCAGTCAGGCCTGGTTAGAGCTATGAAATGACACTGGACACCACCGCAGTGTATACATGTATTCAGTTATGTATTTAGCCTTTAATGAGTTCAGTCTTTGCTCGGGAGATTTCGGGATTTACGGGATAATGCTTAAACAGTTTAACAGTAGCGTAAGTCAAGAAGAGACATAGAGTCAATGAACTCACTCAGTAATTTCATGAATCAATGTCGATAATATCAGCTAATATTACTCGCCATAACCTTGCCCTTGTTTGTTCCTCTAATGCATTGTCATTATATTCTCCACTAACCATCTGGATAAAACAACGCTTTGCAATAAAAGAGAAGAAGTAATTGTGTGACAAGATATTTTCAAATTATATCACATTACAAAACAAATTTTTATTGCACATATACAGGAAGATATTCTGATACAGCCCATTGAGTCCAGTATTCAAACCCAAGACTGTCAGTCAATATTTTAGTGCACAGTGTAATATTTTCTTATTTGCATTCAACATTCAGTCTGACAAAATTTGGCACTTTTGGAAAATCTGTGAAGTTCTGTGAGTTTGAACAAAGTTTGGCTGCACAGCAATAGTTTGTAGTACAACAACAAAAGTCTTGAAAAAGTCAACCTCTGCATCTGTAGAAGAACATGATGAGGTTTTTTTATTTTTACAGGGTCACAGATCAACTTTAAACCTTCAGCAAATAACCCTGGGCTGCAAATATGGCTCTGGACCCACGGTTTTCTCCCCCACCTCTCCCCCTCATCAATAGTCAAAGACCCTCTTATGTGAGATTATGTAATGTCTTACCACTCTTTTTCACAACCTTTGGCTTCATGTGTGAACCCTCCTTCAGTCTTGTAACTCTCCTCCCCCTCCTCAGCTCCCACAGATCCAATGACCCTCTCCCCTCTTCCTTCCTCAGTTTATGTTTTCCCCCTCCTTCCATCCATCCATCCCGTCCATCACTTTTTTAGTTTTGAGCACACCACACAAGCCCCATGTAGTTGGTGTGTGTGTGTGTGTGTGTGTGCGTGTGCACATGTGAGGGAGGGGTCAGTGCTGGAGGCGGTGTTTGAGTCCCTCACTTCACCTGAATAATACCTTCTTTGTAAGCTTCAGCCTTATAAAGCCAAACTCAGATGCCTTCGACCCTTCCACACCTTAACCTTCTGTGCAGACACATCCATACACATGATCCCATACCTACGCCCGTCCATCACTGACACACCACCATGAGAGCCAGGATGAGAGTGTTGCTGCTGGTTCTAGCAGCAACTGTTTTTGTGTCAAATGCTCAGACGAACAACAGCAGCAATGACAACAAGCAGCAGCAGCAGCAGCAGCAACAGCAGCAGCAAGAACGAAGCATCTGGGACGAGTCCATCAAATTCACCACCAAGACCAAGGATTCCTGTACCATGGTGGTGTCCGGAGCCGGTGACTATACTCGCCTGCGTGTCTCCTGCAAAGGTCCTAGCCAGGGCCAGACCCCAGGACGCTCCTACTACTGCGACTTCCAGGGAAAACCCAACCTCTGCCGCGCCTACAACCTCAACCCTCGCCACTACTTCACCCAGATGATGTGGGAGTTGAGGAAGCTGAGCCACGCCTGCCAGGGACCCAAAGTCTACCGCACACAGATGTGTAAGAAATACCCCGACGAGGCACAGATGACCTTCCTGGCCTCCTGGCCCAAGACCACCACCCCCAAGCCCTCCAAGCCTGTGCAGGAGCCACGCAAACCTGTGGTGCCAGCCCAGACCAAGCCCGTCACTACTCCTAAACCCGTCAAGCCCCAGCCTCAGCAGCCCGTCAAGCCCCAGCCAGGCAAGGGCCCCCAGACCAGGAAAACTACCCCCAAGCCTGGGAAGACCACTACTCGTCCCACAGAGCAGCCTGACTCCAAAGCCTCCCGCATCGCCTCAGAGTACTGCTGGAAGAGCTTCCAGGGCATCTGCACCTACGTCATCAGCTGGTTCCAAAACTGAGATGATACTCAGACACAGGTGAGTGATGGAAAAATGACAGATAGGAAAAGGAAAGTTACAGAAATTACAGAAGAAGAATAGAAAGAGGAAGATTGAAAAAGTTAGAATAAAAAAGACTGAAAAAGACAAGAATGTTAAACAGAGAATGAGTGTAAATCCAGAATACAAAATACAATCGACACAGATATTTTTTAAAGACAAACTGTCAGTTAAATCAACTCAAATTTAAAGTCTCTAAGTTTACGGAGGACTAAATCTCTGTGCAGCCTGCCCGTTCACAAAATAAACAAACTTTATCCTGAATTTATTCTAAAAATTCTTTTTTTGTGTTTGTTGTTTAAGGTTGGAAACACCAGTGATGGACCTGGTCAGAATTCTCCAGGATCTGTGTGGGAGCCTCTGGAGTCACCTTTTTGACTGAGCCAAAAACACTCGAACTACACATGTGTACAGTTAGCAGATGACTGCTTGTGCTGTCATGTGGTAAACATGTCATTTTTAAATCTGTAATACACACAGCAAGGCAAAGGGAAAAATGGCAGGCATGTGATTCTGTTTGTATATGATGTAAAATGTTTCAACAACATTTTTTGATAAGAAGAATAAAGTCAGACTGGTGACGTCTCCTCTACTCCTGTGTCGTTCTGTTCCTTCTTCTGAGGTGAAACAAGCAGTGAGTTGTCACACTTACTCATTCAAAGGAGTCCTTGTTTCTTTTCATCGCCGGCTGTAACAACATGTCTGCTGCCTGGCTCAGGAAGTTGTTAACGTACAGACACAAACTGCAGTAAAGATAATAGGGTTCGGTCCCAGAAGGCGTCTGAGCAGAGCTAAACACTTCTTTGTATGAGCTGATGAATCGAGTCTTAAGAGCTACCGTGTGTAGGAACAGAGGAGGTCTGTGTGGAGGTCGAAGCCAAAGAGTGGCTGCAGCACCAGTGTTGTTAACACACACTCAAACACAAACACACACTTGTGGATGATGAGGGAAGATACAAATCATTTTTACTGGCGTCACAGTCACTTCAGCCACTTCTTTAAATCATTTAATCCCTTAGCAAGCAGTTGATCTGGCATTACAGACCTACACTGTGAGGCCAATTATTGTTAAAATACACAGAACTACATTTAAATTTATGATGGTGATTTGAAAGTTTCCAAAAATGCCAACAATATTAGGGTGTGTATAAAATTGTCTGTATATTTAAGTAAAAGAGTAGTTCATGAAATCAGTTTATGGAGCCGACATTTAAACTCTCCATACATGGTGCATAAGAAGATGTGAAATCCATGTACATCCAACTATCCAATATTCAAATGCAACAATTCATGTCAGGAGCTTAAGTAAGCCGTTGTACATTTCTGTGACAGCTCTAGAAAGTCACACACACTGAGCTCGGCATCTCAACAGCAAAACAAATAAAGAATAACATTTCTGACAAAGAGACGTCTTTATTGAACTTTCTGTCTATTTTACAGCGCAACATCACCTGAGGAGTCTCTGCACACACAAATTGAACTAAACAACAGACACAAAGTGTAGGTCCACTATGTGCACTTAAGGACACGCACAGAGGCAGAAATCCAGTTGCCTCAGTTAAATCATGTCAGTACAACAATGACGAACTTGAACTCAGTTGGGTATTTGCATACCCAATGAATCTAGGGGGGGAATCTAGGGGGTAAAAAAGTTCAGATTCCAGCTCCTGAACTTGAAACAGATGCTTATTCCAAATGTGGAGGGCTCAATGAGCAAAGCCTCTAGCCCCAAAGAGTTTTCACTTAGAGCAGAAAGGAAGTGATGAAGTAATCAGACTGGATAAGAAGGGGGAGCAAATCTGACTAAGGCCTCTCAGGTCAGTCAGCTCTGGCTTATATTGGTAGCCAATGCAAAGACATCAGGATATATGTGATAAATGTGTATAAATGTGATCAGACTTCTTGGATATGCAGCAGAAAATATAACAAAATCAGAAGAAAAAAAATTAAATTAAAAAATTAATTATATGTTCTGTAAACGATCGTCACTGCCACTAGATGTCGGACTAGACCACCAGCAGCTCAGACCAAAACAAACGCTTCGTCCGCCACGCCTCCGGCTTACCTTCGGCGGGCTGGTCATGGGGACTCCCAAATCAGCAGGTGGCCCTTTAAAACCTCAGTGATATTTTTTAAAGTTTTCCCCGGATCCGTCAGTGGCATTCCTGCGGGCAGTCGCGGCAGATGAGTCCAAGGCTGAATTTCTCTCTCAAACCGACCATGGAGCTAATACTGGTCTGGCATTACCGAGGTGGAGAACCCGAAAAGCTGCTCAATGGCTCCAGCTTGACTCGGAACTGGCTTGTCTTCTCCTCTATGTGTAAGTAACTTGGTGGCTACATAAGGTTACATGTCTGTTTTAACTAGCAACCGGCTGCAGTAGGCATGGTAACGTTAGCTAACTTACGTATACGGCAAATGTTGCTAACGCTAGCCGGCTTACTGCTAGCATAACTGTGGAGAATATCACGGCAATGCTAGCGCGGGCTAACGGTTGTGGCTGGATTGTGTTTTGTTGGCTCTCGTGTACATGGGGATAAGATTATTAAGTTATGTTTCTTGTTGTGTGTTTGGTGGTTCCTTTCACTGGGCTTCTTAACAGCTTGCTGACTGAGCATGTGACGGGAGGGGAGTGGAGGGGTTGTGGCCTAACGGAAGCCGGAGTTGTGGCCGGCGAAGCATTTGTTTTGGTCCGAGATACTGGTGGTCTAGTGCGACATCTAATGGCAGTGAAGATCGTCTACAGAACTTTTTCATCCACTTTTACTTTGGTAAAATAAAGAAAACAATATACACAAATTTTACTGTGAGCTCAAAAAGAGTAAAGTATATGTCTTATGCACATTAACCATAACGTGAGGTCCGTCCTTTTTATCACATGTGGTGATGGTGGTGGTGGTAGGCAAACAGTGGCCTTTAAGCCAAATCTGGTGTGACACAGGCTGAAGTTCTTGTTTACAGAAATTTTTTCGCAAATTTACTGTAAATATAAATGTAAATATCAATTAAGCTAATGTAATTCCCAATTATTATGACCTTTGAACACCTCATCCAGCCTGCTCTGTTGTCCAGCAGTAAAACACAAAATATATCTGAATATGAATAATTTTTGTCAAAGAAATATTAAGATACACAGCTGTAATTCTGTTAGCCTTCAATCACTGACAATTAGAATGAATTACAAAAATTGAAGCTAAAATTAAATGTATTGCAAACAGGCCTATCTAGACATATGTTGTTTCCTGTTGTCATTCACAGGATCAATACACATCTTCATCAGTCAGTAACCTCTAGAAAACACAAGGTGGTGCTGCTCAGCAGAGAAGAAACAGTCCCTGTACTGAAAAGCTTCATACTTTTCTTTCTCTCCATCTCACTCTGTCTCCTCTTAATGTCTGTCATATACGTATATGCACACACAAACACAAACACACACACACACACACACACACACACACACACCTTCCCTGCTACTGTAAATCCTCTACTTCTATTTCCGACACAGTGACTCACAGAGATAAACTGCTGTAACTTGTAAGCTTGTTGGACCTGTGCCAACATGAGCCTTATAGGGCTCCTTCCTTGTTATCACAAAGTCTTTGCTCCTACCTGCAGGTAGTTGCATCATTACAGGAGTGAAACGTGATGACAGGGTGGGGTGGATTTATTAACTTACCCTCATAGAAGTAGTTGTGTGTTGTAAGTGATATTCAGGTCAGCTTCATAGCACCGAAACACACTTCAAAAAATTTGCAATATTAAAAAGATTTCATTTAAAATTGCATGGTTTAGCATTAAGTTTAAGCATTAAGTATGCCTCAACAGCTAACACAAGGCTGAAGCCTACATTTTGGTTTGTGTTGTATGGCGGGTTTCCATCTGGACTCCAGTGAAGTACACTCTGCACCATCACTTATTTTCTGCAGTTTCTTGCAAAAAATAAAATGCTATTTGCATAACCTTACATTCCTTTAGCTCTGTTCATCTAAGCATGCAGCTTCTCTCTCTTTTGTCTGCAAAAACGCTTTGTCTTTATCGCCAAATAATATCTGATTTCTACTAGAGGTAGATGTCCACAAAGCTGTGTAGAAACCCCTGTATGATTCAACCTTTCAAAAAGAGTAGTTAATGAAACAGTTTCCCATGAGTTGTGATGCGATCACCTTACATGTGAACTGTATTTAATTTCTTATGTTTTTCTGCTGGATTTGGGTCTGTATATAGCAAAAACCAATATTTTGTCAAGCTTTACCTGTTCTGAAGTAATGTATTGAGTTGTTATCCCTAAAGTTTTATAGGCATCTGTGTCATTTTTGTATTGTATTTTTGGTGTCTGGCAGCTTCATACTTACTTAATGACAAAATAAGAAGTCATACTAATACCTGAGTTTATGCTGAAGTAATGACACCATGCATGTGGGGTAATCACAGTTTAAACCATGCTAAACAAAGACAGAAATTAATGCATAGAAAGTCAGCAAATATTAACCAGAACAAACCAATAGAGAGATGTTTGTTGTAGGAAACAGCCTATACGTAAGCCCGAGTCTGCCAACAAACATGAAGACTTTTACTCTCTTCTATTCTGAGTTTAGTACAAGGACCTCACAGAGTTAATGTCAGGAGGAAATCAATGGAGTAAAGAGGACCAGAGAGTTTATAGGGACAGAAGGAGCTGACATGGTAAATGTGTTACTACTGAAAAGATAATAAAGGCATTCAGAACTGAGGTCAATGTCATAATAAAAACACATGACAAAGCATCTGTTGTACCATCAAAAATAATGTAAATTTTCAGAACTTTTTATAACTGAATGAATGCTTTTTTTATTTTGACATGTCAAAATAGAAGAAAAGCACAGGTGTAAATGATAAAATCATTGATGGCTGAACTATTTAGCTGCTTCAGTTTCAGGGTCATGACTTCCTGGGACACTTAAATAGCCACTGTTAATGTTATCAGTAACACCTATGCTTTTCCTACAATGACAAGCCCAAAAAAATCTTTTAAGCTGTATCCTTAAAACACTGCATTAAATTATTCATTCACTACATTTAAAGATTCTACTGACAAAATCAGTTTTTCATTCTGTCCAGCTTTGACACACCAACCAAACCCTAACAACCACTTTACAGAACAAAATATTTGGGTGTCTTCCTATAGCAATCTATGTATACAGCAAATCTACATGTCTGTGTCACTAACTGCTTTCTGGGCCATAGCTGCCAAAATAATGTCACCAAAATGTTCCATTTTTTATTTTTTTATTTTGATTGTATAACACTGTCTTCCTCAGCAAAAGGAGTCTGTTGTAATGGAATTATATAGAGCTGAAACTAATGATTATTTTCATAATCGATTAATCTGCTATATAATATAGGCAACAGATCCTGACATTTAACAAGCTACAGCCAAAGAATTTTTGATATTTTTGCTTGAAAAAGGACGGAAACAATTAATCATCATTGCAAGTTGAATGAACTTAAATGTTGATTTATTTATCTTGTCTGTATGATGTTTGATGCTCATTTTGAATACAAAACCATACTTCTAAAATGTTGGAAATAATTGGGATTGAAAGGAAAAGTTGCCAATTAGTCGACTAATCGACTGTTCGTTGCAGAATTATGTAGATGATAAAACTTAAATCTTGGTCATGTGTTGGTGAAAAACTTGAGATTGAAGGTTTATTCTTTAAAAAGGGCTCAATCCTGGGTGATATAATCAAAAGCTCTGGAACAGACATTAAATGGACCGTTTTAACTCTTTCAATCACATATGTGTAATATACAAAATTGACATATATGGATCTATTAATGTAGACTAACTGTAGAGACTTGGTGCACTTCGTCAATCATAATCATGTTAAACGTTAGCATGGCTTACTGTGTGCTTGTGTGTGGGGGATGCGATGCTGAGTTATAATGTGGTAATTTGTCTTGTTAAAGTTCTTTAGAATAGACCCCCACAGTGTGTGAAGACACGCAAATCCATCATCAGTTTTAGTTTATAGTGTCTTTGATCTTCAGTTGAGCTGTAGAGGGCGGGAGTTGTGTGTGTGTGTGTGTGTGTGTGTGTGTGTGTGTGTGTGTGCGCGCTTTGGGAGGGGAATGGTGGGCGTGCCGCAGCATCTAGACATATGTATGAAAGCCATGTGCGGGACGACAGACAGCCACAAAAAGAAGCTTTAGGCACGACAACACTTGTCATTGTCGGTAAGTGAAGTCTCATTAAGACTCTCATAAGACTCATTATATTTGACTTTCTTCTTTGTATGTAGTGTTTGTATAGCTAGTGTACTGTGGTATGGCCTACTTACTTTTTAACAACAGACTCTGGATTTATAGCAGTTTTAATTGCAGCCTGTGAATTTATATGCGTAACAGAGTGTCCAGGTTTGGATAAAAACCCTTTGTCCGCTAGAAAAATTCTTTAATAATTAACATTATTAATAATAATTAATAAAATAACAGATTGACAATATGAACAGCTTTTATTTTTCTGGATGCCGTCTTTAATTTTTGTGAACACCCAACAACTAATTTTAATCAGTTTTGACATCCTGTGTCCTTTCAGTGAATAAATTGTCTTCTAAAAGACAACATGTTGCTGCTGAGAACTTTCGCTCCCTGGCTGCTGTTGGCCTTCCTCGGGCAGCAGGTCTCTCTGTCCTCCGGTGCGCGCAACAAGACGCGTGGAGCAGACAAGACCGTGGTCCCAACCACTGGCAGAGCGCAGAGGAGCGGGAACAAGGGTGCAGCGACCGGGCGGGGGAAATTCTCCCTCAAGGACGAGATGCAGTGCACGTGGGGAGCGAGAGACATGGGGGACACGGTGAGACTGTCGGTCAAATGTGAGGACCCGAAGGCGCGCGTCAAAGGCGGGATCACCGATATGGAGTGTGAATACACCGCTAAACCTCAGAGCTGCCGGGGCTACGGGTCCGACCCCAAGGGCTTCTGGAAACAAGTGGCCCGCGCGATCAAAAGGCTGCAAGGCAAAGTGTGTAAGGATGAACGCGCGCTGGTGAAGGCTGGCATGTGTAAGCGCGCGCCCCGGGATGCGCACTTCAAGCTGGACATCACCAGCTCCGTGATCTCCGCTCAGTCAGGAGACCCGGAGACCCCTCCGCCGCTGCCGACTCGCTCCACCTCCGCCGGGCCGACAGCCTGCACAGGGCGCGCGGACCACCGGAAAACGGCAGAAGAGTATTGCAACAGCTCGTGGGCCAGTGTGTGCTCTTTCTTTTTCTCCATGCTGCAGGGTGAAGACTGTTAGCTTCAGATCCCACGAGGGGAAGTGGACTTGATCAGACTGAATATAGGATTTATATTAGGCATATGTCAACAAATGTTTAATTTTGAATCAGTAATATTCTCTCAACTCCACGCTTTCCAGTTACCACATACACCAATATTTCAGGTTTTACATTAGTCCCGCAGGTGTGCTTATTTATCAGGTGTTTATTTTTATATACAGTCATGTTTATGAATCTAAAGTGAGGATTTTATTTCCGTTAAATGCAGTAATTTATCACCAGTTGTGGGAAGTAGCTAAATTCAGTTGCTGGGGTAGAACATTTTTTGAGGTATTTACAGGCCTACCTTACTCCAGTATTTCATATGCTACTTTAAACATCTATTCGTCTCCATTTCAGAGGTAAATATTGTACGTTTTCCTCCACTACAAGTATCTGTCAGCTGTAGTTGTTCATAAAGATGTAGTTTCTTTTCAGATTAAAATGTTCATCCAAATTTATATGTAATGAGATTATAAAATATGATGCATTTTACATATTAAACTACCCAACAGTATGTAAAGCAGACGAAATTAGCTTTACACATTAAAATTCTCCTCACACATCAATGCAATAGTAATAATAATGCAGTAATTTAATACAGTATATAATTTAACACTCCTGAAGTGACCATTCCACATAATGAGTACTTCTAGTTTTGATACTTGAATCTTATGTATTTTTACTTCAGTAAATTTTCTTTTTGACATTTATTTAAAAATGTCAAGACATGTTGTACACAACAGGTACACACATACACAAACAGAGAGACGGAACACAGTGGAGATTTTTTATAATATTGACTTGGACTAAAGTGATAAACTTTGAACTGAATCAACTAGTTTCTGCCACTGAGTGTGTTCTGTGCTCTGAAGCCATGCAGCCAGTGCCCATGTCACCACTTTCCTAACAGGATCGCTAAACACAGATACAAACACTGAAAGTAGCTGCCTGCAATCAAGAGATTGTTTACAATGTCAGAAAAAAACTGAGTTTTGAATTTTGGATTTGACATAATGTCTTGTTTGTAGACATGTAAAGTTAAGTCAAGTTTTCCCTGTAATAGAATATTTTTAGTTGTTTTATTCAAGTAAAGAACCAGAATACTTCTTCCACCAATGTTTATCACATAGAACTGAAGATTTACGATTAAAGTGGAGTGGTACGCTCTTCTACCTCTGGTCAACTTTATCATTCAGCCACTAGTTTCACATAAGCACCACTGTATTTATGCACCACAAATAAATATTTTCTATTTATACAATGTGCTCTGTTGCCTTGAACAATATGAAATGTAACTTTTAATAGAATGGGGAGAGGCAGTGGTTGTATGAACACCCCTATAAGATAAATGTACATCTGGATTGTAAATGTGAAAAAATACTCTGAAAATACCCATTTTATCACATTTTTCTCTTATTGAGTCCTAAAGAAATGTGTTTTCTAAAAACAAATTGTTTCCAACCAATACAAACCAACTTGTTTTAAGAAAGTTTCTATGAGCGAGTGTCATTTTTCTTCATTTCAGCGCAGAAATCGACCTTATTATATCTCATCTCAAGACACTAACAATCAGTTTGCAAACAAAAATGCACATCTGTCTTGCGCAGGTGCTGAGCCCAGAAAGCCAATTGTGATTTCTGCATCCTGAGGACTCACAATGTACAACACATCTTTAAAACTACTTTTGCGTCGCATTAGAAAAGGTACAAAGCTTTGTCAGACAGTCTGTGCTTTTTCTGATGTAATGAAATAGGAATTCTAACGAGAGTGGTGTCAAGATGGTGACAACAATTTATTTTTATGAATAATTCTTAAAGGATAGGTTCACAGTTTTTCAACACTCTCTTAAAACAATCAGGTGTTCATATGAATGATTGAACAGGTTTTGCTTGTAATCATTCCTCCATTAGTGTCTTCAAAAGTATCAAGTTATTATGAGGTATTCAGCAGTCGTGTGAGTTAGACAGATCAAGTGGATATCTAGAAGCCTTTTTAGTATAAAAGTTCTTTATGGTTCCACAGACATTGTTTCCCTGTTGAACTGCAGTGGAAGAATAAACACAAAACTTTGGAAGATATCCACTTGACTTGTTTCATTCGGACGGCTGAAGCTTCACATTAATCACCTACATAGGAAAGACATAAAGAAAGGTTCTTTTACTGGCCAGTATGGACCAGAGCAATGTTTCTGTTTCAATGTACATATGGGCACCTGACTGCTGTTTTAAGATACACATTAAAAAACTGTGAACATATAAAGCATGATGACAACACTGGCCATTTTTTGTACCTGTTCTGGGAAAACAAGACTTTTAGGAGTTAATAGTATACCAAATCTGTTTGATAAAATGGAAAACAAAATCACAACAACTTCACTGTCATGTCAGACTTAATGTCATGAATACTCTTTCTGGCAGATTAAATCATTTGTGAATTACACTACTTTTTGCTGACATGCCCTCAGGTTAAAGTACCACATACTCATGATGAAAGACTCTATTTTTCATACACAAAAGTGGAGCAATTGTACACAGTGTCCAAATACAGGGCTTGTTCCTCCATTGTCCTGCAGCGATCTCTAATTACTTGCTGAGTGACAGCAGCCAACTGCCCTTTCCACATAGCCAGATTGGAAGTAAAGACTGCTACCATCCAGCTGCATGTGTGAGCAGTGTGTGTGTGTAATCCCTGAACAAGTGCAACCCCAGATGTGGATTTTTATGTTTTTCCTGTCTGCTCTTGACCTTTCGTCACCTCTGACCTGCTGCTCTTTGTCCCCTCAGACACACACTTAAAAAGCCGGCTTGAGAGTAATTTCCATCTTTAAACGGACGTCCGCTCTCTTTGATGGCACAAAAGGGATTTTTGTAGACGTATTGTTTTATTGACTCCTCCAGAGCTCAAGGACACATTCCATCACCGCCACACAGTCAGGGAGGAAGTAGTTAGAGGTTAAAGGTCAAGGGTGAAAAAGGAAATGAGGATACCATCCAAAGGTCTGCGCTGTAAGCATCAACCACCTCTTCTTCACCTCTATGAGTCATCGTGTGAGTTTATTTCTTTTGTCTTTCGGCTCCAGCAGGCTTTGATCAAAAGAAGCTCCACCATCAGGATGATGTGGGATAATTGGTTTAGACAGAGAGTGGAGAAACTGCAGAGCTATAAATCAGAGTCTGTCTGGGATTTTAACCCTAACTGCATTTTAAATGATGGAGTTTGTAGTTAATCAACCAATTAATCAATAATAGGCAAATCATTGTTACTCATTACTAAACATTCACAGGTTCCTGCTCTTCATTTCTAAGGGTTTGGCTCTTGCTTCTCTTTTATATCATTGTACACTGAACATCACTGGCTTCAGACTGATGGTCGCACAGAACAAACAGCAGGAACTGAGCTGCCGAGTTCATCAGTTGTCATGGAAATGTGTAGATGGACTAAATGGACATTGCTTATTCCAAAGTCAAGAGTAAACTTTGAACCTCAACTTTAAAGCCATCATCATAAAGGAGAAATCCTTAAACCTGCAGTGACTCAGGAGCTCTGCAGTGTTCTTGGCGGCATAGTGACATTCATAGTGTTGCACAGTTGTTGTTCAGTGGACAGAGATAGCTGTGTAAAAAAGGAAAAAAATCTTTAGAGAGTGGCTTTGAATGTGGGACTGTTGGTTTGTCGAAGTTACGGATATTGTCAGATACAGACTCCTGAATCCAACAGTGGAAAGGTGCGAGGGGAGGGGGTGCAGATGGAGTATACTGACGTCTGTTCTGTCCCCTCATTTCTTCTATCAAGTGAAGGCAAAAAAGCTCTTTCACATCCCCAAAAAGCATTTCACAGTCCGAATGTTACACCCCATGACTACTAAATTGACTTTGACATGTAAATTGGTGGAATGCCCCTTTAAGCTCACACTGTACAATTTTCAGTGATGTGAAAAGCCTGTAAGTACAACAGACTAGCAGCCCTGTCAAGACAAATACCCTCAAACTGTCAGTAACCCCTGTAATATTTTAATGAGACAAGGAAATCCCTGAAGGAAAAACCATTATTGTCAATAACCGTTAACTCATCTGAGTCATATTTAGGTATGTGTGCCCTTTTCCTTTTCATATCTGATATAATAGACGCATGCCTCATCGTGTCTCTGAGGAAGTTGGTGGTGACGCTTTACAAACACCCGTGGGAGCACCAGCCTTTGACTCCTCTACTCAAAGTATTCAAATAACATCTTTTAAAACCCCTTTGAGCTTTGCAAGTAAAAGCATGATCGCACGAACAGCAGATCCACCTCTGACCGAGTGTTTTCCTGATGAAACAAGCAGGTGCAAACAGGTTTCTCAGCCAAATGCTTTTGTGTGGTTGCAGACACTCTTCTCCTGAGAAGTTAAACTTTTAAGACTTTGATGTCAAAGGAACTAGTCTTTGCTGGATTTGGGACACAATGAGAGAGAACCTTAGCTTTGCTGCACAGTTTGAGATGAGGGAGGCTTTGCTGAATTTGCTACCATTAACAAAGGTGAGAAAAGACTCTAAATTATAAGACACAGGGATGTTTGGACATCACGGTTGCATGACCCACGAGGACACACATTTATCTGTCTGTCTGTCTGTCTGTCTGTCTGTTTGTCCGTCCGTCCGTCCGTCCGTCCGTCCGCCCGCCCGTCCGTTCGTCCGTCCGTCCGTCCGTGCTTCCTTGCTTCCTTCCTTCCTTCCTTCCTTATATACCTGTGAATTGCTTGAGCTGTTTTGTGCTCAAAGACACAAATCTCTAACATTTTATTCCATACTTTGCAGTTATGACTGGATATACAATTACACAATAAATATAATTGAATTCTGTACATAATATTATATAATTTATGTGTTGCAGAGAACAAAATGTCTTTTTTAGTAATGAAATAGGTGTGGAGACTGGCAGTTTGTACAATGTACAATACAGTTTCTGATGTGTGGATTGCATCAAAGCGACTGAGGAGAAACTGTAATTGAGCAAAGTGATGGTGGCATAGACATGGACTTCACTCTTTTATGGTGCAAGGCTGGAGCAGATCTTGACGGTGTTCGCTGAAGGAGATTGTCTCCAGCTGTCCAACCATACCAACAAACACATGTTAATGTAAGCTGCCTGCTCCAGCCTTGTTCCAGCCCTGTGGTCTCAGGCTCCTGGTCACCTCAAGTGCATCATATCTTATCTGAGCTGCGTCAGGTGCTTGGACATCGGTCTACCTGCTTACAAGTCTAGTTGTATTTATTTTTCTTTTATTTTTTTTATCTTGTATTGTTTCTGTGTGAGTCTGTTGCTTTTGACTTTTATTGCAAAGCACTTAGTGACATCTGCCGTAGAGGGTAGTTAGCATTGTAAGAGGTAAAATTCAGTTGTGTTTGACTTCAATGTAATTGAGAAATAGGAGGAGGATGGAGGATATAACCAGCAATGGGAGGATAGTCTAATACAAAAGACTCTGAAATCACTGAGCCTGGAATGCCAGGGCACGCCTTCAGGAATTTGGGTGTTTTGACAGCTTCTACCACCAGATTACTCTTAAAACTATGGATTTGTGGTCATCACTTGATGTTAGGTCATGAAAGCAGCTGAGAAAATCAGCCTCATGCTCTTTCATAGAAAGCAACACTTAGCAGGGTTGATATAAAACCATCTGAAAGAACTATGTTTTATTCTTCATTACTTTGTATGTTACTATATCAAACTAATGTGCAGGCATTCATAATCGTCTTACATCCAAGTAAGTCTACGTATGTAAACTTTATATCCTGTGTCTTAATGACTTAAGACCATTCAGAAGCAGTTCCTGATATAGTGATGATTTGGCAGAGAAGACAATGAAATGTCACATTCCCAGGATCCAAGGCTCGCCATAGTGCTTGTTTTGTTCAACAGTCACAAAACCAAAAGATATTCAGTTTACTATCTCACACAACAGACATGTCCTCACTTTTGGGAAGCTCCAGCTGTAGAAAAGTTTGGCATTTTTGCTTGAAAAATGAATTAAATTCTTAATCAATTATCAAAACAGGTGTTGGTTAATTGTCTGTTGATCAACTAATAAGTGAATCAAGTAATTGTTTCAGCTCTTCATCAGTGTAAATACACCAGCAGCTCCGTGCAGGAGAATAATGTCAGTATCAGCCTTGGGCAGGTTTGAGCCACTTTTCTCTGCTTGCAAGTTCAGACGGTTACAGAAAGTTTTGTCATTCATGTGTAACGGAAGCTGTTACTGGAAAACAAACTTCCCATTAGAGTCAACTGGAACTTGAACTTCACAGAGTCTCAGTCAGTGTGATGAAGGAGAGGAGGGGCTGGATGTCAGGAGGGGAGAAAAACATCAGAACACAACTCACCGCTCCATTAAGTACTTCAGATCTGACCTACAAAGCTGACCTAACACATGCCCACCCACAGCCTCCCACACCCAAAACACGCAAAGCAGCGAGGGGGAGGAGTCAAAGGTATTGTTCTTCCTGTGGCTCGAGGTGGCCTGACCCCACACCCTGCTGTTCAGACCTCGTTATTGGCTGCCTGTTTCTGTGGCAACAATCAATGGCAGCCGCTTCTGCGAAAAGAATAACAGGACCTGAGGTGACCCCTCCTTCAACAGAAAAACACGCAGAACAAAACATTTTCCTTTCAAATCATTTCAGGGGCAACAGTTACTTTATGTTCTATTCGGCAGGTATTAATTTAAAGTACATGAAGTTCAGGCCAAAAGGTCACTCTAAATATCCAGCTGTACAGGTTCAGTGAATGCAAAGAGCATAGAAGTGACAATCGTAATCTTTTCATGAGGCCTCTTCAGCAGTAGATAATCTGCAAAGTATGCAGCAGTGAAAACTTCCTGTCTGTGATGTTGGCAGCAGTGATGGTGTGTGTGCCATCTATGACTTTTGAGTATTTAAAGGCTCACCCAAATCACCAAAACATTCCATTCACTACCCTGATTGTAGTGGAGATACACTCCAAATCTGGACAAATCTGGACACTTAATTATGATTTGTGATGGTACAAACTCTCCCATCAAATGTTTATGGCTTTCATGATGCTTTCACAACTTTAATCTGTGCCATCTATAGTATTATATCACGTTATTCCAAGCACAGAGCTTAGATATGACACGATCTGTGACAGAGTTTTTGTAAGAAAGTAAATATGTCGTGTTACGTGTTGAGTTACGATCGAAGTGAAACAAAGTTTTACTAAAACATTTTTTTTACAATTTCAAAGTAGTAGAAGTAAAAGTAGAGAATTGTTAGAAAAATTATAAAAATAAATACAATTAAAAGCACTATTGTGTAGAATGACTCCATTCAAATTGTTAAATTATTTATTTGTATTATATGATTAATTATTTCTAGTGATACATTTGAGCATCACCAGAGCGTTTTAATGTTGTAACTGATTGAGTGGGGGCTAATTTGTTCTGCATCAGAGTTTATTCTATAATAATGAATAATTTCTTATGAAATTATCGTATTTTGTACTGTTTGTAAAATCTTAATCTGCAGGGTAAACTGTTAGTACAGCTGTCAAATAAATTAAGTGTTGTATAAATTACAATGGATTATTCTGAAATGTAGTGGAGAAGAAGTGTAGGAAGCTGGAAATGGAAATGCTCAAGTACATGTGTCTCGAAACTGTCTCTAAGTTCAGTACGTGGCTAAATTAGTTGTTACTCTCTATTCGTAGGTCAAATGATGGCATGGGTACTTTTGTGGTGCCTTAAACTTCAACAGCAGCAGCTCAGCTCTGTTAAAGCTGCTCTAGCTTCCTCTAGTGGCCAAGACAGGTCAGTGCGTGTCCCACAGAAACTGGCGCACAGTGCAGGACAGTGTCAGAAAAAGAAAAATTACAGTCTTGCACTATATCAAATGAAACATTTATTATTGCATATTGGTTCTGCCATACAAAGTGCAAACAAAAATGAATGTAGTCAGATGATTTGGAATTAGAAATGATAAAACATTATTTATAATGACGATATTAGTCGACCAAAAGCTTCATTAATGTGTACATGAAAAAATTGTTAGCTACCTTTCAAAGACAAAATTTGGAATCATAGTTTAAAAGACCTGATGGTGTGTGTCTCACACACAAGAAAGTTCTTTGACTCTGTATTAACTTGTTGTCTCTGTGAGCTGACGGCCCAGAGGGCCCACTTAGAGGAGAGGCACTTCAGGTGTGGTTCCTGTTATTGCTTGTTGCCATGGTTACGCGTCATCTCCACCACAGAGCAACAGTAGGGCCTTACGGTAGTCACCGCCAGTATCTCCCTGTAACAAACACACACATGCAGTAAAATTTGAGAACGGGAAAAAAGTATTCAAAGGTGGCAACTGGTTTAAATACATGCGAGTGTGTGTTGTGCAGTTTATTGAACATACCCTGATCATTGAATGCAGAGAGCAAGCAAACTTCCTCCTGAACTCAGCTCTGATGTCCAACATGTCCACCTCGCTACGAGTCACCATCACTCTGATCAGGGTGTTGTCATCAGTACCTGCACCCTGCAACAAACGCATAAACATATCATCACTCTATGTCTTGTAAACATACACAGCATATTAAATAGCAGCATCACATTTTTAGAGAGCACTGATTCTTTACAGTGCACGTGGTGGTCATGTAAATCTAATTTAACACAGAGAGCTCTCAGAGGCTGCAAAAATATGTCAAGGCTGCACAATTTTCTACTTAAATAATGATTAAATGAAAATGTTTAAAAATTGATCATCTGCAAATAGAATTAGGTCTGAATCAAAATGACAGACATGAAAAAAATAGTGAAAATGTTTTAAAATAACTGTAGAAATCTGCACCTGGATTCATATCATCACCATAAAACAAATAATTTGTTCCTTGGCTTCTCGCCTAACTTTCTATTATCGAAGGTATTAATATCATCAAGTTTAGTTTTATCATGACCGTCTCCACTTTAAACCCTTTTAACATAAAAGCAAAATCTATACAAGGAAAATTTAAGCTTACATGTCAATAAAATATCCCCTGAATAAAAGCATCAATCAGGAGTAGGCTGATGTGTTTTTGAGAAATAGTTTAAGCCCAGAGTGATATTCAGAAATCCACAGCTGTTGGTTGTTTTACCTTCATGGAGTAGTACAGGGTCTCAGCAAAATAGCCTGGAACGCTCCTGGCACATTTCACTTTAGAGGAAAAACAGCAATGATGGGCAACAATTTAAAAATGGTTGTTATAAGTCACCACCCTTTAAAAAGACATGAAGGCATATCCAGGCTGCAGTATGGACTTGTTTCTTACCCACGGCGAGAAGCAGGTCTCTCAGGCATCCAGATGTTTCCCTCTGGATGCTCTCCTCCATCTCGAATCCAGACAGCTTCATGTAAGCATCAAACACTAAAACACACAGGTTCAAAATTAGTCTGATTATTATGTGAAAGTGCAAAATAATTACAGTAGCTTTCTAATCCTTGCTGCACCTGTCAACTGTCTCTCACACATACACACCTTTCCTAAGATGTTCAGCGCTCCGGTTGCCCAGGATGGTGACGAACGCTTGTTCATCAGTGCCAAAATGCTGCTCTCCTGCCTTGAAGAGGGCCTAAAACCACAGAAACATGTTTCCGTTACACCTCGTTTGTCCTTTAAAATCATGAAAGCAATTAAAAGAGACTCTTAAAGAAGCATTACACCAATTTTACATGTCAAAGTCTTTCTATTTTTCACCAGTCAGAGACCACTACACAGCTACCAAAGTTTGAGTTAAAATGAATTCAAGTGTTGTCATTCACGTGGCTTGGCTCCGAACTTTAACACAAAAGATGAACTTTAATATTTAGGCCTAATTTAAAGATTTTTAATGAAGAGCATATTATACACACTAGGGCTGTGGAGATGACACCAGACAGTAACGTATGTTTTTGGCTAAAGCAGCAAATGAAATACCTGACAACTCAAAATACACACAGATGCAAAAGTCATATTGAATCGAATATGAGGCAGATTAGAAGAAGACAGATTTTCTTCTTTGACATATTTGGATGATTTTAGAGGCTTGAAGAGGTAAAAAAAAAAAAAAAGATATTAAAGAAACAAAATCTCTGATGGCAGATGAATTTATATTGCCTGATCATATACTGTGTATGGTCATATCACCCACCCTTACTGTTAATGCTGGTCCAGACTCAGCTCTCTCAAAGCCTCTCTTGACTTTGTGGTTAATTTAGAGAGACCAGACCAAAGAGCAACGATCAATGTTACTACTGATAAAAAAAAACAAAAAAACACACAACTGAACTATTGTTTTTTCCTTTTTAACATCTTTTAAATTCAACCTAGAAATTTTGAGAGCATTTTTACTTGCTTCTTCCACTAGAGGGCGTCACAACATCATTACAGACCACTTTTACAAACTGTAACCCCCACCTCCACAACAGTCACATTCACAAAGCACTCTTCTCATCTTGCTCAAAGCCCAACAGTTAGATCCTATCTACAAACACATGTGACAGTCACACCCTCAGACAAAAACACAGAGACACCATTGATGGTGAAGAGCAGAAATGTTTACTGACCAGCAATGAACAACTGACTCACCTGAGCATCATTCTCAATCTCTCCCCCCTGGATCCCTCTCTGCCTGTTTGCCTAGGGAGAGACAAGACATTTCAATCAATTAATCAATCAAACAATCAGACTTTGTAAGTGTAGCACTTTTCATAAAAACACAATGTGACATAAAGTGCGTTACACAATAAAAACAATAACCCCTCCTACATCCACGCACAAAGCAATATATGACCATATTATAAATAAAGGACTAAATAAAAATAGGAATTCAGGAACTGAGGCCCACCATTATAAATCTCATAAATCTGCAATGAGGAAACAGCCAAGGCATAAAAATGTTAAAATTCAGTATGAGAGGAAGAGGAGAGGTTTACCTGCAGCAGAATAACCAGAAGTCTCTTGAAGTGACCTGAAGTGTCACCACATACATCCTCCTCCAGGTTGTCGTCATATTCTGAGGGAAACAGGCAAAGACACACAACACACGTAGTCTTAATTTAAAAAAATAAAAAAGGTTTCCTTGATTTCTGTAACACTCTTTTACAATTGCTGACTCACACACATTCAAACTACCGTATTTTCTCACTCAAACTCAACCACTCAATTGTGTGCATATTTACGTACTGTTGTAAAACCTGTTACATTTATGTTGAAAACCTAAAACATAACAAAATTACTGTAAATTAGACTGATTTGCTGCCTTCTCTAAATCTAAGCTCAAGCTCCATTTAATTTTTGTTTAACTCAGAAACATCTGTTGATCCAGTCAATTTTTTGTATGTATATATATGAAATATACCCACAAGAACTATATAATTACTATGAGGAAAAAACATCAGTACATGGGAAGAAAAGTACTTTACTTCAGTTTTGTGGGTTCCCTCTAAGTTAATAATTACAACTGGCAACTTCTCTTGAACCATCTTTGCAAACTGTGATGAAACTATAAACTTGTGACCCATTTACATGCGCTTCACACGCAACACTGATAGTGTCTAAACAGGAAATTTTACTGTGAACGACAGGAACACACGATTTTCTGCCAAAGTAAAAAAACTATTGATTGTTTCACATGAGAGATCGTTGTATTTTGTATTCTTCTCACTAGTTTGAAGTGACTTTTTGACTGTTATATTGATTCAAAATAATAACTGAGGATTTTCTTTCACAACTTTGACTTTTTGACTTATTTTGTCTTGAATATTTAATGTCATAGATAAAAAATTAAGATAAAAAAAACATTTTATGGGTATTAAATACAGTTACAGACTAAAGTTTTAGTTAAATCACTGATCATGATAAGTTAAACCAAATATGACCGTAGGATAAACAACAACATCAACATGTTTACGATCTCAGGTGAGTTTATCATCCAGTGTTAGTGTGTGTGAGCGTGTGTGTGTGCGTTACCCTGTCTGTAACCAGCGATGATGTCCTTCACCTGCTGACATGTTCTGGAGGAAAGAATCTCCACCAGCACCTTCTCATCTGTTCCTGCCCCCTACAGGTGAAAGGGGGGAAATGTCACGGACTTCACAATTCAGTTTCCAGCTGCTCTGTCTGCTAACATTTCTGTACACATCTGGTAACTGTAGCACCTACCTTGATGGCATTGCGAAGTGATGTCACATCATAAGCAATGGGTGGGGTCATCAGACCCACAATCAGGGTCTCGAATTTGCCCCCGAGCTCTCCCTTCAGGTCGCTGACCAGATCCTGTCATGCAGATACAAAATGTTAGTTGGTTTTGGTGCAGCATAGATGTGTGACTGCACCGCAACGTTATGTAGTGAAGGATTTTTATGGTTGTTGTGTGCGGCTGGATTTTTTGCTACAGTTAGTGTGTAACCCTGTTATGTCATTTATACTGTGTGTTTCTGCTGATCGCATGACCATGACAAGTTGGAGCTTTGATATTGTGAGTGGTCAGTAGTTTCAAAGACCTCAGTATGCTTCAAATGAAAAGCTTGACCAGCCTCTGACACACAGTCCATGCCACATTTGCAAAACATGAAAAGTGTGTGGAGGTGAGGAAGTAGGAGGGTCTGAACTTCAATTCTTGACATACATACTCTTACCTTTCCAAACAGAGTTTTGTAGGTGGCCTTGATCTCCTGCCTCTGGGCGTTGCTGCGAGCCGTCAACAGCTGCAAGATGGAATCCTCATCAGTCCCTATGGCAACAAGCACCAAGGTTACTCGGCAGCTGTGAGTGTTTGTTTAGATTATTCTCACACGATATACGTATTACATAACAATGACCATACTGTATAAGTATACGCTTGATTACAAGTATTTCACCCACATAATTACAGCCTTCATACGTATAGACAGCATGTGTGTATGCTCACAGTGTTGCGTCTCAAGTTTCACCTCTTTGCTCATGTGTTTATGACTCACTGCAGTCTGGGCGGAGCTCAACACAGACCGCAACGTTTACTACAGTAATTGTTCAGACAGGAACTCCTCAAATAACACTCTCTCATTGGTCTGTTGTAGGAGTACTACAGAATGATGTGCCTTCAGCGTATCAGATAACACTGTGCTCATAGCAGAAAGAGTACACAGTACACACAGGCAAACACACACATCAGCTTACCCAGCCCTTTCATGGCCTTGTGCAGGACCTCAGCATCCTCACTGGCTTTGAAGTTTCCGCTGGCTTTCACAGTTCCTCTGCTGGCCTACAACATGGTAGAGGTGCAAAAGGAGGATTATAATGGTGAAGATTTTCCAAAGTTATGTCTTTTTCACGTCTTTTTTTATACAAAAATTTGTTTTTGTAGAGCAGCTGATACTGTGTCCCCAAAGACACTTCTGTTTCTGGCTTTCTCCCTTTGTATCATGGCAGAGTGTCCTTTATGTCCTTTATGCTTAGATTAAAATAACAAATCTCAGATTTGTTTTGTGCATACACTGATCAAAGATGTCCCCTTTATAAAATTACAGAATATACTGTATCCTTTTCTGAGATACAAATATCAAATCTGAGACACTCATCAGAGATTTCCTCCCTTAAGGGTTAAGGGTTACTAAACAACCTTAATGCCGTGACGACTTGCAGCTCCATGGAATCCATTCAGATGTGCACACACGATCTCTCATTAAACCACTTTATTCACACATTCCCATTTTATATAAAGCATGTTCCCACATCATTCTTTAGCCTTGGAACTGTCAACCATACCTCAGATTTATTCGGTGGTTCAAATATGATGGATGAAGTGAAACAAAATGGCAATTCAGTCCGATTATCTGGCTAATCATTTCTCTCAGTGTGGAAAAAATATTTCTAAACAGCAGCCTGACTGATACTGGAGGTATGTTGACCCTACATATGTACAGAGGCTGTCACAATGGTATCTCTGCTTTAGAGCACAGGCAGTGACATCACACAGGTCTCATCATTCCCCTCCTACATTCATGGACTGTGGTTACCATAGAGACAGTACACAATCCATGTAGTCACTCTTGTATGAAGGGAAGTCCTCTATCATAGTGTCATATAATGAATTTTAATGTTAACTGTTAACAGAGCTTGAATGTGAATATTACTCCTTCGCAGATTAAAAAACGAGGCTGGTGTTGTTCAATATTTTTCTTATTGTGAACAAATCTCATTAAATGACCAAACCCAACAATGTGTTAGAGCGTCTCTCTATACCACTACCTTACCTACAGGCAGGACTGTGACTGCGATGAGAACCAAGAGATCATGTCCTCTGTATTATTTTAATTTAATTCAAGTTGCAGTTTACACTTCATAATTTAAAGTTACACATAGTGGGTTGCAGAAAAGTTGGATACAAAAATGCAGAGACTCAGTGGCCTCAACTTTGATAATTCCCAGGCAGAAAAAAATGAAGAAATACAGTATCTACACTGATAATGGAGTTTTTAGTGAAGGAGGAGATGTATTGTGTTTATGAGTTAAACTTTTCAAATGATCAATATTTACATTTTTATATATTCTGGATTCTTCAGTGAGGGACAGGGTGTAAATCATTATTCAAAGCCAAATATTGTTATATGTTTTAAAACTTGTCAAAGTGGATCTTTATTTGTATAAATATGATGATGGATGAAGTGAAACAAAATGGCAATTCAGTCCGATTATCTGGCTAATCATTTCTCTCAGTGTGGAAAAAATATTTCTAAACAGCAGCCTGACTGATACTGAAAATTGTACCAATGTGATAAGACTGAAAAAACATTAACTTTAAGATCGATTTTAGTAAGTGTTTACAGCTGTGACAATGCTCCAGTCACTGCGGACACTCCCTAAAACTCTGACATATTAACAACAAAATAGTCAGGCAGCTGCTTCGTGTTTCAGGGGGAGAAGTGTTTGGAGAGGAAAACCATGGGAATGTCTCTGGAATTTTAACCCTAAAAACCAGAACAACCAGGATTCTGTCTTTCTCTGCTGACACTTGCCTTTTTCATAAACACACTCACCACCACAAGCTAAACAAAATCTAATCAAGCAGATGGCTGCTTGGATAAACAAGGAGATATTTAGACTGTAAGACACCGATTCTAGCCGCTATAGCCGAGTCCTGTGGAGCTTGTTCAGACATGACTGAGGTGGGGGGGGGGCTTCTGATGGAGGTACAGTATGTTGACCCTACATATGTACAGAGGCTGTCACAATGGTATCTCTGCTTTAGAGCGCAGGCAGTGACATCACACAAATATATAGTAGCATGTTTTAAAAAAACGCTTGGTAACTTCCTAAAACTGCTGGGCACTGTAGTATTTAGCAAATGTCACTCAAACAGGAGTGAATAGTGCATTTATCAGGGACTTTTTTCAGCTGCAAATACAAAGCTACAATACAAATACAGGTGCAAGTTAGTATTTACAGCTACAGGGCTGTGTACAGTAATGTGGGATTGACTCAGAATAAACTACAGCATCCTTAACCATGTCCCCCCGTGTAAAGGTCTGGCTCACTGATTCATTTTAATAGTTTTTGCCTACCAGCCGAACTCTACGCTACAAAGGAATATGCTACATCAGGCCCCTGCTACACGGACAACACTTGTTAGTAAGATCAATTCATTGTTGGTCTTTTCACTGGATTTGCTGACAACAAGAAAAACAGATTACCACCAGATCTATCTTTTAAGTCAAGTTAGATCTTAGTCCTATTAAAACTGACCACTGTGAGTTTGTTTTATAACCCCAGAGTAAACTGCCTGCAGACTACAGAAGCATCAAATCATCACGACTGACTGTAGTCATGAATATAACCAGAATTTTTATGTTAACCGACCAACTCCACCCTGACATGTAGAAAAAGAACTGATTCCCCTTTAAGAGAGGGAGGCCGGCTTCTAACTCCAGACTAAACGTGGAAATGGGAGTATTAAACAGAGAGAGAGAGGTGGAGAGACCCACCCGAACAGAATACAGCCCATATGAGTCATAAACTAAACTTCCCAACTTCCCCAAACGAGAACTCTTCACAGCCCCACAAACATGCGCACTTAACACACGCTCACACACACACACACACACTTGTCTTTCTATATTTGCAAGGACCCTCGCTGACGTAATACTTTCTGTAGCCCCAAACCCTAAATTTAATCTTAACTAAATGCCAGACCCCAACTTTTACAAAACCTAATCCTAACATTAACCTTAAAAACTATCTTCAAACTGCATTTTGAAGTAATGAACAGCCAATATGTCCTCTAACTGGTCCTCACAAACATAGCAATACAAGTCACATTTAAAGATTAATAATTCATAATTAGTGAAGGAGTCCATTTGACAAATTCTCTGTTAAGATACACAGAATTACAGAAACTAGTCATAGTATTTATTCAGTTGCATGTACATGGTTTATCTTACAGATATTCTGTCATTGATTCAACTTACAAAAGATACTGTTATGTTTAGTGGAAAGTGGAAAGATATCTAAACTTTATCCAGAGTGAATAAATATCCATCTGTAATTGACTTATCCTTACCAGTCAGATGAAATATGTTAGCATTATATAATGTGGAATAAAGTGGGCGTTGTCTTGGAGTTCACAGGGTAAAAACAGCTGTGAGTCATAAATTTGCATAAATAACGGATTTTTTAAGTTTTATTATTGTTGTCATCCGTTTAATATGAAGTTTGTCGTGTTTCTTTGGGCTGACAAGTGATTAAGTCTGAAGAGGAGAGAAGAGAAAAAGTATGAAGTGGAAGTGACTCACCATTTCGTCAGTCTTGAAGGTTTATTCAACGGTCAGAAAAAGATCTGTTGAAGAGAGGAAAACGTTAAGACAAATACCAATCTCCCTCTGCATAGCAGAAGTACTTACTTAAAACGCCAGTTATTAACTTGTGTCTCATCAGTTTTGATCAAATTCCTTGCTCTGTCTTCTCTCAACAGTAACTTTCAAACTTCCGTGGACCAGACATGTCCGTCTTTTGTCAACAGGTAGTCCCCGGCTGTCCCCGCTCACCTGACTGATGCTACCGAACTTACTCTACTTAAGTTAAAACGACAAACTGAAAGTGCTCCGGTGATGTGGTGTAACTTACCGCAGAGCAGCAGCTGACAGATGGAGCACAGGGAGCAGACACAGAGAGAACCGACAGAGAGTGAAGAGAGCAAGAGAAGAAGGACGGAGAGAAGCCCCACTCTGAAAAAACTCGCTGCGCGTGAGTGTGTGACTGGTGCGCGTGTGTGCGCCACACCCAGTTGTAGCACAGCCCTGCTCCCGAAGCACTCTGGGAAATGTTGTTTTTGATGTTACTTTCACCATAATCTTACATTGTTCGGTAGCAGCAGAATGGATGTCGCCTGATTGTTTTAGGTTTTTATAAACCTTTTTCGGAAATGACACTTTGGCATGCTACAGCAGGAAAAGCACAGGTGTAATTAATTTAAACATGATGGCCCTGAGGCCATCATATCAAATTTGTTTTATCTGTGCTTCCTGTCATGACACCGAATGTCTACTTTGAAAAATGTCTATTTATTTAGTTAGTTTAGTTATTTGATCCATTGTTAATATCAAAATATTGATTAGTGTAGCTTTAAAGTACATAGTTCAGTAAATCCAATCACAGTGCAGACAACAGGACAGACACTGTGTTAACACCCACAAGTCAAAGACTATGATCATACTCCATATGTCTAGCAACTTCTTTTGTTGACCCATACTGAAAATATCTAAGCAATACAACTACAGTTTGTAGTCATTCATGTAGCATATATACTGAAGACAGAGATACAGATCAATTGGTCAGTTATGTGCTTGTTTTAGTTTTGGCTGTATAATTTGCCAACTTTATTTAGGTCAAGGAAATAAGGTAAAAATAAAGTTTAGATCAAGGAATAATCAAAGATTACTGCACCAAACAGAGTTTTTCACTAAAGCGCTTGATTATTTCTGAGACTTGATTGTAATTAGATAGATAGATAGATAGATAGATAGATAGATAGATAGATAGATAGATAGATAGATAGATAGACTAAGGGCCAGAGCACCACCAAAGGTTTGTAATAAAAGAATCTAAGGTGTTGTTTAAAGTTCATAATAATGGTTATGTACCAATAATTCAAAGACATAATAATTAAATATAAACATCAGGTGACATCAGGTAAGACTGACACCAGAACTGTTATCACAAGGGCAAAACATAGGCCTACTCATTAAAGAATGTCACCATAGAAATATATTGATTTGTATTGTTTCTACCATGAATGCTATCCATTATCTCCCCTTTTGCTTTGGCATGTATGGAATCTACATGCCATGTCAATAAATCACCAAGTAAACTGAACTGAGAGCTACAGATCGATTCAAACAAAGACACTAAACATAGTGAGAGAGACGGAGAGACATAGAGGGAGAAGACAGATGGTGTGTTTAATATTTTAAAAGCAAACATATAGTTATGTGTGTATTTTGACAAAAGATTAGGCTTACAAAGGTTTTAATTCACAGCAGACTTTTCAAGCAGATGGATGATCTTTTATTTTGAAAGAGCAATAAATTAAACATCTTTTTTTTAAACATGTCAATACATGAAAATGCTCCATTTTAAGTAATAATTTGTGTCTGATACAGTTTAATTGTGCTCAAATAATCGAACCAGCTGTAAATGTAGTTTAAAACCCTCCTCTGAAAACATGATCTACCTTTGCATTATTTTTTATCATTTACACTGGTCAAAAATATTTCAAACATTCTGATACTATACAGATGGAAAATTGTAAATGTTTAAATATCCACTAAACACACACATTAGGCATCCAAGCTCATTCGCACATAATCTGTTTTGAGGTAGCAGGTGTAGGTCACAGTGCATTGTCACTTTCTGTATCTGTAGCATTGTGATTCTGCAAGTAAAAACCAAAGCAACAGAGCTAACAGCATGCTGAGTGAGACAAATAGACTAAAATACACCACCGTGCTCCATCCCTAGCCTGCTGGTAAAGGAGGCACACCATTCACCTCCAAAATTTGTGCTGGGATAGGCATGCTGGTGTGCACAGGTGTGAACCCGTTTCTTTGTTGACTGGGAGATGAAAAGTGAACTCTCCACCATTAACCCTGCTGGTGATGCACAATAACTTTCTCCAGGTCTCCACAGATGAGTATTTGGTTTTCTTTATCTTCTGAGGACCACAATTATTCCATGAACCTCATTGGCACTGACTATGTTGTTTTTACCAGCTGTTCAAACAGAAACCCATAATAGATAGCTACAATCAAGTTTCTTTAAGAGCAAAGATCTTGATCAAAGCAACAGGTCTAATAATAATTTTGTCTGAAGAGAGTGATTACATATCTTTTGAGATGATGACTCACCAGTGTGCTCTGTTCTCTGAGTGGTTAATCCACATTCAAAATGAAATAAAAAATGAAGACAAAAATAAGAGTTCTTGTCTCGCTTGTCTTCTTCCCCTCAATTTTCATAGAACACTGTCTCACTGTTGCTTACCCCTTTTTAAACCAGCCTATAAATGTACCATTTAAACACTCAGACAAACAGATGGACAAATAGACACACACAGAATAAATCACCAACTACCCATATCCCTCTGACCTATGAACCTATCAGCCCACAGAGACAGGGTGAGATAGCCTGTGGGCTATCTCACCCTGTCTCTCACTCTCTCATAAACACACTCACCACGCACAAACACACCCTGAAGGTGTGTATGATCGATACCTTGTTGGACCGTCTGTCTTCATGTCTGATTAAAACCTATCTCAGCATGTCATGTTGTAGCTTTTCTGCTACTAGCATGCATTTTGGAAATATCTCAAAAAGGCCTAGTGACACATTTAATATGTGACATTATACAATATAGTCTTTAAGGTATACATGATCAAATTACAGCTGCTGCACCTCCATGTATCACAAATGTTTTATCTGAAAAGCTTTTAAAGTTATGGTCTCAAAGGCATTGTTTACAGCAGTACAGAACCTAAGAGTTCATGCTCTTTTTGGGAATGTCAGGCATGCAATAAGTGCTGAGAAGGCAAACAAACAATAACAAAACAAAACAGACAAAATTCAAAAAAATTGAATATAAAACAAGTGTATAATTTATTCACACCAATTCTCTCACTATCACTACTGTTCATATCACTATAACCATACTAGTGAAACATAGTTGTCAGATTATAGTGCCACCAGGAGGAAGGAAGCCATATAGCCAAAACAAATTAAAAAAGACAAGGGGAGCCTCCCATGCACACAGAGCATTTATGTATTGTCACAGCCTGGCTCTTACAGTCATGAAAGGAAGGAGACACACCATTTTAAGAAGCAAAAATAAGTAGTTTATTTCACAGAAATCAATCAAAAAGTATAATTAACAAATGGCTGCAAATCGTGGAGTTTGGATATCAGTAAAATCAGTGTGAAGTGCATGATGTGTGAGTGGTAAACCGATGTGTGTGTGTGTTGCAAAGTGCATAAAATAAACATACAGGAACAAAAAAAGGGAACTGAACGGCATCACATTGACAGCGTGAATGCCTGCAGAGAGAGGGAGAGAGAGAGAATGAGTGACAGTGACCTGATTTTAAAGGCTGGTGAGAACCAGGCCCAGGTGCCACCAGGAAGCACTGATGATGAGGTTGCATAAGGCTTAGGCCTCTGCCACACAAACAGCAGGGGTCACCACAGTATACACTTTTATTCCCACTGACACGGATAGGTACCAACAAGAACAATCAGGTGATGAATCAGATCGGTGCTTACAGAAGCACCAACATGAACAAACAGGTGCAAAAAACTGTAAAAACAGGAAACGCAAAGTAATATCCCTCTGGCAGACACCATAACTGGTGCTTACCAACCGGTATGTAACTGCAGGCAATAAACAGCCAAATTCTCACAAACTGTGCAAACCTCTTGAGTAACAAGTGACTGAATGTATGTGGATTTTACAACTGCACTCAATGCTCTACATACAGTGAAATGCTCACTGTTGGAACAATAGCAGCACCATAAGGTGACAATTGGCAACTGCAGTCTGTAATTTATTGGTTGTTTTTAGCCTCGGGGTACACTATGGCAAAGCTTGGCATAGACCTAAAGGTTTGTGACTTAAATATATAATCCTGGAGTAGACAGCTGCACATCAATTTACAAGGAAGTAACATAGAGTTTTAAAGGACGTTGGCAAAAGTGGATTGTTGCAGTGACAGAAACAGTTGTAGAAAACACTCTTCTGCCTGCAAAAGGTTCAATTATTTTCTTTCTTTCTTTCTTTCTTTCTTTCTTTCTTTTTTTTTTTTAAATTACTGACAAACACTGACATTCAACTATTTTGAAATAACCAGTCCTTCACTGTGTTCATGGTTTTAAAAGTTGAATCTGAATTTCTACTGAGCATTTCATTCACGTGCACTGCGATAAGAAAAATGTAGATGTAATTATGTATAAAAAAATGGGAAAATGTAATTTTACAAGAAGCCATATAATAGTCACTTGATTAATAACTAGATATTGAGACAATATGGACATAACCCTCTTTGGCAGTATTATTGTATCCCATTCTTTTTGTAAATAAATGAGCTGCAGCAGTCTAATGTTTGATTGCATGGTAATTTATAGTTGATGTGTGTGAACTTGCCACAGTGGTTACATAACCTTGGAAAATCTGAAACTTAAGCGTTACTGAAATAAATAGCACTACACGCCTGTGTAAAAGTAACTGTTCTGATTCAACTGGGAATCCAAAAGTCTGATGTTTAACCCATTACAAGAACCATTATTTATAAATACGTCACACCTTTCTTTCTAGAAAGAACTTGATTTAACCAGCGTGATTTCACATTTAGCGGTGTGTTTTAACGTAAATCTACTTTTAATAAAGATGTAATTCCTTCTAGGGTGTCACTACATATCTTAATGTTTAGCATGTAAAACCTACCGTTTAAATCATATCAATATCTCTCAATAAGACAACTAAATCTCTCACTCTCTCATAAACACACTCACCACGCACAAACACACCCTGAAGGTGTGTATGATCGATACCTTGTTGGACCGTCTGTCTTCATGTCTGATTAAAACCTATCTCAGCATGTCATGTTGTAGCTTTTCTGCTACTAGCATGCATTTTGGAAATATCTCAAAAAGGCCTAGTGACACATTTAATATGTGACATTATACAATATAGTCTTTAAGGTATACATGATCAAATTACAGCTGCTGCACCTCCATGTATCACAAATGTTTTATCTGAAAAGCTTTTAAAGTTATGGTCTCAAAGGCATTGTTTACAGTATATCATAAAACAATAAGAGCCTAAGAGTCCATTCTCTTTTTGGGAATGTCAGGCATGCAATAAGTGCTGAGAAGGCAAACAAACAATAACAAAACAAAACAGACAAAATTCAAAAAAATTGAATATAAAACAAGTGTATAATTTATTCACACCAATTCTCTCACTATCACTACTGTTCATATCACTATAACCATACTAGTGAAACATAGTTGTCAGATTATAGTGCCACCAGGAGGAAGGAAGCCATATAGCCAAAACAAATTAAAAAAGACAAGGGGAGCCTCCCATGCACACAGAGCATTTATGTATTGTCACAGCCTGGCTCTTACAGTCATGAAAGGAGGGAGACACACCATTTTAAGAAGCAAAAATAAGTAGTTTATTTCACAGAAATCAATCAAAAAGTATAATTAACAAATGGCTGCAAATCGTGGAGTTTGGATATCAGTAAAATCAGTGTGAAGTGCATGATGTGTGAGTGGTAAACCGATGTGTGTGTGTGTTGCAAAGTGCATAAAATAAACATACAGGAACAAAAAAAGGGAACTGAACGGCATCACATTGACAGCGTGAATGCCTGCAGAGAGAGGGAGAGAGAGAGAATGAGTGACAGTGACCTGATTTTAAAGGCTGGTGAGAACCGGGCCCAGGTGCCACCAGGAAGCACTGATGATGAGGTTGCATAAGGCTTAGGCCTCTGCCATACAAACAGCAGGCGTCACCACAGTATACACTTTTATTCCCACTGACACGGATAGGTACCAACAAGAACAATCAGGTGATGAATCAGATCGGTGCTTACAGAAGCACCAACATGAACAAACAGGTGCAAAAAACTGTAAAAACAGGAAACGCAAAGTAATATCCCTCTGGCAGACACCATAACTGGTGCTTACCAACCGGTATGTAACTGCAGGCAATAAACAGCCAAATTCTCACAAACTGTGCAAACCTCTTGAGTAACAAGTGACTGAATGTATGTGGATTTTACAACTGCACTCAATGCTCTACATACAGTGAAATGCTCACTGTTGGAACAATAGCAGCACCATAAGGTGACAATTGGCAACTGCAGTCTATTGTAATTTATTGGTTGTTTTTAGCCTCGGGGTACACTATGGCAAAGCTTGGCATAGACCTAAAGGTTTGTGACTTAAATATATAATCCTGGAGTAGACAGCTGCACATCAATTTACAAGGAAGTAACATAGAGTTTTAAAGGACGTTGGCAAAAGTGGATTGTTGCAGTGACAGAAACAGTTGTAGAAAACACTCTTCTGCCTGCAAAAGGTTCAATTATTTTCTTTCTTTCTTTCTTTCTTTCTTTCTTTCTTTCTTTCTTTTTTTTTTTAAATTACTGACAAACACTCACATTCAACTATTTTGAAATAACCAGTCCTTCACTGTGTTCATGGTTTTAAAAGTTGAATCTGAATTTCTACTGAGCATTTCATTCACGTGCACTGCTATAAGAAAAATGTAGATGTAATTATGTATAAAAAAGGGGAAAATGTAATTTTACAAGAAGCCATATAATAGTCACTTGATTAATAACTAGATATTGAGACAATATGGACATAACCCTCTTTGGCAGTATTACTGTATCCCATTCTTTTTGTAAATAAATGAGCTGCAGCAGTCTAATGTTTGATTGCATGGTAATTTATAGTTGATGTGTGTGAACTTGCCACAGTGGTTACATAACCTTGGAAAATCTGAAACTTAAGCGTTACTGAAATAAATAGCACTACACGCCTGTGTAAAAGTAACTGTTCTGATTCAACTGGGAATCCAAAAGTCTGATGTTTAACCCATTACAAGAACCATTATTTATAAATACGTCACACCTTTCTTTCTAGAAAGAACTTGATTTAACCAGCGTGATTTCACATTTAGCGGTGTGTTTTAACGTAAATCTACTTTTAATAAAGATGTAATTCCCTCTAGGGTGTCACTACATATCTTAATGTTTAGCATGTAAAACCTACCGTTTAAATCATATCAATATCTCTCAATAAGACAACTAAATCTGTACACCACCGGTAATTTGATATGAGCTCACCCCCCTGTCTGCCGGTAAGATGGTATGACCGGCAGCATAAAGTACGGGGACGCTCTGTTACTTCAACTGAGAGCTGCTAAAACCGACAGACAAGACAACGTGAACTTGCAGAGCTACACTAAAACACTGCAAAAATGGAGTGGACCGCGATGGAGATCAATCCCGAGGTGGGCAGATAACTGTGTTTATTAACTTTCTGAAATCGGTTTCACAGGTAGCACACTCACCTGCTATTTCTGTTTATGTCGTTTCAGATGCTGAACAAGGTGGGTAACAAACGTTAGACGCAGAGTTATGCCGACATATTGGTAAATATTTGTTTCAACAGTCGGGTAAGTTTCACAGTAGCTAGCTAGTGAGAACATTTAAACCGTTACGAAGACGACCATTAAAACGACACCAGGCCACTACGTAGCGGCCATGATATCAGTACAGTCATAGTGATATTTTCAACTGTTATATAAAAAAAAAAATAATAAAAAAAAAGTGGAAAATAATATCAAAAGGAGGCCCGACAACAAACAGAAGAAACGTTTATGTAATTTTAATGAGCGGCAGCATCTTCACAGCGCTGCCCCCTGTGTCTGGGCTAAAGGGTGTGGTCTCACTGGACCAACACAACGCAGCATCTTTAAACAGACTCGGTGGGGGGTCCTTGATAGACGTCGTCACTGTAACCTCAACTGTTTGACATCCACTTAAAGCATCGTGTTTTGTTTATTTCCCTCGCCGTATGTTTCAGATGATGAGCAAGCTAGGCGTGGGTGAGAGCTGGCACTTCGTAGATGTGCTGGGGCTGGAGGGTGAGCAACTCTCCGCCGTCCCGAGACCATGCTGTGCCCTGATGCTACTCTTCCCACTGACACAACAGGTGATAATGATGATGAGGTGGTAGTGGTGGTGGTGGTGACCGAGGGTGGGGTGAGCCAGTGGTAAACAGGCTGTCTGGGGTGGGGTGAGACTGAGATGCAGGGAGGGCATGGAGAGGGAGAAAGAGCTGCAAGACTGGGATAATGAGGAAGTGATTCAGCATATGCTTACCTTTTTTTCTGTGAAATCTAATTATCCTGTCAAACAGGCTTTTAACTCCTAACAGTTAATAGTTAATCTGTCAATTTTGCAATGAATCAAATGTTCAATAGGTCCACAAAATGTAAGAAAATTGTGAAAAATACCCATCAGCTCAAGATGACAACTTCAAATGCCTCGCTTTGTCTTATCAACAGTTCAAGACCCAAAGAAATTAAATTTACAAGTAAAGCTACAACAATTTGTTGAGCATCAGAAAAATAACCTACAACCCTAGAGACATTGTCACGGGCATTTCTAATGGTTTCTGATGTTATACAGACCAAACAATGAATCAATTATTTAAGAAGATAATCAGCTGATTATTAGATTATTTAAAATAAACATTATTTGCAGCCCTACTTACAATGATATAGACTAGAGAAAAGCAGATAATCCTTACATTGGAGAAGCTGTAAGTAGAGAATTTTTTGTGTTTAAATGAGTAATTAATTTTTAACATTTTTTCTGTTCTGTTGATTGCCATTTCCAGTTCTGTTAATTCATGTGCCAGTGGCAGAATTGGCTGCACGTTGTGTTCTCACAGGCAGATGACAATGACCGTGTGTGTGTGCATGTGCGTACGCGTACGCGTGCACGCTTGTGTTTTGTGTGTGTGTGTATGGCAGCATGAGTCTTTCAGACAGCAGCAGGCAGACAAGGTTGCAGAAAACTCTGAGGTTTATTTCCTGAAGCAGACAGTAGTCAATTCCTGTGGCACCATTGCTCTGCTGCATGCTGTGGCCAACAACAAAAGTAAACTGACTTTTGGTGAGTAAAATTGAAAAAACATATTGTTACAATAGTGAGAACAATAACTAATATTTGGTTATAAAACAAGCATAATGTTGTTGTCAAATCTGCTCACTCATTCCTAAAGCTGAAAATCAAATAGAAATTTGATATTGTTTTTTGAGTTTGGGATTTTACCAACATATAATATACAGTGGCTTCTCTCAGGACTGTGACCAGGGGGCTACTTTCAAATTTTCTAACCAAAAAATAAATGTATATTCAAGTATATTGTTAGCAGGTATGAAGCCACAATGCATGTACTCGAATATTTACTGAATTTTACTGGAAAGAGAAATTAAGTGAAAAGTAAAAATTAAGTTATTTGGTGTGGCAGGCTGTAATTTGAGACAACTTCATATAAATGAATGCCATGTTATTGATTAAGCTAATGCTGCTCTTGGTGTTTTCAGATACTGACTCTGCCTTGAAGAAGTTTCTAGATGAGACTGCAAACATGTCTGCCAATGACCGTGCCAAACATCTGGAGAAAAACCAGGTAATGCTGCTTTATGTATTGTTATATGTAAGACAATGAACTTTCAAGTTCAACTATTACATAGCGTGTACTGCAAATCTGAACAACAGAGGGTAAAGTCTCTTGTATCATCTTACAAGACTATTTTGCACCACAATCAAAACTTTTCTTTTTTCTTTTTTGTGGTTGTGTGTGTATATGATATATACTGTTTTAATTAAGAATATAAGATACACACAAAATATCAAATAAAATAGTCACAACTCAGTAAATCGCACATACTTAAAATGTGCCACACCAATATTTCAACATGTGATTATATCTGAGACCTGTAGTTTATTTGATAAAGTGGGTAGTTTAATGAGTTATCAAAAAGTGCATTTAAAAAAAACAAAAAAAAACTGAAATAAACAAATCTCAAGTTTCTAGAATCTGCGGGACTGTTGTATAACCTTCATGTTATGTGAAGGCCACTTGGGGGCAGCAGACACTGCTAAATCCTTGTTACTAAAAAGGACAGTTTGCCTTTGATATACAGTGACAACATTGTAAAAGTCTTTGGAACTTGTGTTTTTGCTTTCCTTGCTACATTGCTAATTTGTCATGTTGCTATTAAAAACATTTTTGAATGTGTATTTTAAAGCACAAAATGATCAATGGTTAGCAGTATTAAACTGATGTGTTTTTCTTCTCCAGGCAATCTCTGAAGCTCACAATGAGGTTGCAGTGCAGGGCCAGTGTAGGGTAAGAGACTTAACCACAACATTCACGGCTACCAATGACTGACATCTTATAATCTTTTCAGACAGCAGTGACAGCAACATTCTCTCAATGTTTGACATGTTGGACCCATTCATATGAGACAGCTGTCACCCTGCTTGTCACTGTTTCATAGATTCCAGTCTGCAGTATATTTTCATACACATTATTGATAAACCTGAGAATTGCATTGAATTATTTTAAATAATTACCTGATAAAAGTTAAATTTCAGTTTCATCTCTCTGTCTATATGCTTGTTCCCTCTCTCTTGATAGCCCATGCATGAGCTGGAGTCTGGGTACAACAGAGATGAGAGACTTTGTATTTAAAGCAGATGTAGTGTTGATGGCAAATGTTTGCTTTGCAGTGCTTGTCTTTTCTGAAGCTTTTTCATATCACAGTATTTACTCCAATTATTACTTCCACACATTTCAACTTTCACAGCCGGAAGCCGACAAAGTCAACTTCCACTTTATTGCCTTTGTCAATGTAAATGGACAACTTTATGAATTTGGTAAGCATGTCTACACATCATGTACATTCCTGTATGTATTTTGCATTGGACAGAGTCATTGGATTCCCAACTATTTTATTTGTTTTTCAGATGGAAGAATGAATGGACCAGTGAATCATGGAGGCACCAAAGATGAATCCTTCATAACGGTATGTAAAAGTATAATCATCTGACCTTTTCAGACTCCTGGTCTCTGATGAGTCATGGTATCAGACTGGAATAGGGAGTGGCTGTTCCTGAGTGTCTTGATTCAATCAATAAACTTGGCTAATGCACACTGAAATATATCTCCTGGATGAATCATAAAAAAAGACACTGCAATTTAAGCAGTGCTGTTTTCTGCCAGTCATGTTTCACCTCAACCCTCAAGCCATGTTAGTCAAGTCTGTTTGTTAATTATTAGATAATTAACAAAGGTTTAATCTCTAGGAAAAGCATGATGAATATCACTAATTCAACCAGAACAAAAGTTCTTAGAGTCACAAACAATTTGCCTATGTGCTGCAGAAGTCTTCTAAAAGGCTCTGCTGAGCACAGATGTGGCATCTTTTCTCCTTTTTAGTTTGTCACATAAAACTACCACAAGAGGGCTCCACATGCATTAGTAATGAAAATGCAGAATTGAATGTTAGGATGAATCACTGGATTTCATTTAAAGGAAGAACTACTGAAATGTATAAGTAAAGGTAGAGATACCCACTGAGATTAATATTTAAATTGATGTCCTACATTCATAATTTTGCTGGAGAGCTGAATTAATATTTGTTCAAATACTGCTATCGATGTATCAGAAATGTGATGATATTTTAAGGACCTGCTTTTGCACCTATACACATCATTTTATTATGAACATTCAGAGGCACTTTACTCAGCTTGAACGGTCTAATAAGTTGATAAAATGTAAAGCTTGTAAAACCAGCCTTAAAACCCCGGAAAAGTTTAAGCTTCATTTCATGACACGTCAAGCCTCATATTACAGCATTAGTATTTAATGATAATACCCAGCTCTGCTGAAGTGTAGGAAAATATTAAAAGAACAATTTTCCATCTTTAGGGCAGTCTGTCCTCTATGACTAGTAACCTCAGATAAGGTTACTAGAATTTAATTTAATCAGGTGTCAGGAGTTTAGTACCTCTACTTGAAAAGTGCAAAGTTTAAACTTCCCTTTTTAAAATGTGCTGTATTTCTAAATATAGGGGATATATAGACTTATCTCATTTCTCTTCCGTTTTTCTTCTTAATCATGTCCAGGATGCAGCCAAAGTGTGCCGTGGATTTATGGAAAGAGAGCAAGGCGAAGTACGTTTCTCCGCAGTTGCTTTTTGTCACAGTTAGATATTTGGTTGGAAACAGAACCAAATTGTAAACCAAAATGTCTTGGAGCATTCACATGACAAACACAATCAGCAGGCACCCAGAATGACCTGTGTACACATACATCTGCAGACACTATGCACTATAAAGCACATGTTGTTTCCACATATTGCACACTCATCTCATGAACAAAGCATTCTTTAGCATTAGCACATATACACACAAACACACACACACACACAAAAAAAAACATTTTGTTCTGCTAACACCAACTGATACATGCTTGCCCAGACCTTTTATATGTGATATCATTTAGCAGTAAAAATTGTAAAATATGAGGTCAGACCTCACCACTGCTTGTGGGCATGTGTGTATCTTTTTTTGCAACTTTTTTTGTACGTAATCACTGGTGCATCTGTGTCAAACTCAAAAGACTGATGCTTAAATACCTTTTGTGCCAATAAGAGTGAGAAGGAAAAGGTAGAAAACTTGGTTAGGGAAACTTTTTGCCTGTTTGTTTGAATGCCTTCGGTTGCTGTGTGGTTGAGCTTGTAAGGGTCTGACATTCCTCAGAAGAGCCCAAATGTATCCGTAGGAATAATTTAACCATTGTTCAGAGCATGCACGCAACCTTTTGAGTCATGTTCTTGGGTGTCACACTGACATTTTTCAGAGAAATTTAAGTTTTCTGCCAGAAGTTAGAATTTAAAGTACACGATTGAAGTGATAGTGGTGGATTACAGATATCGTCTTTATTTAGGTCACTGTCAACAATCCACAAAAGCTCAAATAGTCAGATGCACTTGTTACTGTGCAAGTTTAACACAAAAAATACAAAACATTCAATCAAATTATGGACCATCCAAATTAAGTGCTACTGTATGTTGGGTTGTTGTTGTGCAGTGCAGGGTGATTAGTACTGTATGTCTAGGTTGTGCTCAAATTGTTTACCTTTCTGCACTTTCCAAAATACTGTGTTGCTGTAGTTCTGCTGGTGATGCAGCTGTGGGAATTCAATAAAGCAACCATTAAACTTGTATGTGTCTCCTGCTCTGTTTGTATTAGAAAAATGGGAATCCTGCTTGTGCACCAGCCTTCTAATCTACATCAAGTAACCTATGTTGAATTTAAAGTATGCAATGTCAGATGTCCCAAGATGGATGTCAGTGTTTTGAGTTCTTTTAAATACACCTAATAAATTACAAAAAACTATTTTCCCAATATGATCTAGTTATTTTGATTTTACATTTTGTATGTAAACCTTTCCAGAGCTGCAGTGATTAGTCGATCAGTTGATTAGTTGATCAACAGAAAATTAATTGCCAACTATTTTGATAATCAACAATGTTAGTCATTTTTCAAGCAAAAAGGCCAAATGTTCTCTGGTTCCAGCTTCTCAAATGAAAGAAAATAAGCTATTTTTCACTTATAGCAGTCAGTGTTATATAACAATCAATTGAATATCTTCAGGTTCTGGACTGTTGGTCAGATAAAGTTAATAAAATGAAGCCATCGGCGTGATCTCAAAAAAATTGTGAATGGCATTTTTTCACAGTTTTTAACATTTCATAGACTAAACGATGAATCGATTATGAAAACTATAGTTGTGGCCCTAAACCTCTCAGGCTCTTGCCTTAAAACCCATATTCTTTTCTTGACTCCCCAACAACATTTTACTTTCCGTCACATGAGGTGATGAAGTGGTTAATATCCTAAGGCTCTCATGGCCTGCGGCTCATCCTGACCGATTTTGGATGCATTTCAGCTGTGAAGGGCTGAAACAGGAGGAAGATAGAAGAGCTGACGACATGTTGTCTGGTTATTCAATTCATCGCTGTGGACACAGACACAAGACCTTTCTCTGTGTTGCTAAAGAGCAGGCACAGTGTGATATGCAGTTTATTGACCTGACTGACAGGACTCTGTTAAAGACCAAGAAAGTGTGACAAAGTGCTTTTTAAAGCTTATTTTGGCCAACTCTGAAGGAGGATTATTATGTCAGTCAGTAGCCTGCACAGATACTTCCAGAGCTAGAGATGCAAATTGAAAACCCCATTCAAAAATTGTGTCTTTTACAAGGACTTTACCTCTCCATTCAGGTGACTATAGTAACAGTAAACTAAAGGTGTAACCTGCCATTTAAGAAGGTCACATTTGCATCCAATAGTAAAGGGCAGGAGTTATCAACACTCAACCCCACTGTGTACTCAACTGCACTGATTACTTACATTACAGATGACTGCTGCTACTACTACAGCAGTCATCTACTACTATTGCTTTATTTTGTATTGATTTTCTTTTGTAATCAATGAAGAAAATCTCAGAAAAGCTGTCTATTTCAAAATAGGGCATACCTGTTATTTTAAGCAACTTGAAGACAGGGCTTTACTGTAGCTGTAGTTTGAGTACACTGAGGTTGTTTGGGGAGCTTTGCAACCTGGGAGGAGATAGCATTCTAGTTTGCTGTCTGTATTTTCAATTTAACTACTTGAAGGTCACCAAATAAATAAATCAATAAGAGAATTATTATTTCTCCAGCCTTGTGGACAGGGCTTTGAAACAGGATTTAGACCATCATGTTAGAACATAAAATTGGTTTATCTATCTGGTCAAAACTCAAACATGGATGGATTAACCCTCCAGGGGTTCCTGGGGCCCCACTGTAAGTATTCCCATACAGAAACTGACAAAAATGTTGATTATTAGTTAATCGTTTGAAAAAAATCACTTGTTCCAGCTTCTCAAAAGTGAATATTTGTATAACTGTAATATTAGTAAACTGAGCATCTTTGGACAAAACAAGGAAGTTAAAAATGTTAATGTTGTTTTTCAATAGGACTATTAATAGTTGATAACGTAGAGGTGCAAATTGGTGATTAATCAAATTATGCAGACTCAAATGATATAGTGAGCCTGGGACTTTGGGGGCCACTGGGCGGTTGGTAAACCCGTCTGGATCTCAATCTATCTTTCATGGTCTCAAACAGGCACTTTTTGACATGTGTTTGTCCTTTGCTCGCCATATTAAAGCCAGTAGACTTTCTATGGCTCAGGTAAGCATGAAGCACATGCAGTCACTTCAGCCGACTCATAGGAACTGTGAAATAGCAGGACATCTTTTGCAACCCCCTCATCTCTCTCTCTCTCTCTCTCTCATTTCTCTGTCTATCTCTCTCGACCTCCCCCGCATAGATTCCTGTCTGCGCGTTCACGTGTCCTGAAATGCGCGGCAGCAGCGGTGGCTGAGGACAGCAGCAGCGTCAGCCTCACGCAGTTTGGCGGCGCACAAGAATCGTTATTTTTAGCGCCTGGTTCGCGTCGCAGCGTCGGGGGTCGCAGCACGCTTTTTCTCCCTCTCTGTGCCACAGTTTGAGCAGGACTCGCTGAGAGTAGTGCTGGAGGTCTGAGTGCGCGTGAAGCTGCGGGGTAGTTAACGGTAGGAAGCCAGAAGGAGGATAACGGACTGACAGAGCGGGGAGGGGAGCAGAGCACCTCCACTCATCTGAAGGGAGCTTTAACACATATCACAGTATCATCACAGTCCCACTCTGGTCCTTGGTAAACGGCCTGCCCGGAGATGGCTAGCCCCGCCGCAGGTCGAGATGTCCCAAACGCTCCGACGCGGGACGAGTCGCTGGAGCCAAGCCATCCCGAACCAGCCTGTCAGGAAGCCCAGAAATGGATAGAGGTAAGTGAAGTGACCGACCACAGAGGCACCAGGGCCTGCCGTTACAGCATAGCGGGGGACGCAAATGGGTCATACTGCCACATTCTGTGACCGGGGATATAAATATACAGGCCAACAGCACCACCGGTGCATCATCACCTGTTGGGGGCGACGATGCAGTGTTGGGTTACCGCTGTGGGACAACGGCTCTGGTGCATGAACAACCGTGTGTGGTCAAAGTTTTCACTCATGCCTGACTTGATGAAATTCAACACCAAGACCAGCACAGTGCGGACTTTTAACACCGTTCAAGCGAGAAAATAAACGAGAAACACAAAGTACACCCCACAAAATATCCGTTTTTCCCCCCGATTGTTTAGTATCAATGAAGAGCCCATCTTCTACATGCTAGCAGGAGGAACGCCCCCTTTTTCGGGCGCGAGGGGATTCCGGTTGCCATGGTTATGAAACCGGGCCAACATTCACGCACGAGATGTTGTACTGTACAGCACTTGATAGGATGAGATTATCATCCGTGGTCTGCTGCATTGCCTCCACCATCATCTGGCTAAAACGCCTCCCTCTATAAGCCTGAGTGGTGAATCATGATTTGCCTATGGAGCAGCGTTTTGACCCATTTTTGTCTTTCATCATAGCTCAGTCTGCTTTATCCAAGCTACTTGCCAACTAGAATCTCAGATTGGGGAAATAAAGGTTTGGAAGTACATCAAAATGAATTTTGATGCCAAAGTTTTGGTTTCAGCTTCACACCTTAGCTCTGTTTTCACAGGGCTTCCATAATCTGTGTGGCTTGTCCTGCAGTCAACCAGTTTATTGCTGGCTGTGGTAGATAGAGGAGAATGGATTAGATAAGATTTAATTGACACATCAGCACCATTGATGCAATGGCATTTGGATAAAATTGCCTATCAAGCATCTAGCCTACCATCTGCTCTTAGCTTGGGCAAGAACTAGTGCTGGAATGTTTGAGTGTGATTTTCCCTCGGTATATCCTGGTTGCAGACCTCTAAATGTATCAAGTATTTGAGTTTTTCAGTAGGCTTGTTGTGCATGATATACCATTATCAAGTGCAATCATCATTATCCTCTCAAAATACTAAGCTGCAAGCTACGTAAAGCTGATGCTTTACTGCAGCAGAAAGTCTCTCCAGAGTCTGCAGGTAGTAGAAATCAAGAGTAATATCCACAGGCTAACAGGCGAACAAGCCTGTTTCACTTTTGCACATGAATGAATTTGGCAAGCCCCAAACTGTCCAAGCAGTCTGTCCAACATTGTTCGACATACGACTGCAGTCTGGCATGTTTTATGGCCAATAACTCACTATTGTGATTATTTTGAAGTTCACTGACTTGGTTCATCCTGATAAGACTGAAATCCAATGTGAGAGTAAACATTCAAAATTTGTTTAGCGAGGTTCCTAACTGGGGGATTAGGATCGCCACAAGGTTTACAAGATAAATCAAAGAGGTTGCATAATGATTAACAGGATAGGAAAGTAGTAGGAACATTTCTTGCAGATATGTATCATTTTACTGCTTCTAAATGTTCATTAAAATCACTTTTTGGTTCAACTTGTCACCACCACTAAACATAGGGAGCCATTGGGGAGGGTTGACAAGCAGAGATTTATTCAGTTTCAGGGGTCACAATTTAAAAAGGTGGGGATCCACCGATTTAATAAGAGCTGATAAAGTTACATTTTTAAAAGGGGAAGATTGCCCCTAACTTCTTCAAAGACTTTGCAAATGTTAAAACTTCAAAAACATTGAATCAAATTGGTTTCATCTAACATTAGTCCCTCTTCCAAAAACGTTTTTAGCTTTATTATTCAGTCTATCAATCAATCTATCTATCTAAATGAAATGACTTGTCTGGGGCTGCATCTTCTCATCATGATTACTTTTAAAATTTCAGAGGCCACAGAAGTGGATCATTCATCTCCCAATCATCCAGTTCAGACTTGCTAGTGTCCCACATACAGTGCAAGAAAATTAAAGTTATCAACTTTTATAAAATATCTAATTCTGTGGAGAGTTTTGACCTATTTATGTGGCTTTAGGGATGTTAATATGAACAGATAATTTTCCACCAAACTTGCACACTTATCCCTTCAATGAATGATGTTGAGGTTTTATACCACTTACCCTCTCAAGTCATCCTTGTGCCCAACTCAACTCACAACATAGGGTTCCAAGAGATGGAATATCTGCCTCCAGTTTGAGGAATTAGTTTATCAGCTAGGCTTTAATAATTTCACACACCATGAGCATGTGATTACAACACTCCTATAATAAAACATGGCACAAAACAACACTAAGAATCTAACCAAGAATTAATAGACATTTTTGATATTTATTCATCAAAATTTTGCACAATTCCTCTTCAGCATACCACGCTTAAGTCTCCAAATGTTGCTTGGCTAACTTGCCTTCATCATGAACTTGCCTTCATCTGCTTATTATTTTCTTGGTTAGTCAACCAATGACTGTCTTTAGAAAATATCAGAAAACAGTGAAAAATACCTGTTATAATTTCCCACAGCTCAAGGTGACAATGTCTTGTTTTGTCGGACTAACAGTCCAAAACCCAAAGATATTCAGTTTACCATCTTCAATGAAGAAAAGCATAAGTCTTGGCATTTAAGAATGTCTATACTACAGCTGACCCCACCATATCATTATTTAACTGAGGTTCACCTTTCTCATAAAGCATACTGTGTTTTTTGGGAACTACTGTAAAATTGCTTCAAAATTTTAGATTGTGAACAGTTTTTGATGCTTGATGCTATGGATGCATTTTGGTTGGCACTTAAAAAGGATCAATTGCAGCTATGTTACATCAGTAGTAAGCACACTAGTCTAGGTTAATGCTGGCCTGTAAGTCTTAATCTCTCCTGCAGAGTGTTTGCTCGGTGTTCCTTGTGCTTTGTAGTCTTCCTGGCTCCTAATACTCCAGATATTTTCAGACTGGTCAGGCTGACTCTATTTCTAGTGGTGTATTTATACGCTCTCACAGGTGGGGATGATTCAGGGTTAATCATGCCACCCTATGCTCCGTTTGTGTGTGAGTGTGTGTATGTGTGTAAGAGTATGCAAAGTGTATGCACACACACCCATGCCGATCAGCTATGCATGATACTGCTCATACACTCGTCAGACACGCCCCGGTTGGGTGACACTGGTCACTATGGGAACATAACATGGGCAGGCTCTCAGGTGTCACTGTTTCCAGGGGGCAGTAGAGCAGTAGGCTATATATCACCACATGACCCGAGCAGGAAATTAGCCTGGCACAGACAAGACTTTTCTGTCTGTTTATAGCCGAGACAAGGCTGGATTCGACTGTCTCTGATACGCACTGCCGAAGGTGCTTTAAACCTGTTGGATGCGACATTGAGCAACTTTAAAGTTGTACAGCCTCAGAGAGACACAAAGTTAACTTTAGGGGCAGCAGTTAACCTGCTGTCACAGACATGCAGTACATAGCAAGAGTCAGGGCTGGACACAGGGAATAAATGAAAGAATGTGTGTAACTGAGCATGTGTGTGTGTGTGTGCCAGATGTCACAGCTGTCCTGGGCAGATTAACTCCAGTGGTCTCAGACAGCCAGCTGTGTCTGCACGAGAGAGAGTGTGAGAGCCGGGATTCATGGACTTACCATGCATCAAACGCTGTTTAAGAATGTGAAATAATGTTGTTTATGTAAAGCCAGGATTGTCACGGTGAAACACAGACAAAACTAAAGATGCCATGTTGTATTTTCATAAAGCTTTAGAAACGGGACATAAGCTAACCAGCACAGTAATTCATAACAGTACATGCTGTATTATACATAATATATGATTGATTGTCTCTGATAAGCAACAATATACCATTAATATGAACAACACCACTTTTTAGAAGTTCAGAATTGATTGAAATGTACATGCAGTCAGACTTTTAGTATTATTAGTATACCTTATACTTCTTGCACTTATATTTGAATTACACATTTACAGTTTGAATCATAGTTAACTGTATCTTGTTTTCAGTTTAAATCAGAGTTAAGATTACTGCTTCTTTACTGTGCTAAGATACAGCATCTTCATGTGTATACTGAAGAACTGTGACTACATTTTTATGTACAGTGCAGAGTGAAATGTAAATGTATAAAAATGTCCTCTTAGAATACCATATTTTTCCATATTCCATATTTCCATATTTTAGTAAAGAAAAGTAAAAATACCAAAATATCATGCAGTGATTATGCTATGAAGGTGCCTCTGTTCCTCATGTCGAACTCATATCAACTGTCAGCAGCTGAGGGGTCTGGTGCTGTCTGATGTTGACTCAGGTTAACTACTCTGATCCAGATTAAACTCATCCTCAAATCTACAATGCATCTGGATTATGACTTTATCTCTGTCTTTCTCTCTTCCTCACTCTGTTTTTTTTCTCTTTGTTGTCTTCTCTTCATCTTTGTGTACCACATAGCATTAGTGCACAGAGTGCCTGAAGCACATTATAACATTATAACAAGGCTAATGCTTAGGCAACACCACAAATCAACACACCGACTCTCTCAGTGGCCACTCCATCACAGTGGGTCTCAAATACTCCTCATCTTCTTCTCTTACTGCAGGATAATGCGTTTAACTTCAGCACTGGTTTTACTGGAAGCTCACGGACAGTTTAGCATGGTTCAAGCTAGCCCCAGTTTGTGCTTCTTATGTATTACTCTGCAACTGATGATTGTTTTTATGATCAATAAATCTCAAGATTGTTTTCCCAATAAAAAAGTTTGTGTTTAGTTGTTAAACTATCAAATGTTCTTAAAGTATTACCAAAATCCTCATAGACTTGGATGAAAAAAAAAAACCATGGAATTTCAAGCTAATTTCCAGAAATTGGTCAAAAATATTTTTTATTTTGTAGGACAAAATATTTTTGAATTCAGGTAGTCCAAGGAGTGTCTGGGGATTAAATAAAAACAGCATAAAATGTTGACCCTCTGTGCTTTTCAAACACTGACAAGCATTTCAGATGCTCAGCTCTGTGACTCCAAAATAATGGTAATCCACGAGAGGCACAAAGTGGGGCTAGGTTCAAACCAGGAGACTGCCTGACTGTCCCATCCTAAAAATAAACAACAATTTGAGTAAACTGCAGCAACATGGCCCCAAACAGACTCCTCATCTCTTAGTGTGGGACTGCAAAATCCTGGCTTTTGTCATTTAAGTGCATTACAGCACATGATGTGCTAACCAGAAATAACACCACTGTGTTAACGATGTACTATATCATTGTCTCTTCCTCCGCTCGCTCTGATTTTCAAGCCTCTCATTCTTTCCATCTTTTTGCAGTTATTAAAATAAAAGCAAAGGTTACTTTGGCCTACTTCTGCTTCTCCTCTGCCCCCGCACACACTCCCACCTCAGGGTTTAAATGGTAGCTGCTGCTGCCATTCACCCAGACTGAGCAGAGCAATCCACCATGAGGGCTGAGAGGGAGCGACAGAGGGTCGAATTACCGTTGCTGGCGCTGAAATACCCCCAAGGCCTTTGGCTTGGTTTTTGTAGCAGACATGAATGCTCACTTAACACACATGTACACATTCTGTCTCTCTTTTTTAACAAACACACAAATGTCACGACAATCCCTTTCTGTCTGTTCATTTTATCCAAAATGTGCACGCTCACACAAGTCACTATGTCTAATTGCTATATTTCAGTTTTGAGCATTTTACGCATAGCCAATCATCAACCACCTCCACCCCTCACCCACTGTCTGTGTCCTGCCTCCCCCTTACACACTACCTACACAAAATACAAACAAGTAGTCCTGCTCTGCCTCAATACAGTACTCTGCCTGGTGAGTAAATTATGCATGACCATGGTGTAAATGTTTCAAAGGCCTGGAGTCGAACCTTAATAAACATGACATGTGCCAGCGTGTGTGTGTGTGTGTGTGTGTGTGTGTGAGATAGCAGAACGATGAAAGACAAGAACAAGAAGGGGATGCCAATGGGAAACATCTGGTCATCACTTATATAACAAAAAACAATAGACTATTTTCATAGCTTCAGATGCACTATGTGTGTGTGTCTGTGTTTGTATTTTCCCCTCATACATATGGTACATGTCCAACAGAACTGTACGTAAAGAATTAGAAATAAATCATGAATATCACTAGTAAGAGCAGACAGAAACCAGAAGAAAGTTGATTAAATTCCTCAGATTATTAACTGTCTGTGAGCAGTTGACCACAAAAACTGACCCATTGGCTGAGATTAAGTCTGTTTGTTTGTAGACGCATGTATAAGAGCGTATGTACGAGCAGTAGAGACAGAGAGAGTGTGTGCCTGCAGTTAGCAGTTTGGGTGCTAAATGTAATCTGTGCTAATCTGGATTAGAGGTCTAAACAGCTTCAGTCAAACCTCTCTGCTTTTCCATTCATCTTTGGCTGCTGGTTACACAACAGCTCCAGAGAGCAGTGTGTGTGTGGGTTGGTTTGGTGGTAATATGTCACTGTTAGCTTCCTGATTCTCTCCTCCTCTTCTCCTGCCTGTACAAGACAGATGCTAAATTAGAGTCCAAGTTGAAGGAGGTTATGATTGCAGCTTTTTCAAGATGCAACTGCATGCCTCTAAATCAGGGACGTGTATGTGGGTGCATTTTGGGAAAATGGAATGAGGACACAGAGCGGTGTGTCATTGGCCTGGCATCACTCTAATTTGGTTTCTACTGAAGCAAAATGTTGGGGGAAGGGTGAACCATGCAGCAGCAGGTTCCTCTGTTAGGGACACAGTGAGGCACAATCCCAGGATTTAATTATAAAATACTTGTCTACAAATGACTGTCATCATATTAGGGCTATAACTAATGTTTACAACTAATGATGAAACACTAGTGACAAAAAAGGCCACAAGATGTGACAAATGACATCTGAATTTCCAGAAGCCCAAAGTGACATCTTCAGAGTGCTTGTTTTTCTTTCTAACTCTGCAAAAAAGTAAAAGTAAACAATAGAGAAAAGCTGCAAATCTTCTCAGTTGAGAAACTGGGACCAGAAAATGTTTGTCATTGTTGTTTGATAAATGACTTAATTCATTGTTAATATTAATATTTTTTTCTAATCTTTGATGCAAGTGACATATTTGTGATGGAGAGTTAGTTAGTTAGTTGTTTAAGATTTATCAATGCAGGAAATTTCAGATGAAGAAATCAGGATCTATTTTGCAAGTGAGACGTGAAAACGTGCATTATTTCTGGGTAGACATTTGTGTATGTATATATATATGATGACATAATGGGATTTAAAATGTCTTTTCTACATTCCATGTCTGTCTTTGTCTTTTATGCTGTCATATCCTCAACATTGTTTTTTCATCCCCTCTGTCATATATTTCATTACTTTTTTAATGAAAATTTGAACCCATGAATAACTAATAAAAGAAGTAGAGATGCACCAATCTACATTTTTCTCTCCTGTCTCCAATATCTGCTACTGATACTTACGTGAGTACAGTTGAGTACAGACCAGATACCACTGTTCCCTTTTCCCCAAATTTAAAATCGGTGTACCTCACCATGTGGAAATAATTTTTATCTAAGGTTATATGAGGGAAAAGATTGCTGTGAGTTGGTAGCCCACTTTGATTGATTGAATGCAGTTGTTTTTTTCCATCACGTTGTCAGAGAAACAATACTGATACCTGATCTGCTGAATAAAGCAACAATCAGGTGTATTGGATTGGTGCAATCTTAGAGAGAAAGATGAAAAAGACTAATGTTTGGGCTCATTAGTCTTTCAAAGAAGAATGATCAGTTTGCTAGAAGAATTTAGTTGCATTTGCAATTAGTAAGTCGACAGAAAACAAATTACCAGCAAATATGATTATCATTTAGTCGTCATTTATCAAAAAAAGTAATGTGAGGAAATGTGAAGATTTTCTGCTTTTCCGTTTTATATAATTCTCACCTGAGTATCTTTGTGTTCTGCACTGATGATTGGATAAAATGAGCAATTTGAAGACAACACCTTGGACATTTCTCAATGATTACTGTTATTTCATAGACTTAACGAAGAATCAACAAACAAATAATAACCATTAGTCAATCAATATTCAAAATTTCTGTTGGCTTCAGCCCAGGTTCTAGTCCACCTCCTTTACATCTGTCTCTTCCTGTCCCCCTTCTCAAGGCTGTAACTGGGAAGAGCTTTGGAGACAAGGACTTCCGCAGTGCACTGGAGAATGGCATCCTGTTATGCGAGTAAGCCCATGACATCACTCCACTTCAGTTTTTGATGTCTGTAGTAGCAACAACATACAGAAACTCCCCCAAGACCCAATAAATCTCTGCTTCTCCCTTCCTCCACACAGGCTGCTGAGTGCAATCAAACCAGGGTTGGTCAAGAAGATCAACAGACTGCCCACCCCCATTGCTGGGCTGGTAAGAAGACACTCTCTAGTGTGATATTGAGCCCTGTGAACCACCCTGTTCGTCAAAGTGATAAACTCTGACTGCCTGTCATCCCCTGCTGTTTCCTCTAGGACAACCTGTCAGTCTTCCTGCGGGGCTGTGAGGAGTTGGGCCTGAGGGGCTCCCAGCTGTTTGACCCCGGGGACTTGCAGGACACTTCTATACGAGCAAACCTCAAGTAAATAGGCTTGTTGGTGGCTTTCATTATCTGTACATGTCCAATTGAGTGTAGTATCACACAACAGTAACACACTTTTCTCTCATCAGGGACTCCGACTGCAACCGCAAACTAAAAAATGTGAGTTATTGCTCTTTTTTATTTTTCTCCTGCATTAACTTCAATGCCAGTGTGTTTAGCATTTATAAAATACACCAACCAACCTTATCTATTCTTCCCAGGTGCTGAACACAGTGTTCTGGCTGGGGAAGGCTGCCAGCGGATGCGCCTCCTACACTGGCCCTAATCTCAACCTCAAGGAGTTTGAAGGGCTTCTTGCTCAAATGAAGATGGTGAGTGAACACAGTGATGAGGACAGAGAAGGGGGCAGGGAGACAGATAGACTGATAAGAGCATAGAGGAGGCGCAGGGGATGGATGTGTTAGTTTCCTGTCTTTGTTGGGGTGCAGGAGACAGGAGAAAACACATCTTTGTTTTTGTTAGACCACAGCTACTCCTATTTCAGGGAGAGTCAGATAGAGAGGAGACAGGATAAAGTTAAGCAAGAAGCCTGGCTCTGTAAATTTTATCTTTTGGATCAATTAGGGTCCATTTAAATTAGTTAATCTTTGCAGTTTAGAGTTCTCTTATCTTCTTTTTTTCAGTTTTCTTTAATTTGTCAGTCAGTTTCCCCTCCTTCGTCTCTTTTGTATCTTCTCTCCAATGAATTTCTTCTCTCACTTGTGTCCTCTGAAGTTATTTTCTTTTTGCATCTTTACTACTTTATGCAGTTGTTCAGATATGTTACTGTTGTCTGATGTGGTGCATTGTGTGCAGGACATTACATCTACATGCTGGCATCAGTGACTCTGTTACTGTGTAGACACACTGTTACGAACCAGATAACTCAAGAATGATGTATAGTTAAAAACTTACACCACAGGTAGTCCATATGGAGTAGACAAGCTGATTACATCTAAATTTTAATGAGGGAAGACTGATTTCCCAGACTTTAAGATAGCAAGTTCATTATACCAGGTATGTGGCATGCAAAGACAAACATGTGGGTATGAAAAATATTTGCTTTTCAACATGATAACAATAAATAATACAAACTTCATACTTGCACTAAAGGTGCACTGATCTGATGAATTGATGAGATTCATAAATTTGCATAATAAGGAGGTAAATTTGTGTTAGAATTCTTGACAACAAACTGTTAACACTGTGAGCATCTGTGTTGTTTAGTCATGGAAATTATGTTTGGACATAAAAGAAGTGCCTCTTGTCCATGTGTGTGTTCGTAGGAGAGTGATGAAGGAGGTGACAGTCCACAGAAACGCAGTGTTAGAGACAGCGGCTATGACTGCTGGGACTCTGAGAGGAGTGAGTCTCTTTCCCCACCACGACACACTCGTGACAACTCCCTTGACAGGTGAGAGACATCTGTCAACACACACACACGCACATAACCCAAATATGTGGACACGTGAGAAGTTCGATGCACGTGTTGACATAAAACTTACATTTGCTTTCAAATAAATGTACCATGTGTCGATTTAGTTGCAACTATATGAAACTGTAATATGTTTTTCTGGTCTGTTTTCTTTTGTTTTGGACAGTCTGGACTCTTTTGGCTCCCGCTCACAGCACAGTCCGTCTCCAGATGTGGTGAATCGTGGCAACAGTGACGGTTGGTTCTGTTAAACATCTCTCAAGTAGAAAAAGTTAAAGTTTTGGACTTTGGAGAAAGCCAGGCGAGCCTTCTGCCAGTCTTTATTCTAAGCTAAGCTAACTGCATCCTTTCCGTATCATCTTCTCATACAACTCTAAAAAAGACAGCAAAGAAGAGCAGTTCCCAAAATGTCTAACTAGTCTCTCTAAAGCAGCAATACAGAGTCACTCATCCATAAATAGTCTGACTGCGGTTCTTTAACATGTTGGAGTTTTAACCTTGGTATGTTATTGCCAGTCAGACCGGCTGTGGACAACAGCTGAATATCTCAGCCCGTGTGTGTGTGTGTGTGTGTGTGTGTGTGTGTGTGTGTGTCCCAGATGCAGCAGCTGTTGGTCTAAGTGGCAATCACTAGAGATTTGGACCTGGGAAAAACTGAGGTCAACATCCTGCCTGTCATATGTCAGTCTGTGCATATGTGTCTGTGTGTGTGTGTGTGTGTGTGTGTGTGTGTGTATGTGTGTGTGTGTGTGTGTGTGCGCGCTGGAGGTATCACAGGCATCCTGTTTGTGTCTTTTATGTTGACAGTATATGTGTGCAGCAGGGTGACAAAAAAAAACACTCTTCCAGAGCCGGGAATAGACTCCCTACTGTTTTCCCTACATTTCCCAGAGGTCACAGAGATGGTGTGCTGCTTTACCAAGTAATATTTATTACCCAACAAGAAAGATGGGCAGAGGATATAGTTTTTTACTATTCTGTCTGTATGTCTTTTTGGAGTATACTGCATGAAAAGGTTGTCAAAGGGTTAACAAGAGAAGAAGTGATCAATGTGTTTTTCTGATCAGTCATATAATGGTGCATTTGATTTTAGTAGTGACGATTCTGGTTGGTAATGGAATAGAAGAAATTATTAACTTTTGGTGAACAAGAAACATGGAGCCATATGCCTTGATAACTGTATCATGTTTGGAAAGGTTATTATGCAAGGACCAATTAATTGTAGTTTCTCAAAGTCCTGACATACTTCAAAATACCTCAAACACTCTTTTCTCTTTTACGCGTCATCTCCCTTTGTTGCCCAGGGCGAGGCAGTGACTCGGAGGCTGATGCCCCCAGCAGGAAGCCAGATGTGCGGAAGGATGACATGTTGGCCAGGCGGACCGCCAGCAGTGAATCAAGAAGCTCCATCCCCTTCAACCAGTTTCTTCCTAACCGGACCAACGCCAGCTCCTACATCCCCACTCCACGGCGAAAACCGCATGCAGAGGAGGGAGAGCAGCGGAGGTAACAGCCAACACATGAATACAATAAATAATTCTGATGTAAATGAAATGTAAGATATTAAGAGCTACAAAAGAAAATGCAAAAACCTGAGCTGAAAGAACGAAAACACACACAAATGTACAGACATACAAACTTCCATCATCCCTAATCTTTCCCTGCCATTACACACTATTCCCTAGTTGCCCTCCAGAGCAGGGCAAAAGAACTGGACTGCACAACAAAACTCCCAAGACTGTCACTTGGGCCTTTGAGAACAATGGGGAAAAACTAAAACAAGAAGAAGAGAAGGTGACCCAGGAAGTGTTGGAGCAGAGGAGGCTGCAGAAGTTGGAGAAGGCAGGAATTAAAGTTCTACCTGCTGCTGTTCGCTACAGCAGGTCAGAGAGGACGGGCATGAGATCTGCTGCTGTCATTGTTGCTTCAACAATTTTGGTCGTGTTCACTAATGAAAAGTTGTGATGGTAATCTTGTCTGTGGTTTGCTGTGACACCGGTGCTGTGTCTATCTGCAGTTTGGCTACTTTATGATTAAGTTTTATGTGATAGCATACTGGTTTGTGGAGTGACTAATAACTAAGTGCTTGCTCGTTGTTGGTGTTATGGGAGAGAGAAGCATGTGAGAGGTTGATCCAACCATGTCAGTTGGTTATAGTGGAATAGAGGTTTCAGTGGACGGGGACTGCTACCTGATTGAGTGACTGCTTTTGGGTTTATGTGTCAAAAATTCTCTGGAGCACGTTGTGATATATTCGATTGCAAACTTTGATTAATCAAAAGGACCTGCTAACAATATTTGTGGGCAAACGCTGAGTTTGAATTTTTGCACGTCACTACCTTTGCTCACAAAGTGACAGGATGGATTTTCAATCATCTCTGAAATGACCATGCTACATCATCCCGTCTCCAACTCCAGCCCTCCCACAATGGAGGAACAGGAAGTAAGGTCACCGTCTCCAAACATCATCCTTCGTTGTGAAAACGACTTTTTGAGCTCTCAGAAATCTGCCTGGGATTCCTCCTCTGACGGGGAGGAGGAAGCAGAGGTGCGGAAAGTCCCAGATGTTCGTAGAGATGACCTAGCGTCCAGACGAGCTCATCGCGGCCCTGCTGCTCCCAATGTGCACCAGTTCCTCCCTCCACCCGTATGTAGCAACAAGGACCGAGAGCGGTGGGAGGGCATTAGACGGGCCTCACAGCAAACACTGCAGAAGACGGAGATCAGGTTAGCTGTGTATGATTGTGTGTGTGAATTTGCCTTTTTTCTTCCATTGCCTCTAACTCACCTCTAAATATTCTTAACCATTTTTCTTGCTCTTTCTTTCTTTGGGTGTTGCGGTCACTTGTGGTTTGATGTGTGTGCTCCACTGTGATGTGTAACATGTGCCGTGTGATACCACTGTACTGGCCTTGTGATTGGACAGTGAGAAGGAAACATTCCCTGACATCATTACACGCAGAGACAACCCGTTCCTAAACTCTGCCCCTCGCCACAAGGAAGAGGAGGAGGAGGATGAGGAGGAAGCGGGAGAAGAGGGAAGGGTAAAGGCGATGCCAAACAAGCAGAAGGATGACCTGGCTCGTAGGCGGGCACAGAGTAGGCCCCTCCCTCACAGGGATGGACCAATGAGCTTTGTTTCTGCCTCCATGAGCCAGGCAGATATGAAGAAGTGGGAGAGACTCAAGATGACTGATTCCAGGTGCCCAACACACACTCTCTGTTTCAGCACACATGCAGTACAAAGCACTTATATGCTATATGTCCAGTGTGTGGTTTGTTAATGACTGTGTGTAGCAAAGCTGATGAGAGAATGTGCAGTTCGTGTGCATTTGCTTCTAGTTTTTGCTCCAGTCTTGAGCAGGTCATTGTAGGCAGAAGAGTGCCATAAATCTGCATACAGGTAACCAAGCAAACTTACATATGAAACAAACAGCAGCTTGAATATGAGTGGGGGTTTAATATTTCGGCTGAAATACAGTTGAATCCTCACCAAAGTGCACAAAATACACATTGTTTGAAAGCTCAAAGCCTAGTGAATGTATCTCTGTCAGCCATTTTAAAATCCCAATGTCTTTGTAGCAACATTATCTGTTGTTTGCAGGGGTTCAAGAAAAAACAAGACAAAAAGGAGGTGCAAGCCAGAACAGCAAAAATTTTAAAAAAGCTCTGCTGTAATCGCAGCTTAAGTCTAATTCTGACATTTTCACAGTAAACTACAAAGAGCTTCCATTCAGGAGAGGATCATGACTGTAATCAAAAGGGTTCAAGAATACTGAACATGTTGTTTTGGGTATGTCAGGTGGTAATTTGTAAGGGGGCAGGTGAATATTCAAATACAGTCATTTGAATAATTTGAATTTTCCCCGGTCACAAATAAATGTAGCTGACAGGCTAAATATAGCTGAAATAATCTATGTAAAAACATAAGTTTCTGGGCCCAGTCAGGACATACTCGTAAAACAGCAAATTTTTGGATTAAAGGTATAATTAATAATTAGTTTAAGTTTTAATTTTTGGGCTTTAGAGGTGGCGGCAGGTTTTATTACCTCTGGACAGAGTCAAGATAACTTTTCCCCCTATTTCCAATCTTTATGCTAAGCTAAGGTAACCAGCTGCTGCTGTCGCTTCATATTTTCTGCAGGTATAAATCTTCTCACTATCAGCAAGAGAGCAAAATGTCAAACTATTACTTTAAGTAAGTCATCAAGCAAAAAATGCCCAATATTATTTTGTTACAGCTTCAAATGTGAGACTTTGCCACTTTTCTCTGTCATATGATATCATTATAAATTGAATATCTTTGGATTTTTGACACTTGGTCAGACAAAACATTCAATCTGAAGATGTCGCCTTGGGCTCTGGGAAATCACAATGGGCATTTTTCCTTTGTTCACTGACATTTTATACAAGACTTGATTAGTTTAGTGACCAAAAAGTGATCAACAGGTTACACTGTAATGTAAATAGTTGTTTGTTGCAGCCTTAAAAGTAAATAAAGTATACTTGAGCCAGATTTAAGGACATGTCACTGAAGTCCCCTCCTCTAACAATCTTATATTGTTACAAACACAGAAAAAAAACCAACAAAAAAAATACTTTCATCATCTAGCTGCAGCTTTATATATGTCTAGACTTACTTTCCCCCCTCTCCTTGTCTCTGTTCTCCCCATGTTCTCATCTGCTTGTTTATTCTCCTCATTATTGTGCACTTCAGTCCTCTTCAGTCTTCTTTGACAGGCATTGAAACAGAGTAGGGAATTGGCCGGTGTGTATGAGACTCTGTGTGTGTGACGAAAAAAGAAAAGAGGCGACTGTTGGCTGTGAGCACTGCTTTGGCTTTGTTTTTCTCTCTCTGTGCTGATGTCATTAGATAGGATAAAGAGTTTTTTGTGTTCCCAGAGGAGCGGCAGTTAGCGGGAAATTGTGGCTACCTAGAGTAGATAAAAAGCGTGGCATGCATATGTGAATTTACGTTTGTTGAAGTGATTTAAGTACACAACCCCATGCTTTTGTCCTCTTCTGTCCATCCACACTTCCTGTCTGATTCATCATTTCCACCTCATCCTTCCTTTGTATTCACAGTCTGATCCTTTGTTTCTAGTTGCTCATGATTTCTTTTCCACTGCCTCTTCTCCCCCTGCTCTTTTGCTGGCTGTTGTTGTGTGTGTGGGTGTATTTGTGTGTGTGTTCATTTGTGAGGTTGTTATATCTACAGTGAGGCTAGCCCGGCACCTGTGTGTCAGGCTTGTCTGGAGAAAAATTATGGAAGTCCTTTCAGCGGATCAGCAAAGGCTGGACGAAGTCAAAGCAAAGTTGTGACCTTTGGGGGCGTGACTGAGATTGAGCAGCCAATAGACACAGTCACATCAAATGAAGGGGAGGAGACAGAGTTGCTAAGACGACTCCTTTCCAAGGCAACTGTAGCCATGCCTACAATTGGCCTGGGCTCCCAGCTTTCAGAGCGGGAACGCAGGTATGGACGAGGCCAAGTACAAGACAACTTAGGCTACAGTGGCTCGAATCCAAAGTCACTTGCATTATTATGGACTGCATTGAGGAATAAATAGTTCCTTTTCTGTTGCATTACATATTAATTGGTTTAATTTAATTGCTTGCCAGTGTCATTTTAGGAAATGTCATTTCAAGCCTATTTGAATTAGTAAATTAGGTAGTTTGGCTGCGCCTCTCTGCATTGTACTGATTTGCTTGTAGTTTTAATAAGAAACAAAGGTCTACTCACACACACTCACACAAACACAGACACATGCATGCACAATAAACCTTACTGTGATCGACCGACCAATACTGGATTTTTTAGGCCAATATATCAATATGCAAGATTTTTTTTTTATAATCTAGTAACAGTATATCATTTTCATAAGGATCTCTTAAGTTAGTTTTTTTCTTTAAGCTGTGACCATGATGTGGATTGAGTAGGACATTATCCACATACAAAATAAACTTTTCAGTGCTCTCTGGCTGACGAACATTGTGGTAGAGACACTAAGACAAACTACCTCAGACGCCTCTTTGGCATTTCTGTACAACAATTTCCTGTCACTTATCGCCTAGTGTTTATGCTGATGCTGAATATATATGTGATAACCTAATACTTGCCAAGTCAGCCCAGTCAATCTAGCCTGATGAGAAAAAAACAACAGTATCAGTTTATTTCTCACATGTTCACTTGAGAGTGAAAAAACTTTGCCTTACAATTGTGATGTATGCACATTTTGCATTTTTACATATGTTGAATTTTTATCCTTTTACTTTTCTAATCCCTTTTTGACATTAGTCTTCTAGCACAGGTTTAGGAGCATGCCACGTTGCATTTCACTACACATATTGCTTGTGTATGTGAGAAGTAAACCAGTGAGTCCTTGAACCCTTCTAATGTACAGTATGTTTTTTATATTTTTTAAGTGAATTTCTGGTCAGAGCAAAAGCTCCACTTTATAGATGGAGGTTGTCACAAGACTCTGATGGTCAAAGTGTCTGTGTGGCTCAAAATCTCATTGTGGACTTTTCTGTTTGTTTTGTTTTTTAGTAAATTTGCATCACCTTTGCATGTTTTCTGAAAATACAGTCAGTATTCTGACCACCTGCCCTGCGTTTCTGCATGTACATGCCTGGATTTTAAGGCTATAGTTGCAAGTTTGGATATGGATTATCCATCATTGTGGCTGCAGTTAGACCTTTATGCGATGCTCTCACAGCCAGGTTGATGGAGCTGACCTCAGTCAAACTCCCCCTCCTTCTGCTGACCTCCCACCCTGGACCCCTGAGGTTGCTCTGACTCCTGCTGAGCTGGATGCTCGTTTGGCTCAGTACGAAAAGAGAACAGAGGAGGAGGATGAGGAGGAACAGGAAAGGATCCCAGATCTGCAGAAAGACGATATGATGGCAAGGAGGACAGGTGTTTTCCATAAACAAAGCACTGCTCCCACAGTGACTTACAACCGTTTCCTGCCTCTGCCTGGCTCCAAACGCTGCACACAAGGGGAGGACACCACTGATGCTGCTCCGCGGAACAAAAAGGAAGTGCAGACCGACGGAAACAAGAAACTGAATGTCAGGTGGGCTGAGATTTGTTTTGGACAGTGTCTAACAGTGTGCAGAGAGCACTAACAAGCTTGGTGTGGTTTGCATCCTCAAAGAGATTCTACAACTCGATGATTAGTTATTTCAACTACAGTAGTTTCTCTCACAGAGTGGAGCAACAGCAACCCAGAGTTCACATGGAAGCACCTCAACCGCAGCCTGATGCAACGGTGATCCGACCAACATCTCACAGCGAATGTGAATATGAGGATGATGAGGATGAGTATGATGAAAATGAGCCTGTGCCGGACGTGGAGAAGGATGATATGATGGCACGAAGGACCGGGTCTTTTCAAAAACCCGTTGCAGTCAGAACAAATCAGTCCTTTAATCAGTTCCTGCCTGTACCTGGATCAGTTAAATATAACATCAGCCCAGTGTCTGCGATGAAGCAGCTACACAGCAGACCTAAGTTCACAGAGAAGATGGCTTGTGAAAGGTATTTACTCTGTCTGACTGATGAAGCGATTGTGGTGTTGGTCAACTACTACAGCTAACAAAGCATATTTTACTGGCAAAGATGAAGGTTTAATCATGTTCTCAATCAAGTTTTATGGCCTGCAGTACTAACATTAGGTCCCGGTGGATGATTTAAATCCTGACTTGATGGTGTTGTCGTTTTGGTTCCAGCATGTTTGAGTGCCTGCAGCTGCATGTCTGATGTGGTTTCATTTGTATTATTTGTATATCCAAGGACTGGTAGATTTGATTTGTTGTTGTGGTCGGACTCTTGCAGCTCTGTTTCTCACATGCTTTGGGTCAGTTTGTGCTTGGTTTGGACTCCTCTGGCCTTATATTTCCTTGTTGAGGTTGTTAACTTTGGTTTTGTTTGGCATCACTTTGATTGTTCACTTTCGGTGGAGTATGGAACGATGTTGGCTGACTACCGACGCCTGTTATCTTTGTACTTTTAAGTGTAAATCACTGCTGAATCACATGGGGACGAAAAACTGTTGCTGCACTACGCTTTAGTGGTTGAAACTCTCAAAGGGTTGGTTCACCCAAATTACATAAAAAATAACCCTCAAACAAAACAGGTGTGTAATTACCTAATAATTGCTTTGTAAATTTTCTGGATTTGAATTTTACTCTAATTATAGGAACAATTAACATTTCTTTGAAATAACTGCTCCAATTAATATTAATCTATTGTTGAACTCCTTAGTCTCCACATATGTTAACTTGCCTGAAGACATATTTTACATTTTTCTGTGTTCACCTGAGCCACTGTGTATTAAATAAAAGACACGTAGTTCTTCCCAGTAAACTTCCTTGGAAATTATGGACCTGTAAAATAAACAGAAAAAAAACATTTTTTTATATTACCTCTAATGTCGTCTAGCCAGACAGATAGCTATGGTTCATTTTCCCAGATTTTGAGATACATATGTTTATTATACGTAGTTTGCTAGAGCCCATGAATCAAGTAAATAGCGCGACAATCAGTCGATTTATCAGTTTGTTGATCAGCAGAAAATTATTAACAATAATCAATTTAAAGCTTTGCACATTCTTAAGTTTTAGGGAATTGCAAGAGCCATATTAGAAAAGAATGACACCCTTTAACTCTAAACAGTGCACGCAACTTGCTGTATATAGTTTTCATAGGGACCATTTCTTCAGTAAAAAGTAGTTCAATCCAAACTGCTCACGTTGAGTTCAGTGGATTATCTAAACTAACAGGAGAGAAATGTTTAACGTCATCTTGTTTTGAGAACCATAAACAAATATGTATCATTGTGGAGGCAGAAATCTTAGATGTGAGAGAGGAATTTGTAATTTGGGTGAAATGACATGTAATCTGGCCACTCAGTTATCTCACAGCAGGTTTTTGCTTTTGACAGTTCATAGAAACTGACATCAACTACCGGGGTGTGGTCACAAGTACAGGCCAGCTGCAGTCTTCTGTTGTCTGTGATGCTGTCTTGATTTACACTTTAATCTGTGTGTTTTGGTAATCTTGGCCTTGTCACTGGATTTTAGCAGCATCGTTACCGTAGCAGCAGAACCTCAGGCCCCGCCTCCCGCAGCCCCAACCAGCCCCAAGTGTGCAGAGCTGAGGGAGAGGCAGGAGGAGGAGGATGGAAAGCAAGAGGGAGACATGACAGTCCCTAACACCTCTGTCACAGATGTGACTGAACCCCTCTCTTGTCCATCACTCACCCCTCCACCCAGTCCTGCTGCTGCCCGGATCTGTAAAGTGGAGGCAGAGTTGCAAAAGCAGAGTGTGGAGGACATAATTGAGGGAAGAGAGGAAGAGAGAAAAAGGGATGTGGATGAGCAACCACGAAAGAAACCGTTCTGGTTGGAGGACGATGATCTACCTCCCATAATGTGAGATGCCCGTTGAAGCTTCACTTCAAGTTTTTTTTTTTTTTAGTTTCACATATTTACTAGATCTGTGAATGGAAGTGATCCAGATGATTACTATCTACTAGTGTTCTTGCTGCAATGATGGCAAATGTTTAATTGAAGATGACGATACCACTCCTACATAACCCCTCCCCTATAACCCCTCCCCTCTCCCTCACCTTTCCTCTCATTCATTTTATTCTGTCATTGTTTTAGGATGAGCCGGCGAGTTGCTTTTATGTCTGAGGACACAGAGTAAGTCTTTCAGCGTGAACCTGGAAGAGCTTCTGCATGACAACATATGCACGTTGTGCATGTTCGATTTCAGTCCAAAGTACAGTCAGTCCAAAAATATATGAATATATGACACAATAACTCTGTAGTTATTACTTATTACTAACATCCAGTTTGTTATTGTCATATTGGGCTTTTAAGTTGTATTTTTCATGTAATTCTGTCAGTGGTGGAAGAAGTACTCAGATCTTTAACTTGAGCAAAAGCAGCAATACAGCAGTGTAGAAATAATGTTACAGGTAAGAATAGAGTAGTGTTATCATCAAAATATACTACCAAAAAGTAACATTACTCATTATGAAAAATGGCTCATTTCAGAATAGTGTATATTATATTATTGGATTATAATTATTGATGTTAATGTGTTCATGTTGCAGCTGGTAAAGGTGGAACTCACTTTACATACTGTTAGATAGTAACATTAACTTATGGTGATACATCATAACATATTTTTTTTTATTATATTTTGTTTTATTAAGAATTTTAGTGAAGTTAAAGTAACTTTCAATGGAAATACACAAGTACAAATACCTACAAATTATATATTTACTGCACATGCAGTACAGTAAGTGTACTTTCCACCACTGAATTCTGTTATGTAATTTTTTGGTTGTTTTGTTTAAATTAAGTTAAAGTAGTTATATATGCTAATATAAACTTCTCAACTAACACAGTATTATTAATTTGAATGAATCTGTTTGGCTTGCCAATTACAGTTTATTAATTTGCTCAGTTGCTTGTTTATAATTCCTTTGTGATTAGTTTATGAATCAATAACATATGTTTGTTACTGTGTGGAGGTGTGGGGCAACTCATACGCAACTAATATAAATCCACCATGTGCAGAGAAGATCATTAAGAATGATAATGTAATTTTTATGTTTAGTGGACTGTTATTGGTGCTATCTTGTACCAAAAAGGTAATTACCAACAGACCATCTTTAACTGTCATCTATCTATTTTAAGAAAGGGGGAAGATTTCTTTTGGCATCTCTGCTCCTTTTTGATTGTTGAATGTGTTTTGTTTGTTTTTTTTAATTGAAGTTTACATCTTTCTTTTTTTTTAAACTTCTTTAAACTTTTTTTAAGCACAAGGTTTTAACATTACATAAAGAACGTAACATATAAAGCAAACAATACAGAACATTCAGGTCACTGAGGAAGATTAATTATGGTGTATCAAAAGAATAAACCTACAGACAAACAAACAGTAATATTGCTAAGTTTAAATCTTGTGTGAAATTTTGCATTGGAAACCAAAGTAAGCAATGAATGAAATAAATATAAATCTTTGCTGTTTTCCATAGCCAAGTTGGACAGAGTGAGCATGCTGGGTCAAGTGGTTAAGTGATTTATACAAGATTATCCTCTCTTTCCTGTCTAGGAGTGTGAGTATGAGTGACATACTTAACGAGGAAGAGGTGGGACACTTACCTCCACTGAGCCAGTCACGATATGAGCGCATGCATGAACAGTACAACAGCTTTCAGGAAGATGAGGACCACTGGCAAAATGTAAGAAACTTATGACATTAAAGTAAGATAGCTGTATCCATTTAAATAATAGAGGGAGAAATATTGTGTCCACAAGCATATTCAAATTATTTGACACTGTGAACCTGTGACAGGACTTGGCACGCTGGAAGAATCGCCGTCGCAGCGCGTCACAGGAGCTGATCAAGAAAGAGGAAGAGAGGAAGAGGATGGAAAAAAGGATGAAGCAGGAGGGAAGTGACGGCAACAAGAGGAAAAGCATTAAGACATACAAAGAGATTGTGGAGGAGAAGTAAGGATGATATTGAGGCACTTTCTAGTGTTGCACATGGCACTAAAGATGAGATGAGGTCATTTAAAGTTTGCCAAAGTTAAACCTTGATCCTTGAATAGATAAACATACATTGTCAAAAACACTACCGTGACACCAAATGCTTTCTGTCTCTCTACTTACTCCTCCTTTCTAGGGAGCGTAGAGAAGCAGAGTTGTGTGAAGCTTACAGGAATGCAGCGACACCAGAGGAGGCAGCCATGGTTTTACAGCGTTACGCTCTCCGCTTCACCATCAGCGACGCAACACTGGACAGCCTAAAACTACCCAGATCCACCTCAAAACCCAAATCAGACCTAAATCGGGTGGACAAAGAGCACAAACCCTCACCACCTATTCATGACTCTGAAACATCAGAACCTCTGCACAAACCAGAGCCAGCTGCTATAACAGAACCGAAGCACTCAAAACCTGAGGAGATGGAGACAGAGACCACTGTTCAACAAGAGTCACAAGTTTCACCAGTCAACAGTCCCCCCACCACAGTCACAAGCTCAGAAAATATACCACCTCAGTCATTAGAACTTGATGAACCTCAATCCAAACCCACAGAGTCTCCAACCACATATCAGAAACAACCGATTACAGGAAATGCACAGCCTCAGACCGAGCACACAGCGTCTCAGATTGCACATGTGCAGCCTCACACCACACAGCCACCACACACACTCCCCTCCCCTCCATCTGTAACCTCCAGACCCGTCCCCCTCCTGGCAGCCAAGCCCTACTGCCAGCCCAGGAGCACACCGTCTGGACACAAACCTGTCAAGGTGAGGGCGCGATATCAGTCGGTCACACCAGTCAGCATCATCTGATACTGGATCATTTCACCTCAGTGCCTGCCCTCACGCTTAAATCAAAGAGTTGTTTGCGGCTTTTAGGACGTTGTACTATTTTGACATGGGTGCTGTTTTTATTTCTCTGCATGCAGTTTGAAGGTGTGTTGAGTAATACGTCTGGTTAGTTCTGTCAATATCAATTCTATCAAAAAGCAGAAATGATCTCTGAGCCTTGAGAAGGAGTGCTCACCTTACTGACCAACATGTTGTGATTCAAATATTTAAAGTGATCATTTCTCTACAGACCACAACTAATTAAAGGTCGAACCTCTGATCCACTTCCTTTTATATTGGATACCATACAAATACTGTACAGAACTTGCATATTAGTTCCAGACTATCCTTGTGATCGTGATCTTTGTGTATGTGTCCCACTCAGATGGATGGATTGGTGCGAGTGAATGGAGAGGTGACAGAGGATTTACCTGTTTCCACTACACCTGCCCCCCCTCAGCTCTTGCCACAGGAGATTAAAGATGTGACTCCCAAACAGACGGACAAAGACATTACCCCCAAACAGACGGACAAAGACGTGACTCCCAAACAGACGGACAAAGACATTACCCCCAAACAGACGGACAAAGACATTACCCCCAAACAGACGGACAAAGACGTGACTTCCAAACAGACGGACAAAGACATTACCCCTAAACAGACGGACAAAGACATTACCCCCAAACAGACGGAGAAAGATGTTCCCCCTGAGGTGACAGTGAAACAGCAGGAGACGACAGAGCACCCACCACCTCTGCAGACAGAGAACTCAACCCTCTCCTCAGGCTCTGCCATCAGCTCCTTGATTGGAGGCCGAAACTGTATCATCACAACAACTATTGTTACAGAGCTCACGCAGACTCTGGTGGAGCCTCATCACTCGGATATCCAAAGCAATGCACAGGTAATACTACAAGTGACGTGTACCTGTGTTTCTTTTGGTTTAACCCATTTCCTACAAATTGTACATACTTTACATTCCTACCGACCATTTTCAAAAGGCTACCATTGTTTTTTGGAGATTGTTGAATAGGTGTTCTCCCTTCCAGGCAGACACTTGTTGCAGGTCTGGTGTGCGCACTTTAAAATCCACTTGCAGAAACTTCAGTCTATCTTGAGAGAGGTGCTTCAGGTGCACAATGGTTGTTTACTGTCTGCATAGAAATACAGAAGAAAGTGGAAATTGTTTTCATGACTCTTCCATCTGGGAGCATTTAAGCTTTTATGGAAACCTTTTACACCTGAGACATGAGAATCACGTGTCAATTCATTGTATTCACGTGCTGCATTGGAGAAAATTAAACCCTTGAGGTGAAACATGCACAAACATGGACATTATTGGATCATCATTGGATATGATGAATTTCAGTTTAGCAGCTGACTATGGTCCTGGAGTGTTGGAGTTCATTTATTCTTAATCTATATTGCCACAAAGTGATAATACAAATATACCTAATGTCCCTATTGGGAAATTTGCTTTCTGTGCACAGTGCTTCTAAAAATAACAAATGCAACAGGGGATTCACAGACATAAAACACTGCACTAGGCAATTAAAAAAAAAACAATTAAAGAATAGTGGACAGACATGAGCCTGAACTGAAACACTCCTCAGTTGTTCACTGTGATTGTTGGCGTATGTAAAGCAAGTTTCGAGTCTCTTCGGGTTGATTTAAATATTGCATTTACATGAACTGAAACAAGTGACTGCTTGAGGAAAAACACATCAAAAACAAAATCTTGTGCTTTATTTAAAAAAAATGTTGAGCAGATATTTACATATTATGTAATTTTCACAAAATTTGTTATAATGTCCAAAACTGCCAGGATGGTCCATTAAATATTTTAGAAAATATATATAAGTAGAAACAGAACAAACAGATTTACTTCCAGTTTGCTGGCTTCCAGTAAATGTTTTATTAATTTAGCTGAATATTCAACCTTCAGGTCAATGGTACCACAGGTTTGTTTGGGACACCAGCGCAGGAAAAAAAGGCTCAGTCGGCTCCATCACCCAGCAGCATGCAAGAATATTCTCCCACTGTCACAGGTAACACTGCTTTACCCCAGAGAGGCTCGCCTTTCAGTCACTTATAATTTAAAGAATTATAGTTTATACTCTTGTAAATTTCAAACAAGTATCGTTTAATTTTTCCCTGCTGATGTCTGTACTATTTCTTTTAGCAGATGTGGATGTTATTTTGTCTTTCTCTTCCACAGAGGGCCTTGAGGAGAGCAGTGTGACTGTGAGTATCTCAGGGCAGTTCCAGCTTGTTTTTTTCTGTTTCTCCTTCATTCTTAAATTTGACCCTGTCCTGACCCTTCGTCTCCAGCAGTCGCTGTAGTCATACTTGTCCTCTCACCTTTCCTCTCTTTCTGTCCTTTTGGTCCGTATACATGTATCTGTGTGTGTGCGTGTGTGTGTGTGTGTGTGTGCGTGTGCGTGTGCCCTTGTTGGTCGGGTCTGGTTAGATTGAGACCCCCATGTTGAACTTGGCTAAACGTGTTAATCACTGGGTCTGGGACCCCAATGAGGAGCGTAAACGCCAGGAAAGGTGGCAACAGGAGCAGGAGCGCCTCCTACAGGTACACTGGTGAAATGGTGTGTACGTGCATGGCCCTGGGAATGTTTAGCAGAAAACTGAAGACACAGGCTCTTTTGGATGTTTGTATGTATGTATATGTGTTTAGGTGCTTGTCATGAGTGTGTTTATGTGCAGTAGTTAATGTGTACAGTGTTTCTCTGCAGGAGCAATACCAGAGAGAACAGGAGAAGCTGAAGAAGGAGTGGGAAAAAGCACAGCTAGAGGTGGAGGAGGAGGAGCGAAAGCACAATGAAGAGGTACAAACACACAGAGTGACGCACTTAAATAAAACACAGTTTCCTGGTTTTGTTTGTTTTATTCTTCCTCTTTGTGTGTTTATTTTGTCTGTCCTTCTTCCAGGAGAGACGGATTCTGGAAGAGACTGTAACACCCCTCAATCCCACCAGTTTGTTGAACCAGCAGTCTGGTCAGACAGACACGACTTCATCAGCTCCAGAAAGCAACAAGACAGAGCAGACAGATGTTGCCCTGCAGAAAAACAGCCAAAGCATCTCCACAGGAAACGAAGATCAGCATGAATCAAAGCTGCATTTTTTCCAGGGTGAGATTCATATAGAAATACGCACCAATTTGCAGCCGGTGTCCACATGTGTTTGTGCCCAGCGCAGTCAGTCAAGTTCAAACATGTATTCCTCAGAGTTTCTGTGATTACGTTTTTTTTTCACGATGGGTTTTTGCAGATTCTGTGTGTGATGGTGAATCTTCAAAGAAACAGGAACTGTGGAAGACAGCATCTTTAGACCGCAACCCTCAACTAAACCAGGCACATGTTGTTAAAAGGTATGCCAGGATTTTGTTGTTGTTGCCTTTCTGTTTTTCACATATTGGTAACACAGAAGAAAAGATGCTGTTCAGCTCCGAGAGAGGTTGATCACATGAATGGGTCTGAAATGCCCTTTTCTATTTAACTGAGTTCCAGCTAATTTGGTCACATATAAAGTAGTGTAGGAAGTAACTGTGGGTTAAAATCCATTAGCTGATGATCCATTAAGACTTAACTGATCACATAAAATCACAGTGACTTGGCCATTTCTCAGTGATGAGCAACAGGAATCCATGATACAGCCTGCATTAATTCATACTTTAAATGCATGCTTTCCTTATGTGTTTTCTACCTGTATTATAAAGTGTTAGCCATCTTTTCTTATTGAATGCCAAGATTTTAACAGAGGACAAATGGCTGGAAGCACTGCATGAGTGTATTTTATGTCCATGTGGCGACAGTTTGAACCGTGGATTATTCTACTGTAGAGATGCAAAAATGTTCTCATATTTTCTGAGTCACTCTTTCAAAATGAATAGTTTCCTTGTGAAGCAGCTCTTTTATTTATTACTCTATTTTATTCTTCCAATGTATTTATACAGTTGTCAAGTGAATTCATTTTTTTTTGACCACAGGTCTGGATCGCATGATGTTGTAACAGGAAAACAGCAGTCCTCCTCCTCCTTACCCTCACCACAGCCTCCTTCACCCAGCAGGTAATGACACACATGCACACATACAGAACAGCAGCTTTGAACGTCTTCAATGTGGCAAATTAGGACTGATATTTGATTTCATGTCCATTTTTACACTGCTGTGTCTCTGTGTAGGTGTGTTAGTGGGAAGAGACTGTGTTCTGGTTGTTCCCAGCCTCTGGGAAAAGGAGCTGCCATGATCATCGATACACTGGGACTGTTTTTCCACATACAGTGTTTCAAGGTACTGTATTATTCTAGTACACATGCACACTAATTGGCAAGCTTTATGCTTTATTTGACTTTATACAGGCTTTGGCTTCTGTATACAACTTTTGAAGATGTACAAAGTTTGCTAAAACTTGTGAACTACTATCACAATCATCTCAAAGATAGTGAATGTACATGTATCATCTTCTGTGTTTGTGTGACATATTTATCCATATGAGGGGTTGTCTCAAACAATCTTTTCTATGATTAATGTTCGTCGTTCACTGTATTTCTCTCGTCAGTGTGGAGTGTGTGGCGGGCAGCTGGGTGACGCCACTGCAGGGACTGACGTAAGGATTCGTAATGGACATCTGAGCTGTCATGAGTGCTATATTGCAACTCGGGGTGAGAACACACACATACATACACATGAAGATACAAAAAGACACACACAGACTGATGCACAATGGCACACACATATCTCGTCTTACATTAGTCGTGAAAGTTACCTGTTAACCACATTCATATACTTAAAAAGAAGAAGGCCATGCAAGAGTCGACCAGCTTCTTACTCCACGTTTTCACATCTGCAATATATAGACCTTCACAAAACCACAAAACCTGTCTGACAGTCTGCCTCATCTGGAGTCCTGAAAGGAACTATTTACTACTTTCTGGCTTTTCTAAAGACTCTTCTTTTGATGCTTCTATTGGCCTAACCCTAACCTCTTATCTAATCTAATTTTAAACCTTACTGATTAATATAAATGTCCCTAACCTTCAAAAAGTGGGGTTAATAGAGTAAACCAAACTGACAACATCAACTCACTAATGTCCTTATTTTAAAGGTCTGAGGAACTGGCTCCAACATGAATAAGATCAGACAGACATTCGCAACACTGCCTTAATACTGACCTTATGCGACCTGCCCATTTTTTTCATTTGTTGCATTTCTAGTTGAAGCTCACAAAGGCTGACACCATTATCTCCACCAAAGATTACAGATTAAAAAGACGATGAAACAAAAGAAATTCATAATTTCAATAAGTTATGAGAGAAGACTGTTGCACAGACGTTAATGCCTTGTCATTGTGTGTGTGTGTGTGTGTGTGTGTGTGTGTGTGTGTGTGTGTGTGTGTGTAGGCAGGGGACAGCCCACCACCCTATGATGACCTGCATTTGAACTGGAACCCCACCATCACCGCTGTAGTCTGTGATTGGCGGAAAACGATTCTGGAACCTTGACTCACATTCTGGAACACTCTTGGAATCTCTTCGTAACTTCAGAATCATCGTGTTTTTTTTTCACAAACAGCTTTATGGATGTTGCTGAGAGCAGAACTGGACTGACATGTGGACTAAATGGCACAACATCACATGCACATACAGTATAGTATGTACTTCTTAACTGTACACATGTAAACACTTCTTTTTATTATGTGTAGCATGGACATAATCAAGAAATCAGTGTGTTTAGGCCTTTGCACATCCATATTTAGCACAGTCAAGACACTAAAATAAGAATCTGTACTGTCAGAAGCTAAACATGTTACGCTACAAGCTAATCACTACTGTCTTTAACACAACACGGTTTCACAATCTTGATTCATTAATCCCTGCTTCTGCACTGATCACGTGACTCCACTCTCTGAGTGTGTTGTAAACTGGTTTTGGTTGGATAACCTGAAGTAGCTTGACCATTATAATGCCTTACTCATCATCATACTTTGTCATTCATTTTGGGTTTTGTGTTTACAGTTTTGCATGAAAGAAGAACATATATAAGTTATTGTGAGTATTGCTCAGATGGATAGTGCAGGTTTGATGTAGGTTGTTATCTTCCCAATGGTTGAACTTTAACTTTCCTCTTGTATGTTGTACATCATCATGATAGTTTTGAAGTTTTGGAAATCTGGCAAACTAACACAAGCTTTTTCTTTATATTTCATTTGACAAGAATGGGAATGCATTATATTAAGTAATAATACTTTGACTTTTAAATATTTTCCCTTTAAGATGTTTTAGCCACTGTTTATTCTCATAGACTGACTGCATCTGAATCAGTGCCTTATGTAATGAATGCGAGGGCTAGCGTACTTTATGTGCAGGAGTATTTCCACCCACAGACCTCTGGGTCTTGGCACATTGTGTGTGTGTGTGTGTGCGTGTGTGTGTGTGTGTAATGAGTGTGTGTGCATGTGTGTATGAAATCATGCATGTAGGTATGTATGTAATGTGTGATTTGACTTGAAGCACAGTTCCATACCAGCAAAAAAAATGTTAAATAGATCAGCCGCTCCTAATGACCGTCTGTTCTCTTCCACCTTTTCCCATGAGCTATACCAATGACACAGTTATTTGCTGCTTCCCTATTGATTAACCCCTGATATTATATCAGTTCACAATGTCCTAAAATCTCTCCTTGTCTGCCTCTATCACAAGTGTTGCCTCCCCAGAGTCTGAGCTGAATTCCTCTCTGTGTTATTGCCTCTACCTGGACACGTCACAGCGTCTTCATCACTCAGAGGAATAGAGCGCCTAGTCCATTGTCTTTTATAGCAAGTGTATGTTTATCAATAAAATATTTTAAATGGGATGCTGGGTCTGTTTTTTCTTTGAGTTTTCTTCAATAAAACTGAGCCCAAAGTTTGCAGTTACAGAGATGAACACATTATGACTTTACAGAAAAGTGTCCTAGCATAGATAAACCTATACATAGTGGAGGTGGAGGTATTCAGATACTTCAGTAGTAGGTGTAGTATTTAGATTACTTTAGATAGTAAAAGTATAAATATCACAATGTAATAAAACTCTATTACAGGTAAATGTTCTGCATTCAGTCTTATCTGCAAAATGTTGACAGTCAAAAGTGAAAGTGCTCATCATCATCATCATCATGCAGCATGAGTGGCTTTATCAGTGCATTATTATCTATAATATTTTAAAGATATTTTTACTGATGCATTGCTGTGTAAAATGCATTGTAATATTGTATCTGGTAACTAATAATTGACTGAATGTTTAAGTAATTTTTAAAGCAAAGGTATGAAAATTTCACTGCTACCACCTTCCCAAATGTGAATATTTGCTGGTTTTAGCTGGTTTGTAAACTCAACTGGTCAGACAAAAAAAGGTATCTGAATATGTTATATAAGATTTTACATTGAACAATCAATTGGTCATTCAAGACAATAACTGTCAGATCTGGCTTATTGTCTATTTATTGTAAGTCTGTTGCACAAGTTTTCATGACATTGTAGAAGTCTTTCTATTTTTTCTGCTCTATGTTGTTATGATGCCGCTCTGCCGGAACCATTGTGCTAGGAACCAAAGAGAACGGGACTAGAAAATAGGGAAACCGGAAGTTTACAAATGCTTGCCCGCCCCTTATACTGATAGTATGTAAGCTAATGTTTGTTGTTATTTGTTTCTTTAACTTCAAAAACGTCGACATACCCAAACAAAATGGAGTCAAAGGGACGCTCGCTTCATGCCGTAAGTACAAGTCATTTAAGATAACGAGTTACAATGTCAACGCTTAGTTTGGTCGGTAGTTAGCCCGGTAGCTAGTTGGATCTGACAGCTGAAAAACATCTAAATATAAGTCTTAAGTACGACTGCAATCTGTTTTTCTCTCATGTAGCTATCTTTCACATGTTATCAGATTAACAGAACATTAGCCCTAAACAGCTCTAACACGTACTAAAAACCTACATTTGCGGTCAGTTATCTCGTGGTTTCTAAGCTGTTTTCCTGTTTTGGTTATGTTTTTTTTTATTGAAGACCATTGCAGTGCAGACTATAGATTAACCTCAACAAACAGTTTCTCTAGCTCTTTCAGTCAGAGGTTAGCCATACACAGATATCGTATAAACTGATTAGATGGCAGGTTTTTATTGCTCCCCTTAATCCATGAATTGACTAATTGATTGGATCAATTTTATCAGTTGATGCCAAAAATATGTCAGCTATATGTTTATTACTGAGGTCATAGTTAGAGATGATGTACTGGACTACATTATATTCAGAGGTGTTTCTAACTTTTATGTCCTCTCTATTAACCTACATGAGGGGGGCAATAAACACCTGTGACTATAATGCAACACCTCGAACTATGACCTCGCTGCTATAACATTAAGATTTACACCTCCATAACAGTGTCAACAAAAACTGAATATTTTAGGAATTATAAAAGTAGTAATATATATATATAGTATGTGTATAATTACAGTATATATGATTTCTGCAAGAGAATTGTATAATAATTGATTCATTTTTGCAGTTGAATTGACTAATTCATTAATGGTGGAAGAACTGTAATTATCAGTTGTCTGTATTTGAAGACAGCCTACTGTTAAATTTATACTATAATAATATGGTGGTCATATCAGCAGGCTGGCACCTCAGTAGATATGACACGGAGTGTAGAGGAAGAGTCTTTGGTGGATGGACCTCTGATCTCCGCTGACGCCCTCCACTCTGCCATCAGGAGACAGTTTCAGACCGTACCAACACACTGCCATGCCGGCCTGCTGTCTCTGCTGCATGTATGATATGCACTCACAAACACACACAATAACCTGACCTTTATTTTCTGTAACGTAAACGTAAACATTAGCTGCAGCCCTAGAGTAAATATATGTTTAAATTTGAATTTCATTCCATTTAGATAATCTGGTAGCACATGTAAAGGCATTTGTCTAATTCTTCCTCTTAATCTAGTTACTCAAAGTTGTCTCTTCATTTTCTGTGTATAATAATAGCCATAGTGTAAACTGGTCTGACACATCTGTCTCACTTCCACTTCTCTCTTCTTCTTTTCAGATTGTGTATGTTGTGTTGTCAGTGTGTGTGTCAGTGTTGTGTGTGTTGAAATTTGGCCAGGCAGAGGTGTGTGCGAGTGTTTTGCATAATGTGTCAGGTGACAGTGTCATTGTGTATGGGAAGGTGTGTTTGTGGGTGCTGGTGCTGGTGTTCACTCGGTGTATGCAGCACCATCACAGTCAAGCCAGAAGGAGAGGGTACCTGCGATTCTACAGAGAGACACAGGGACTGAATCACCTGCCACTCTCCATTCACTCTGCAGGTACAACTGCACGTATTGCCCCTTTACTGCTCATGTATAGGCCAGTTTTCTCCACAAGGTGGCAGTAATGCTACAGGAAAATATGTCTTTGTTGCGTTGCAGGGAATGTTTTGCTGTTGGTTGTTCTGGCTGCTAGATTATCACCAAAAGTGCAAGCATACTTGCTGCTCAGCATCCTGGGGTTGGAACTCTTGGTGGCATTGCCATGCCAGCTCTATTACACAGGTAAACTGATCTCAATTATTATTTGTTTAGTGTTGACTAATGTCGTTCTGTGATTGCAAATAGAGATTTTTAAACAGCACTATTTCTGCAAACTTTTATGTTGTTGAATCAAGTTCTACTGCGTTTTTTTTTTTTTCTTATTCGTGGACTCTCGTCTTACACATGCATCCTAATTTTTATGGCCAAATATAACACATTTTTCCCACCGTTCATCCATCCAACACCGCACCTAATCCATATATATATATTAATATAGTACTATAAATATAAGAGTATAGGTCAGCAGTTGGGTGAGTATATGTGAACAAGGCGCACCGCAATCGGGAACGCACCACACCGACACAATACTGATATATCCACAGCTTCAGCCTACCACCCCCTTGCACCAAGATACCCACTAAAAAAGATAGACACTGAAATTTGAGTAAAAGAGATGCATACCTGGGTGAAGTTTATATCAGAATACACTCACCTGAAATTAATAATCAGAAAAATAAACACTTAGAAAAATTGATTAAAAATTATTGATAAGACGAACAAGTTAAACCAGTCTGACATTCTGGATCAGCATTAATCACATTGAATCTTTTTTTTTTTTTTACAAAATCTGTCAAAATTCTTTATGTTCAGTTTCTCAGATGCCATGAAAAACAAGACAAAATGTAAAAAAAAAACATCATGTGTAGCTGCCGTCTACACAGGCACCCAGAGTAGAGAACGTAAAGGCAGCAGTGGCCTAAAAGGTAGCATGTCAGCAAATGTCAGGATCCATATTTAGCAACTTAATTAAATAACCCTTGTAATGTCACGGCATGTCATGTATCCACATTTTGAAGGTAGGGTATTTACACTACTTGGATTATGATTCATGCCTGACAAGTGAGACCATTGTCCAGTCAGGTCACATCAAATAGTTTATAATCAGAGTGTGCTTTTCTTGGCGTGTTGCAGCATCATTCAGGCTCAGACAATTTTTCTATGGATGTTGATAGTAATACCAGTAGTGATATATGGAGAGACACACCCTGCAGATTACATTACATACAAACACACACACTACCCCCTCTCTCAATCTGAGCACATTCGCATCACAATACCTGCCCTGCCCTTTTCAGACTCGACAGCATGACAATCAACCATTCAGCTTTCTGCCCCCCCCCCCCCTCCTGTCTGCTGATCTGTTGATTTTTTTTTTTGCTTCTGATACAAACACCTTGCAAACTTTGCTGGATGATACCCATACCTACACGCCTATTGTCGTTTCTTCTCTGCCCCTAGAGCTCAATAACCAACTGGTTGTTAATTCCATGTGGTCCAATGTTTCGGTAGCTTTGTTGAAATGGCCTTAGGCTGCAATAACATACTATAACCATTCACTTCATTTGCGGTGAAAAAGTCACAGCTTTTGAGAGAATGAATAACCCAAAAACATGTGGGAAAGCAGTGAAATCCATTTTCTTTGTGTATTTGGACGGCACTTGGAAATACGATAAAGCCATAGGTTAATGAAATTTGTCCTGAGGGTTTTTTGCAATTATTTCTTCATTTAAAACCTTTGTAGAAATACAGTATGAAGTTTGGATTCATTGAAACGTGCCAAAATGGTGAACTAATGTCTGAAAATGACAAACTGATATAACTAAGCTGAACATAGTCTATGAGTTAAGAACTATTTTGCAGCTGGTTCTGATATTTCTGAAATTTGAGCTTCCACCAGCACAAATAAAAAAACACAGAGACACTGGACAGTATCATGAAATACTCTGGTGGAGACATCTGTAATTATCCCCAGCGGGCTCTGTGCACATGTTTCTGATAAAACAGGTGACACCTCACATGCTGAGAAGTTTTTCAGGCTGTGGTTGTCATGATATCATCCATTAGGGTCAGCCAAATTCACTGCTGTGTTACAACGGTTTTCAAAGAACATTCCCTGATATGATTCAGCTCGACGTCTTTTATTGTTTTTATATTAAATTCTGTGTAGGTTTTTTAACCCTGAATCACTGTAATCTGAACGTGACCTCACCTGAATCTTTAATAACTTAAAAGTGAAGTCTTATTAAATGTCATCTCTACAACATTTTTCTATATTATTATAGTATTCTATACTATATTGTGTTTAATTAACTGTTTATACACCACCCTCACTCATGGAGGAGTTATAGTTGTTGACAGAAACATTAATAAACACTTACATACAATTACATTCTAGTATGTTATAAATCATTTCTTATTTTTTGTAAACTGGTTGTAAATGCTAAAAAGGGGGACTTAAAGTCTCACTCAAAAACTTCCTTAGAAATCGTACATCCTCCAAATTTAAGGGAGTGGTGCACTTGCCTCGCAGAAGCATTGTGAACTTAAAAAACAGAAAGGAGACAGCTTTCTGCTTCCCTGGTATGTTATTCAATAATAGGGCTGTAAAATATTAAAATAAAAATCATGACCTTTGTCTGATATCAATATTTACCTATTTAGGAAAAATCAATGAGAAAATCACTTGAAATTCCCAGTTTTCTATTCGATGTCCATCATCATTAGGCTGCCCCTAAACTTCAGATTAGGGGCATGAAACCTCAGTCAGCACAATTTGAGTACAGACCTGAATCACTCTGTAGAGCTGAAAATCAAAAACTGACACGATATTTTACTGCGGAACAGGTCTTTTACAGCTGCTTTGTTTTAGGACAAGATGCATTTGGGAAGTTTGGACGATTTCGTTAGATAAAGAATAAAGTTTGAAAAAATACATGTTTAAGTTCCTCAAAATAATCAAATCAAAACTTGGGTATCATATTGTCAGTGGTGGTACAATATCTAGCCCAACGTTAGTATGGGTATTTCAGAAATCATTCAGACAAATCTTTAAGTATTTTTGGGTCATTTTTATGCCTTTTATTATAGACAGTAAAGAGACGACAGCAAATGAGTGAGAGAGATGCAACAAAGGTCGCTGGTTGGACTCGAGCGGGGGAATAGTGGTGCAGAGTTGGCGTCTTAACTTAACTAAACAACTGGGGTTCCAGATTGTGTGACAAATCTGACTTTAATTATTTAATAATTATGTTTTTTTTTTTTCATTTAGACAACAAATGAACTTTTCAATGTTTTAAAAAGAACTATGGCATGTTAACACAGTGATAAACATGATATATAAACAGTAAATGTTGGTATGTTGTCCAGAATGTTTGGTGAGGGCTACAGCGGCCTTCCTGTCAGTGTGTAAAGGAAAACTGCTGTTAAAGATGCTCTATCAGAGGATATTGATATTGAAGAATGTGTATTGAAGGGAAATCCATATTAAAGGTGTGTTTGGCTGCTGAAGGGCACAGATTGGAGATGGAGATACCACAGAGGCAAGGAGAGAAGATAAGAGGCATTAGGATTTAACCTAGCCAAAGGGTAGCTCTGAGCCCACTCCACCCAAACACAAGGAGACACACGCACTCACACACACACTCACACACATTGTCCCTGTGTTTACAGTGAGGGTGAGCCAGTGTGTGACGGGGGTATCTCCGTTCACCCGTCGCATTCCTGCTCAGATCAGTGCAGTCAGGCACGACGCAAACTGAGTGACGCCTTGCAGCGCAAACCTTTTAAACCGCAAACACAAACTCACTCACACACACACGCTCCGACTGAGGCAGAGTCAAGTTGACACCAGTGAGATCACGAAGAGAAAAGATAAAGTCTCTTTGTAGAGATGACAGTGAGGGAGAGATATAATGCCTGCAGCTATGAAGTCCATACAGGAAGGCCTCGTTCAACTTCTCTTTGAAGTGCATGCTGATTGTAAGTGTGTGTGTGTGTGTGTGTGTGTGTGTGTGTGTGTGTGTGTGTGTGTGTGTGTGTGTGTGTGTGTGTGTGTGTGTGTGTGTGTGTGTGGTTGAGGTTTTCTGTATGTTTCTGCCTCTCATTTTAACATGAATACACTCTCCTCTATAGACCCCCATGCACATCAAAGCCATGCCTTGGCCTTCAAAGGCTAAACTTAGAATACATCTCTCCCCTCTGCCTGGTCAGAACTCGGTGTAAGCACTGCAGGGCACAGGATCGACACACATCACACACACACACACACACACTGATACAGATACCTACAGTATAACCCTGTCACACACAAACCTCATGTACTGTGTGACAGTACAGAGTACAAGTTCAGTGTATGTTCAAACATTCATTCCATAGTATTGATCATAAATACCTGACCGTTGTCGTTCACACTTTTTTCGTAACCGTTAGAGGTTGCTGCGATGTTGTTTATAAGTTGGGGAGCTGGAGAATACCTACTTCTGCTACAAGAATCTGGTTTAACTGGTCAGATTTATGTTCTGTAATCCGTCAGTTTATGAGAAGTTGCATTCTTAAGTTATTTTCTCTCTTAGAAAAGTTCTGTGAGGAAAAGGACTCAACTGACTCACCTGTGATAAGTTAGCACTAATATAGGTTTACTGTTGTGAACCTGTAGTTAGTAACTCTGTATCAATCCGCTTGTAGTTACTATAGAAACCATTTTATGAAAAAGGTTGAGCAATGCCAGACGTATATAAAGCCCATGTCAGCGTCAGAGTTGTGGTGCCAACAACCCAAACAGTTCATCCAGTGTCTTTTGCTGCAGTCTGAAATGTGTAACATGGACCCCAAAACATCCCAATTAAAGGCTAGTCCACCTTTTAATTTCTTATTATGCTCTGAAAGTACCAAAACTGTAACTGTGGACAAATAAGTTATTAATGATTTTCTTAATTTAGCATCCACACTCAGGTGGTAGGTCTTTTTTCATCTATATTGTTCAGAATTTCTAAGTTGTTTTCGCTCATTGAGGAATATAAGTCTAATTAGTCTGAGGAGAAGCTTGAGCATCTCCTCGGGTTCGATCTTAAAGCAAGTTTTTGAATCTTCTCCCACATATACAGCTCCGACACATGAAATGTTTCTTGAGCAGGGCTTATTTTCCAGTTGACTTTCGACTTGCATACTACTTTGAAGTAAAAGGTGATTTACACTGCTCTATTCAAAACTGAATATCAGTTGCTGTGGTCGTTGGGATCCATTTCCTTCCAATTTCTTTGATTTTCATCACAGGCACTGTTGGGCACAGGCACTGCATAGTTGTTAGCACTGTGTGTGCGACCATCAGCTGTTAGCACCTCTGCAGCTTCACTGTTATCACCTGGAAATGTGCACCTCTGGATGGGTGATTGAAGCTTGTCAGATCTGAGTAGACCAGGTCTGAGCACTGTCTGTCCAGCAGTGTGAGAGTCTCTAACAGGGACGTGTGAAATGTGTCACTTCCTTTACACTGCTCCGTCCATCCGTCCATCTGTCCATCCATCCATCCCGGTATCTCTGTCTGTTTTTTTGCCCCCTGCTGTAATACACTGAACTTCACAGACAACCTAATTTAAGGAATTTCTGAACATCCGCACTGACCTCATCGAAACACTTCCTCTGTGAAACACTTTTCTGTGCGCGCGCGACCTCATTGTACTTGCATTTGTTATTAAACCATAGCAAGCTATGTTAATGAACCTGTGGTTATAAACAGAGTAAACACAACCTGACTAACAGACATGCAACATTGAAAATTACACGACTCAACAGTCCAATATTACATTTGTCAATCTCACAAATTACTGTGGCATGTACACACAATTTGTTAATTAAGAGACTGAGACTAAGATGCAACAGAGACAAATGATAATGCCAACAAAAATAAAGTTAAAAACATACCTATGCATTCATATCAGCTTAAGTAAGAGACATTTACAGCAGCATCAGACCTAGCAACAGAAGATGTGAACAAGATATAGAAAAGGAAATACTAAATCTAAATTCACATCATACAAATAAGTGGCATTATTATGTGGAAATATAACAGGTATGTAATTAAATTAATGAAATTTAGATAAAGTTTCACTATAAATAAATGCACTCCTCTTACCAAATCTCAAATATAATAAAACTGTTCAAATTCAAATTGTTTAAAGTGTCAGTATTCTTGAATGAAAGTAAAATTTAGGAAGTTAAAGAAACTTTAAAATAATGATACTCTATTAATTCACTGCAGCAGGTTTAAATATAATAATATACCCATGAAAAAATAAGATTGATAAGATACGAGTTTGTTTCTGAAATGTCAGCCAGTAAAAATACACCGAAAAATATTGGTTGACACAGCTTCACTTCACAGTTTATTGGTTCTTTTTTGCTTGTTTTTAAGTATGCTCATATGCTCATTTTCTAACCCAATGAATATATATATATATATATATATATATTAAGAATATAAAGTCATAGTGTGAATGTAACTGATTTTATCAAAATATTACTTGAACCTGGTTATTCTCTCTCTCTCTCTCTCTCTCTCTCTCTCTCTCTCTCTCTCTCTAAATATTTGTCCACTTGTGTCCTTTATTGAAAAGACTTTTAACGTATGGAAATCTGAGGAACTGTAATCCAGATTCTGCCATGGTGGTATTGTCTGTAAATATTTGACACCAATTTGCCTCTGTGCGTCGTCGTGATTCTCTGCACAGCAAACGCAGGCTCATCATCACTATTCTTCTCTCCACCACACTCATTTCTCTGCCTCTTTGGAATGTCTTTCTCTCACACATACTTGCTTTCTATTTCTTTATTTACATGCTCACACACACACACATATACACACACACACACACACACATATACACACACAGTTGTTTCAGGGCCTCATTATGCAGGAATGTGCAGTATTTCTTTGGATTGAGTGTGAGTGTGGATACTGAGATGCTGCACTGTAGCAAAGCAAAGATAGTGCTCTTTAGAACCTCCCTGACAATTTCCTCTGGCTAATGACACCCAGTCTTATCAATACTCAGCCAGCTCCTCCCTCAGCCCTTCCTCACACACTCGGCCTGCGTCCATGCTCATACATACCGCAGCCTTATCTCCTTGCAAACAGCACCAATATTCATCCCATATTTTGGCTCTGGCTCCTCTTACTGCTACTGTATCCTCCACACTCACACCTTGCCGTTAACCCCACCCCTTGTGTAAAGGTGTATGTTTAGGGTGTGAGAATTAGAGGTTTGAGTGCAGGATATGACAGCCCATAAGGACTAAGTGCAGGATATAACAGCCCGTGTGTGTTTAGGAGAGGGAGAGGGATTGAAAACAGTAAAAAAACACAAAAAAACGAATGTTTGCTGTTTCTCACCTGATTACCGTTTGTAGGAAAAGCTCTCACTGCTCATTAATGTCTCTGTGTTCTCATGTCCAACTGACTGAACATGTTTTCTGTCCATTTCTAGTCAAGGTGATGCGGTTCAATAGGGAACAAGCTGCACCAGATGTGAGCCAAGAAGAGCGTTCGCACACCTACAGTGTCACGAGTCTGCCAACTGAGACCGGCTTCAGGTAGATGGATTTCACTCAGCCACACACACACACCTGTCTCTCTCTAGGCCCTTTCAGACACATGCACCATGTTATATAAAGGAGGGAGATATTAAATGTAGTGCTTCATCTCTTATGCATGAAGAAAATAAAATGTATTTAATAAACTAAGAAATACTTTGATTGAGCCAATTTGAAGTTGTTAAGGATTCATCTCAAAAAATATGTCTTCATTCATTTTTCCCCTCACTTTGTGTTTTTTGTTTAGTGGTACGAGTACTGTTGAGCCATATAAAATGAGGAGCTGTTCTATATCATGTCTAATAAACTATGAAACTTAACTGATGGCAATAAGTTAGTGGATCCAGAAGTGAGACGTGAGAATCCCTCATGCTTTTCAACTGTAAAATAAGTTGTGAAATCCACTACTGATGCAGCCTGTGAGAAAACTGAGAACACCTTTCTTTCTCTATATTATTATTCTCAACCTCATTTCTGTTCTCCAGCTGTATCATCACTCCCTCTTGTTTAACAGATGCTGAATATTGCACCAATGAATGGAGCCATTTGAAGGCAAAAAAGGAATTATATTTTGTTGTTATTGTTAAGAAATCTCCTGAAAAGACCAAAACCAACAATGCATTAGTACGTTCATTTCTACTAAAGATGTCAATCTTCGAAAACAGGTACTTTTAAAGAGAGGCAACACGGTTGAAAATAGGCGGGAAAGCAGGAGTAAAGTAGTGCATTGGGATTTATTTCTCACCATAGATTTCGCACGTCGATATTTAGAGCAGCAGGACGGTGTATGTGGGATTGTCCACACAGGGCCCATATTCATATAACAGTATGGCTGATTGATGTGTTTTGGTTTTTTTTATATATTTCGCAAAGGAAAGGGGGATAAACAAACAAGTAGGGTATACATTTCTTTTATTGACTTTGAGGTGCATTGTCCTCGATTTTATCCAGACTGAGATATGACAGTTCCCTCATTATTTTCACATAAATATCCCTTACTATGTCCATCTGTTGTTAAAGACTGGGAGGTTCCTATTCATACCAGTTTTGATTTATTGCTTGTTTTTTTTTAAAGAGATAGACATTATATTTCAGTACAACTTCTCATGTTCTTAAATGTCTTAAAGGTAAAATACAACATGTCCATTTACCATTGATGTGTGTTTTTAATAGTTTTTGGTCAGCTATAAAGCTCTGTGGCATAGATGAATAAGCTTATCAGCCTTTGGACGGGCAATATTTAAAGTACTTAGTAATACTTTTGTGGAAAGTAAAGAAAAATATAGAATATCACCAGACTTATCTTTAAGCAGATAGATGAAGTCAGCAATGTTACAGATTCCTGTCTAAAGAGGGTGTATGTGCCATTTTTGTGTGTGACAGAGAGGGCTCTAGTCTGGAGGAGGTGGTGGAGAGGCAGGCCGACCTGATAGAGTACCTGAAACAGCACAACACCTCACTGAGCAAGAGGCTGCTCAACCTCACTGCTCAGCACTGACCACAGCCAGGCCTCCTCCTTCCTGTGAGCCAGCCGACACCCTCTCTGGAGAAGACAGCGCTGTGGGGAAAGAGCCTGATCATTTTAACACTCCGAGAGGGGATCTCTTTAAAAGAAAGGAGCAAAGCCACGACAAACACTGGATGAAAACCTAAAGTAAGCAAATGCACCTGTATGCACTGACTGAGACAGGAGGGCATCTCATCTGAGATGGACAGATAACGCAGGAGGAGGTGAGCTGAAAGTGGAGGACAGTTAAAGAAGAGAAGTGGGAGGAGGAGTCATGGGTCGCAGATCAGAGGTGAGGGGTTTTTATCGCTCTTTTATGACCCCCGGTGACCCGTGTATGCTGCCGCTTCTGTTACTGTGAGAGCAACGGAGGAGGTGAAATTATTTTAGAGATCATCTGCACTAAGGAGGGACTGAAAGAGGAGATACAAGAGGGGGGATATCACTTTTCAGGGTCAAACTAGAGAAAGAGATCAAATAACACTGTAAAATGTCTCTTAAGTGTTATTTTTGTAAATATGTGTAATGTGTGTAAATGCGTTATTGGTGAGTTTTTTTCAGTCAGTTACTTTGCGTATTTGTGATCTGTTTCCAATAAATCTTTAATATTCTCATGTTTTGTTTATTTCATTTATGTTTAAAGCTTTTTCAGAATGAGAATTGACACAATACTTCAGTGAAACCCAAGTAAGTGGCCATTGTTTTGTGTTTTAAAAAGTGTTTGTCTTGTATAATGTACTGCAAGAGTTAAAGACAGAGCCCAAACAATAGAAACGCTGCAGTGTCAACGTAAGCTGGTGTGAATGCCTTTTCCCACCTCACCTTTTCTGTGTTAAATTTCAACAGTCACGGGAATCTGTGTTAACGAAATATCGAGGTCGTCATTTGAGGCCTTGGTGTTTGTTCCCCATTGTGATTCCTTTATGTTCCGGCGTCCGTAACTCCACAGGGAGCGCAGCATTTACGACTTCTTTCCCATGTGGCTTCCGCTGGGAGTTATCCAGAGTACTACAGGTATCAGGATCAGTGTTTGACCTGGGGCTTTTAGATTATACATACAGAGAGATTTTTTTTACTATGTTCTTACTAAAACTATCCCAAATTTAAATGAAGTCTAGCTTAATACCTTAGTCTTAACAATAACTATTAATTGTCATCCTCAAAGCCACCACATTTATTTGGACCTATAGTCAGTTGTTACTTAAACGCACACACAAATAGAATCTCAAAAAGGACATTTATACATTTTTTTATTAAAACATTTAAAATGTAATTCAATAAACATTTGAAGTGCATACATGCATTATAAACACTTTTTTAGGAATACTATGTGGGTGCTGTTCATCGTAGCTGCAGTCACTCAAATGTTTCCAACTCTTTGGTCCGTAGCTTTTCAGTGGAGTGTGTAAATTATTTAAAGGTCTATGATGCTGTGGCTCCTTCTCCCTTGTCTTTGACTGGTAAAGTATTGGCTTTTAAAGACAAAGAGGGAAGGTGCTTATAACTGGAGAGACCCACCAAACTGGCATACAACAACACGCTCATGGTTTATATTTTTTTCACGTTTTCAGTCATGCACAAGCTGAAGTTGCTTGTTGCTGTTCTGCCGGTTGTGTATATGTAAAGAGCTACATATACATAGTATATACATAGTCTTTGGATGGCATTTTCATGTTGTCCTATAGTTTTCCTCCACTTGAGTCCATGTCTTGCCACTGGGATCCATCCATGGTGTTTGTACCACACACTGCAGTCGCTTCAGATTCATATTACCCTCCTCAGGTCACTCTCCTTCTTGTGCTTCTACCTGTAAAGGAAAAACAACATTTAGTGTCCAGCTAAGAGGTGCTCAGGTAAACTTAAGTAAATGTGCATGTGCAAGAGTAAAAAAATTAAAGTTGAACAACCCCCTCCCCACCTCTCGCCCCACAAACTCCTCATAGCACTAAAAGCCTTCCTCTTCATCGTTAGTGAGATTTATGTCTGAGCCTTTTCCCCCTGCACTCCTGTTCTGCGTGAATACACACCTCTGCCACTAATCACACACACCTCCTTAACTGCCACTTGCCAACTCTGTAACCTAGTTGTGTTCCATGTATCCAAAAGCTCAGCTCATAACCTCTTTTTACGTAGAAACACATGTATGTATGTATGTATGTATGAGTGCATGTCTTACCTTAGGGGAAGGGTACTCTGGAGTGGAGAGGCAGACAGCGTCTGTGTGGGCAGTGGTGTCTGTGGTATTTTCTCCTTAGGTTCAGGAAATCTGAAAAGAGAGATGTTTTAATTAAAATATACTGAATTAAACCACTGGATGAGCAGGCTGTTATACCATGGTGTAGACTACAAATATATTAGGTTTTTAGGTATTTAGGTATTAAGTAAGTAGCTAAAGTGGACTGCTGGCAGTCAAATTAACTGCTTATCAAGTGTTATTTTAGGTGCAAAAGTCATTTTAAGTAAGATTTATGTCTGCAGCTGGACCCCTGCATATCGATGGACAGACCTAATTAATCCCAAGTGGAGGATAGTAAACTCAGCCTGGACTTTTTAGCACCAGAAAAGATAAAACTACATCTCCCTCAGTCACCATTTTACAAGTAAGGATAATTTTGACACTAACAATGCCCGTTATGACTCCTATTCTCCTCTCCTGATTATGGAAAAAGCCTACTTTCACGAGTTTTATTGTTTGGATCCATTTACCAACAGCAGGGCGACCCCCTTCTAATAAACCGGGACACACAGACCTAACACATGATTATTTTTAAACGTCCCCAATAAATCCACTTTGACTCCCGCGGTTCACAGGCTGCCAGCCAAGCCCAGGAAGAGATAAACTGCCAGATGACTTTATGACTCCCTCTCCCCCCACCGCTCCCCCTGAGTACCTCCGCAAGAAACTGCTCCCCACGCCTGAAGGTAGGCTTCTTTACACTTGGCACTGCTACTCCATGTCATGTTAATAAAGCTCGAGTATTTGCATGGCGTTTTAACACCGTGATTAACAAAAGCACGCCGCAGTGCCTTCCAGCCGGGGACAAAAGGAGTCACTGGGGCCGCTGTGCGATCCCCGGCGGCGCTCCGCTCCTGTCCCCTCCCCTCTTCCTCCCTTCATCCTCTCCTCTCCATCGTCACATGAACCTAATCACGACCTCAATCCCAAAGCCCCAACGTTTTCTACAGCAGTTTGTCTCCGCCGCAAGGCCGAGGAGCCCTGATTTGCGCAAAAAGGCGCACCTGCTACGCCAGACAGAGCATGCTGTTCACGTTTTTAGAGTGAGTTTGCTCACAGCTCGACAGATTCTGCGTTTACAAAGAGTATTGAAAAGGCGAATATTTAAGTTAAACTTTATTTAAATCCTAAGCATTCCACAAATTAACATTGACCCCATTGCTAGCCATGTTGTTTTAGCAGATACATATATAAAAAAATAATCATTAATTTGCTATTTAACCATGTTATATGTTTGTTGCATTACAGTCTCTTTTTTGGTTGTTGGTTTATTTTGGTCTGCAGCTCTAGGCTTAGGTAGCTTAGCTAATATACCTTTTTAAAGGAGGCTAACGGTAACGGTGTTTTGTTCTGTTTTTTACGATTTTAACGAAAAATTAATACAATTCTGTAACCATTTGTTTAACCTATGCCTCTTTCACCAGCGAGTTAAGCTAGTTAAATTAGCAAATACTGTTGCTATGGTTACCCACATTTTAAGATAAAACGGTCGACCAGCTAGCCGATTTTAATGAACACCTGCTGTTGATTTTGGAAAGCTGGACGGTTAAGTTTTGTGATGCCTTTACCATTGTCACAGACAAAAGTATATGCAGTAATAAAAGTAACTTTACTTTTTTAAGTTTGCAGGAAGTTTAAGCTATGACGCATTTTGTTAAGATGTTTTACCAATGAGAATTAATTACCGTTAATTAACCTAGCAAGAAGTAACGTTCGTTATGCATTGATTTTACAACGCTTTTAAAACTGTTGAGTATATTTGTTCTATCCTGACGCATTTTAAAGGACACCTGGCGGCCATTCAGGAAATCTGGACGGTAACGTTTGGGGATGCTTACCTGGTCTGGCAGAGGAGATTGGTGCTACAACAGCTGCAAGCAGCACGAGCAGGTAGAGCAAGTTGAAGATCCTCATGGCTTGGTTTTAGTTAACTTCACAAGAGCTTAGTTAATGAGAAATTTTCCAAAAGTCCCTCTGGCTCGGTGCTGGACTGATGATGCTCAGTGTGGTTCAGTTCTGTTTTTGTTCTCTCTTTCAGTCCAGATGGCCCACCACAGGGAGAGTCCAGTACACAGAAGTACCTCTTTTCTCAGGATAATCAGTATGTCCCTGAGGAATGTGAGTGTCCAGAGTGTTTGTGTGTCCAGTGAGAGTGTGATTGTCTCTGTGTCTGAGAGCAAAGTGACAAAGGTGCTTCTCCCCCCATCTCCTTTATACAGCTTTTTAGAGGGAGGGGGTGTATGGAGGGGTGTAGCAGCAGCCCCCACCCCAACCCCTGACACGCACACACACACACACACACTCTCTCTCTCTCTCTCTCTCTCTCTCTCTCTCTCTCTCTAACACACACACTTCAGCATTGCACATATTGACCCCACATGTAGAGGGTAATTCAAATGACAGGAAGCCCCCTCCCTAGCCTCCAACTGCCCCTTGAACACACACTCCTTCTGCATTTTGTGTATGTACAGATGCATGTATTTGCATTGCAACTATTGGTGACTGATGTGTTTCAGAGGTGCAGGAGAAGCAGGCATTTTTGATTTATCACTCACAACATCTGGGCAAGGATGTAATAAGCTGTCATTGAAAGTAGCAGGTCCTTCAAGAAACAGATCACTCCTCCCTCAGTTGTCCCCTACCCCCGCGCTGAGGACACACATCTGGGGCTTTGGGGCGGTGTTGATGGTGGGGGTGTGTTTGCACCAAGCATTTTGGGGCAGGGGACCTGGTTGAATGAAATCCAGAGATGCACCGGACTAATGATAGCCTGAGTGTCTGTATGGGCCTCCATCTACTGTCTCTGTCCTTCTGCATGAGTGTCCATCTTTGTCTCATGCTTGTTTGGTTGCGAATTTTTCTCATCATTTGTCAGTTGAATGGGTAAAACTTTCCTTAACACAGCTGGGTTTTTTTGAGAATGCTGTTTTTATAGGGCAGTGTAGTCTTTAGTTAAGTTAGTTTGGTTCATGTTTTTAGTGTCTTCTCTTTAGGCGGGCTACATGTATCTAACTTCATTACTTTTTTATAGACAAAAATGTGTCTGTAGTACAGACTATTGAAACTGTCAAGTACCAAAAGCTGGAATCTGGAGTGTGGAACCTCAGCAGTTTTTTGGTACTGAATGTAGCAGTTGAAAGTGTCGAAATTTGTGGAGTACGATAAACTAAGCTGGCATCTAGTTCTTTATTTATTGTTTGATCAGAAAGTTCCTGATTTAAATACAATTTTTGCCAATTTTACACAATTTTGTTCAAGCAAAGTTGTTTGAAGACTGCTTGAGTTCATACAATTTGAAAAACATTTGAAAAAATTTCCTTCTGTTTTTAGATTTTTAAAAAAGTGTTTTTGTAGGAAATATGTAAGAAATAAAACATGTTCTGATACAGAAATGCTGCTATTGTATCTGCCCTAGTATCAAAATACTCAAGCAATACCCAGTCCTACTTTTCATGCAGGTTATCAGTTGGTGGTATGACAGGGGATTTTCTTGCAGCAGGTAACCCACTTCACTTGGCATTAGCTCTGTGGTTGCCAGTGGTTTTGCAAAGTGTGGGGACTCATTAGCGTGTCTGCTTACGGCCGTCTCTGTGGACTGAGACTCTCCATTCAGCACACAGCTAATGAATTAACACATTAAGATGAAATGTCAGCCATTACATGTGAATGAGGATTAGAGAAGCAGCAGGACACTAATGGACCACGGGGCTCAAAATAGTCGAAGAGACTTTGAACAAGCATCTGGACCGTCAGTTCTCTTTAGCCCTGAAAAATAGACAAAAGAGGCCAGAGTCTCCTTTCGTGTGTTTTTTTGTGGTATGTGTGTATGTGTCAGTGTCATTATGCCTTTAGAAATGTTGCCTTTATTGCTTTATGGTGTTTGCAAAAATGTTGCTTGAAATGACAGAGATTCCACATGGATTTGAGTAACGTACAAACACACACACTTACATACACACATTTGTCCTGCTGCAAAGACTTAGCCGAGGTATGTAGTTTGTTTCTGTGGCAAGCTACACTTTGCATATCAGCTGCCATTGTCTTTTAAAAAACTTTTATTTTCCCTATTTGAATATGCTAATGTGGTCTCAATTGTCATTCAGAGCCACCTGGTATCCACTGCCCACTAACTGCTGCCACATCTCAGTTTCTCTGTCTTTCTCTGTTTCCTTCTTTTTGCCCCGAAAAACAGAAACGAGTGAATCTCGCCAAGTCTCCCCGCCAGGTTTTCTGTGTTACTGATTCGAGCGTGTTGTAATATTTGCTCTTCCTGGGGATTATACGTCTTTACAGGGATTACCCAGCCTGCTCAAACACTCCCCTACGAGAGAGGCACACACACGCGCACACACAGGGCAGCCTCCTATTAAACCGCCTCAGTACCTTGGCAGGGCTGCACTCCAGACTCACTGTCTTAAAGGTGAATATTTTCTATGTGATGAATAGTTGCATGTTAAACTTTGGTACTATTTTATATCAACCAAATGTGTCTGTAGCTCTGAGTATTGGAAACTGAGGGGTACTGAGGTGGTACAACAGATGATTATTTTCCATTATTGATTAATCTGCTTGTTTTTTTTTTTGATAGTTTTAACCATTAACCATTAACCATTTAATCTATAGTATGTCAGAAGAAAATATATCTTTTAGTTTCCCAGAGTCCAAGGTGATGTCTTCAGATGTTTTGTTTAACCAACAGTCCAGAACTAAATGGTTTTCAGTTTACAATGATATAAAACATAGAAAAGCAGCAAATACTCACATTGGAGAATATTAAACCAGAGAGTATTGTGTGCTATAACTTTATAAATGAGTTACATTTTTAATCAATTATCAAAATTATTTTCTGTCAATCAACTAATCTATTAATCAACTAATTGTTTTTTCTGTACTTTTGTGATACCCACACAAATGTATCAGCACAGCTTTCATTATCTTAAGTGCTGAAAACTGGCTTTGAACATCTACTCAGATTAATATTAAAGTCAGCTAATTCTCTGATTACATAGTTAAAGATTTAAATGAAAACAGACAAATTTTTATTTAATATAGACTAAGTTCTTGTATGGCTGCCTGTGTCCAGACAACATTTAATATTTGACAACTTTCGCTTTTTTGTTGGATGAGAAAAGAGGTTTGAAGAAGAGCATGTTTATATTTCTCAAGGTACAGAGTTGGGGAAAGTATCATCTCAGTATCAGTATACATACATTATTGGTCTATGGTTCTAGCCTCTTAAATATGAACTTTTACTGCTCTTCTCTGTTTTATATAATTGTAAATTGAATGTCTTTGGGTTTTGGGCTGCTAATCAGACAAAACAAGCTAATCTAAATTTGTGCGCCTTCGGTTGTTGAAACTTGTGATTTTCACTATTTTAGACTGATTTGTAGACTGATTGATCAATACCAGGTACAACAGCTACGAGATCAGCAGATTAATAGGTATTGAAAATATGATATTTGCAGTCCTAATCAGTACCAAATCTATTGGCATTAATATAACAAAACTTAACATGATACACAGCCCTAGTATTGATCTGACCACTCATAATGAGCATTCTTCCCCTCAAGATCTTTTCACTTTAATGAGTTTTTGAACTCAACCAGTAGTGTGCACAGGATTACTGGCAGGTGAAAATCAGGAATAGCAACATAGAAATGAAACTAGTTATTATATCTGCTGCATGCAAGGAAAGAGTTCAATTTGCACTTTGATAATCACAAAGTTACACGTCACCTACAAGTGAAATAGTCTGCTTTACCTGATTTCCCTAATTCTGAATTAATTTTGGATGAGTGTGTAACTCAGGAAAGAGATGGACAGAGTTTGACTGATTAGCTGGTATTATTACTGCCGTGATACAGGTCATGATCTTCCTACTAGCTGTGATCTTTACGACTACAGAGGAAGCTTCAGCCTCTCCTCCCCTCTTGAATTTTCACTTTCTTCTTCCTCTATCATCTTCTCTTGGCCAGGATCCACTGATAAAGAACTTCCTCTCTGATAAAACTTGTTAAGGAGAACAGTGGGTCATAAAGCGACTGTTTCTTTTCCACTGAGCCAAACGTTGTTGCACATACATGTACGCTTAACATGTGCAAATTGTTGTAAATAGTACATACAGATAGGTGACCAACATAAAGTTTTTTTAGTAAAATGTTGGGCCTCCAAACCAGCTCCCTGTTTTAACACCTGTCATCAGTTTGAGAGCAGCAGGGTCTTTTAATGAGTTTTCAGTTTTAATACTTGGGCTACCTGTTTTGTATATTTACTGATTGTGCCCTTAGGTTCATTATGCACTTCTATGTTGCAGCAGACTGGGCTGGCACTTGGGGGGAGCTAATTCATCTTAATTCTGCAAATTTACACGATTCCAGTAAAGTCTTATTCTGCTGTCTTGTATAATGGTATGTAGTAACTGTATATCTGTACAGTCGTGATAATGGACATATTAAAAATTGGAAGGAGACCCACTGAGGCAGAATATGTACAGGCCCAAATCTTTTTACTACACTACTGATGATCTTTTCTTATAGTCCTAATTAGAATTGTGACACGAAATTATATAGACTGTGATATAGAATTTTATCCATATCACTCACTTCATTTTATCACAAATTCTTTCATTGACGTTGGTGTCATGCATGGAAATATCTGCATTTGTTTATTTAACTTTTTAGTTTGTTGCTAAATTGGACTGATTTGTAGTGGTGAAGGTTGACCGTAGAGCGGAGCTATTCTGTGCCCTGTTGTCTGAAGTTTTTAGGGTGTCGTCCAGTGTTTGTGTGTGTGTGTACGAGTGTTGATTGTGATCTGATGGGTCAGTTCAATGTCCATCGTTAGAGTGATAGTGGGTCTCTTGTCATGCCAAAGGTCATCACTGTTAATGAGGGCCGCAGCCAGCCAGGGCTTAATTACTCTTAAGACTCTCTATCTCCAATTGCCCAATACAGACCTCAATGGATGCATGAACGGCAGTGAACACCCAATACACACAAATGGTATGGATCATCAGGACACATCACACAGCTGGAATCACAACACAACCAGGCTGGGTGTTTTGGGTTGTTTTTTTTTTTTATCCTGCAATTCTGTGAAGGAAAAGATCTCACAACCGTTGATAAACTGTCTTTTTTTCTGGAGCTCCAACTCCCCTCCGTGTTGGGCACTAGACGGCTGACTATGGAGGAGTGACGGAGGGCTCAGGGGTCAAGGGGCAAACTCAACAGGGAGCAGCCTCTAACCCCCCAGGATGTCACCACACAAGGGCTTCAGGGGCCAAAAGTCACTCGGTTTGTTAAATCCTAACCCAGACACAGTGGCTTCTATAGACACACAAACCCAGTCAGTGGTTTGATTTTTTGCACTGCAGTTTGGCTCTTTATGGTTGTATGTCCATGCACATTAGTACACACGTGTAAAAGTACACAGAGAAACTTCAAGTTTTGCAAAAGTTTGAGCTTTGTGTCCTTTAACTTGGGGTCCATCTGTCCAGGTCATTCTTAGTAGAATTAGTAGAAGTAGTGTCAATGTGATTCTTGATGAAAACTGTGGCGAGACTTAAAGACACGTCTTGCCACTCAGCAGCCATCTTGAATGAGCAGAACATTTGCCTATATAGGGGGGAGGAGGGGAGGTATGTATGTCATATAACCACCATCTTTGGCGTTACGGACATTTCTACTCAGGATTCTTCATGTGGCTTGTGTCTCTCGTATAATGTCTCTGGTGTTATGGATTTTGCCTCAACATTTTGTGTCATACTGACATGCTCTAATATAAAATCAGCAGAATGGAAATGTGTCAGATTTCAGTTCATTTTGTTTTCTCTCTCTTTCGTTGTTGTGAGACGTTCACAGTACATGAAAACCCAGCAGATAAAGAATTCTGACTTCATGGTTTCTGTCCAGCTTGCTTGGTGATGACTCTTTGCTTTCTGTTAAATGTTCTTGACCTCTCTGCTTGATAGACACCGTTTTCTGAAAGTGAAGAGGCATACAGTTTGCAGCGTTAGAAAAGCTTACATTTGTCTGTGTATCTGATAACAGAAGATGTTTGGTACCTGGCTGGGCTCCTTCGGGCTGGATGCAGACTGAAGCCAAGCTGAAGAGGGAGAAGATGATGAAGGCAACAATGATGAAGGTCAGTTCAAAGCCAGTAAATGGGAGTGCCATCTACACAACAGTACAACACAAAGCATGTCATTACGTGACACAGAAACTGACAAATTCAGAAGTCACCTTTTGTGATCTTGCTGTGTTGTTATTCTTGCAAAAACAAAACATAGACCTATAAGGGATACAGGAGGACAACTTAAAGGCATGACGGAGGTCCATACAAAATATTTTACATTTTTTGTTTAAAAGGGGCAGTTCATACTCATACCCAACACAGTGTGTGAAATGATAATTTACATATGTGCATAATGTAAATACAGTTAGCATGAGTTCATCCATGCTTGAATAAACAGAAATAGATTATTAATGATTATCTGTACTATCCACCCCGTTACTTTGCCAATCTACACATTGTATTTTATTATTTGCCGCCATATTTTTTCAGTAAAAAAAGTAGAAAAAATCCATCTTTGCTGAACAATGATCACAGACAGGTATCTTGTTGTCATTTAAAATGCATATTGCAGCGGGGTGAGTATGAGGTTCCAAAGTGCATAAACTGAAATTTCTTAATGTTCATATGTACTTGACTTCAGTTTTTATTGATCACAACCTTCTACTGAGGTATTTGCATTATAATCCAGGTATGCTATTCAAATACAGCAAGAGAGCTATAGAATACCAAGCTAAACAAAAAGTTAATCATTTTAAAATTGCTCAGAGAATGAGCTGCACTACACCCATAGATTTTTCTCTGAGGAATATTTGGACTTTCCAGTCAGATGGTTGATTCACAGAAAACTGAACTTTACACACATGCGACCAAACCAGTTTCATAGATAATAATAATAATAATAATAATAATAATAATAATAATGATAGAATTAAAAAAAAGAAACAGTTAATAATAAACAGTAATAATTAGATTAGTCCACTTCCTTTGGCTGAGGTGTTGTATAGCCTGATGGCAGTGGGAACAAAGGATCCTCTCTGTCTGCAGCTTGCATATGCAGTTATGCTTATGCAAACAAGAAAACTACTACAACTGTAGCCTGATAATCACACTGAATGGACACTTCATCCGTTCGCTATTTGATCTGTTGGCACAAAAGCCTCTGATTTGATGAACACTATTGTCATAGCCATACTGCTTGAGATGCAGCAGCCTGTCGTCTCCACTAGGGGGCCTTATAACCATTTTTTTTGTAACTGTTAACTGTTGTTGGTTTATAATGACTCATATCCCTGAGTCTACCTACGGTGCTCTTTATGGTACTGCATTGTATCTGTCTGTATTAAATATAGAAATGTATCAATTTTCACAAATTTGCTAAAGCAGAATATTTTTTCCCTAACTTTTAGAGACAGTTTTGTTGCAGAATCTTCTATTTTTGATTAATTTGAGCCTGATAATCTATCCACTTCTGTCTATTAAGTGGGCTTAGCAGTATCAGATGCTGTGTTTAAGTATTACAAAGTAAAGAAATGCACTATAGTATCGGAGAATGACTGGGTGAAATTGGAGGCTTGTGTGAATAAAACAGTCAGAGCTGATATCAAAGAAGAAAGCAAACCCACAGAAGTTTTGGAAGCTTTCAGTGATCTCAGCTTTCAGGGAACTTCAGTGAATGAATTTTTCATTTTCATCAGAGTTTTATGATCAAACCCCCTCTGAACTAAAACTTACTTGAGCCAAAATGCCTCAGGTGCAGCAACTTTAACCAAAATTATAAATTTGAACCATAAAATGAACAAATCTCAACAAACATTTCATTTGAGCACATCCTATGAAAACATGTATAAAAATATGCTGAACTAAGATTCAAAGAAGGTCAGGTGCTTCACTGAAATTATAAAGAGTCTAAATAAATGTATGATCCATCTGCTGGTTTTCACGTCTGTTTGAAATAATACATCAACAGGTATCATTTATGTTGCACCATGCAGTTTTATATTATCGCTGACAGGCTGAATGAATCATAATAGCCAAACACAGATGGCCTGTGATTCACATCTTTTTTCTGCTGCTGCCGATCTGCTCATTCACACAAGCTCCACCCTTTGATCCCTGACAAGAATAATTCAGACTTCTAGTTTCTGCAGAATTATTTTAGAGCTTGCTCTAATCCTGTCAGCAAAACTTCTGACCTATAATTTGAAGCTTTAGTTTTAAATCTGAGATGACCTTTGTTTGATACAACTTTCTTGAGCCAATCAAACAGCCAGATACAACAAGAAAAGTGAAGTGGTATTTACAAGGTTTTGGAACTTACCAGAAGAAGAATCCCAGCATCTGAAGATCCCTATTTCCAAATGTGAAGATCAGAATAAAAGGATTTGTGTGTATCTCCACATACAAACAGATTCTCAAAGAAGAAAGAAAGCAGGCACGAGATACTGTCTTGTTACAGTTTGACAAAGTAGGCGTTTATTTATTGATTTTTTTTTTTTTTTTTTTACAGTGTCCCATATCTAGGCCACTCCTTGCCTCCTGACTCTGGCCTCTTCCCGGAAGCAAATAACACTGGATCCTATAACAAAGTAAACACACACACCCAGAGGCTACCATTTAGACTTTGTTCTGGCAACTGCTAACACTCATACACACACACAGAGTCCTCAAAGCTTTTACTGACACGTCATACTTTGAATGGCAGAAGTCATTCTTTGTCACGGACCTCATCTGGAGTCAGACGATATGCTTCTCACTTTGTGGTTGTGTGTTAGTCTCTGTAGAAGAGGAAACATTAAAAATAGTCACTTTCTTTGGTTTTCACCTCCATCCAGAAGATTTTATCACAGTGAAAGAAGAAGAAAACTTGCACTTTGTTTATGGCAACTTTTAGTAATAATCTATGAGAGAGAATTGTTTGTAGCAATAGAAAAACTATAAAAATGTTTATGATGTCAAAAGAAAAATCTATGATGGACAAAATAAATCATATATGAAATAATATGATATATATATTTAAAGATATGTATTTAAAGTTAATATTTTGAATATGTTTAAAATTAATGAATAAAAAAAATTTTTTTTTTAAAGTAATCTCAACCAGGGGTAGAACAATATGGTTTTTTCCTTTTTTTTTCAAAATGTTTTTTATTGAATATACAGAGAATATTATATATAATGTATTGAAGAATATACAGTATTTATCCAATTGTTATGAATTCCCGGTGTTTATTATCCCATCTCTACAAGTAACACTGGAATTAGGGTTGTACAGAGGGCCCCACAACATATTCTCAGTACCTTTGCCAGTACTACATCCAGTCTTTTAAGAGCTCTAATCACTGATTAGATTTTTGTGGTCAAAGGTGAAGGTCTCAGTGACCTCACAAAACATATTTTTGGCCTCCTCAAGAGAATCCCTTCAACTTTGAGTCCAATTGGTCTCAAAGATGAACTGATTAGATTTTGGTGGTCAAAGGTCACGGTCACAGTGACCTCTAGTTCTTGTGAATGCAATACATCAGACACATCCAGAGGGAATTTAATCACATCTGGCGCAGACACTCACTTGAACACAACACACAAAACACAATTTTGGCCATAACTAAATTCATAGGCTAATTATGACACTATTTAACAGAAATGTGTAATACAATAAAATGTGATGACATTTTATATCCAAATGTCATAATGTTGGAGATTGTGACCATATTTCCTGCAACTTGACTAGTAGAGACATACACCCACTATTCTAGTCTTATTGCTATTGGTGAAGTGTCTATTGCAGGCGTATATCACTTTCATTTTATCACCCAGGCCTATCTCAGACTCAAGGGAAAGTAAACTTCACACCCCTCAGGGGGCCCGTTTCCAGTTTGAGAACCACATTTTAAATGTATTAATTTAATCGGCTGTCAGATCAGACAAAGTAACGATTCCAATAATTGAAAAAATTATAAATATCAGGTTCAATGATCAGCCAGGTTGACAGTACTATTAGCTGCATTACTGTATTCTGTTGGATGTTCCAATTATTTAGCAGAATGAGCAGAAACTGATTATTTTGTATTTACTATACACTAAGGATTTGTCTAAACAGGTTGGATAAAATATCAGAAACACTTAATAATATAATTTTATGTTTTTAAGCCAAAAGCACAAACTGCTTTCCAGCTTTGACAAAAAACAGGTTGACATTAAGAAATAAAAGAAACAAATATTAATGTGAGACAGAAAGGAATTCAATTATTAAGGAGACATCTAGATAAACTGTGAATAATAAATTACAACAAATTTAACGTTACAGAGGGCTGATAAATAAAACATTTCTGAGAAAGTATCATTATTATAAAATTTTTGAGGCCGTAGTTTGTTGTACTGTAACTACAGTAATAGACATCATAGGATGTGTTAGCACAACAATATTTTCAGTATATACTCCACACTCTGTTGTCGGTACTCCTTGCTAAAACTACTGTAGTTTAATGCAAGTGCTCTGGAGGCTGTAGAATTATAATGCGTTAAAGGGAGAGCTGCCTCTAAAGTTTTCTCCACCTCATTTATAATAACAAAGGTAGACTTAGAAACCACAGCCTCTATGACCGTAAAGATAAATCAAAATATCTTTACAATATTTTCAACAAAAAAGGAACATTATAACCTTCTATTGCAGGACTGTTGTATGAGACTGCATTATTTTTAACAGGTGTACTTAACATGTACAGTAGGTATTTCTGTTTTTCTTCCACCCAATTAGAAACTTGTATGAAAGTGACAATAATCATGTCATACAAAACCAATTGATATTATAAATGCGAAGTACACCATGTAAAAGTTAAACACTACCTATGATTATAATAGTTTTCTTTATGTGGCAAATAACAAGGGTCAGTAAAGTGACTGAAAGGACAAAGTCAGGCATTTGTGTTGTGTGTGTCTGTTTGCAGTCATACCATTCGAGTGTGCACATTCCTCATTGAGAATCCCAGTAAGTGTGAATAGGGCGAAAACCAGGAGAGAGAACATGATTGTCAGCACCTCCAGCTCAGTGAATGGAGAAGCCATCTACATATGCCCTCTGCCACAGCTGTGTTGACAGTAAATGTTCCATCTGTAAAATCACCTGCTTTCCAACAAAGGTGACATGCCCTCCCATCCTACACCAAATAAGAATTAGGATTAAACACTTACCCTGGTTGTGTTACAGGAGCACTGAAATGTTGACCATCATACAACTGCTTGATGGCACATCACACGCACCCCATGTCTGTGTCTCTCTCTCTCTCTCTCTCTCTCTCTCTCTCTCTCTCTCTCTCTCTCTCTGTCTCTCTCTCTGTCTCTCTCTCTGTCTCTCTCTTTCTGTGTAACACACTAGCAAGAAGTGTGAAGAGCTGACTTATAAATGCCACTAACACGCTACACTAGCATTCACATTTGGTCCGGAAGCTGAAATTCTTTCAAAAATTAAGTTCAGGTGGTTTTCTCTGTTTGTTGCAAGAAACTTTGTGATGTGGTTGCTTGAAGTGGAACAAATCAATTGGCCCTCTGAAACTATTCTTCTTTTCTGCATGCAGACACACACATCACACACATATTTTCTGAATGCATTTTTAAAATTTGCATACCACAAGTGTTAATAGCACCCTATTTAAACCAGAGACCACAGCAAGTATCTTCTGACTTCTCCATTTGCAATGCAATTAAATGCCATTGCAACAATATGTACCTGTGGTTATGTGTGTGGGGGTGGAGATGTACTGTATCTGGGGCACTTATTTGACCACTTCTCTGTTCTTAGTGAGAACAGGGCTGCTGCTGCTGCTGCTGCTGCCGCCAACAAGCTGTTGAATGTTCTCTATCACCGGCAACCGGGAATAAAGGCTTGTTGAAGATATTTGAGTATTAGATGGGGTTCAGTTATCCTGAGGAAGTGATCAACAATCAGGCAGAGCGGAGACAGAAGGTCAGTTTCAAATAAAGTTCAGGTGGTTGAAACCACCCTGACCCTCAGCTTAAATAGAGTTTTAAACACAGTACAGTGCAAAGTTCTAAAATTGGCTTTTCAGCTTAAAAAGATAAGATGGAAATCCTTAGGCCTACAAACAGATAAGATCTGTCTAAATCTTGGGGTAGTTACAGGCTGTGAATCTCTGATATGGACAGGGATTCAGAGATCTGGAATCATACTAACTTGAAAAGCCCTGCAAACCCTCACAGATAGTTTTATTTGTTCCAGTAGCAATGGCCAGAGCTATGATGGGAATTACATGAGTTCACATGGCTAAGTAGTAATAAGTACCATAAAGGTGTAATTTGTTCAGTCCACTAAGGTGTAGTAAAGCGAACGGGAGTGTGAGCGAGATGTCCACATCCACACAGTCCTAAGAAGAAGACTGACCATTTCCTGTCACCTCTCTGCTAGTCACTCTATAAGAACAATGCATTCTGTGCCACTGCTGTTCAAAAAAAGTTAAAACAGTGGTGAAATTGCCAAGCCTCGGTTAAAATATATTTATAAAGCCAACCAAGGAATCACAAATATGCAGAGTATGGGGTCCCATCTGGAAATTTAGTAATACTAATAATAAAAGTGAAAGAAAATCATTTAATTATTTTGGGTGGTACTGTTAGAGTGGACAGTCTCTACCCGGTGCACGCCTTCTCTTGCTCTTCATCTGTGTCTGCCTTCTTACCTCAGTCAGCCACTGCACTTTACTGATCCCTTTAAGTCACCCATTTTCCAGTTATATCAATCATAATCCTCATGACCTGATACAATTTGAAATAGGATTACACCTTTACCACCCACACATACACACCTATTCTGTGAAGATGCTGATATGGTTGTATATGACTTCTGTGGGTGTTTCACTTTGTGGCTAGTCAGACGAGTAATGTGCCTTTATGCCTTCAACATGACAGAAGACATGAGGTGGCTTAACATCTATCAACACATTGTTTCTCACCAGGGAGTCTCTGAACAATTGGGCTGTGTGTGTGTGTGTGTGTGTGTGTGTGTGTGTGTGTGTGTGTGTGTGTGTGTGTGTGTGTGTGTGTGTGTGTGTGTGTGTGTGTGTGTGGTTGTGGTGTGTGTGAGAGTGTGAGTGTGAGTGTGAGTGTGAGTGTGTGAGTGCTGTCCATGTGCACAAGTTGTGTAAGCTTATTAGCAGCACCACTGGTCAGTGGAGGAGATTGAGGTTAGTCTAAGCCCTAATCCTCGTGGACCGTATGCATGTTACCCAGCAAGCACGACAAAATCCTGGCTCCGCCCCCCGAAGACACACACACACACACACACACGCACACATACGCACACATACGTACACACACACGCTTTCCCTGCCTCCTTGTTTACTGCTCAGCTCCATCTCAACTCTTCTTCTCCCTGTCTCTCTCTCTCTCTCTCAGCAGGAGGGCAGAGGAGGAGGGGGAGGAGGTGGTTCGCACTGTTGAGTAGCTTCCCAGTCGTCATGACGACCTCACACCCCACCATCTCCAGAGCTGTCTTCCTGTTGCCACGGTGACCTGATCCTGTTCCATCTCTGCTCTTCTTGATGATCCGGATCGGGCTGATAAAGGAGAGCGACCCTGGAGCGCTGTCTCCTTTCCCTGAAAACAGCCCGTTGATGGGACAGCGAATCACACGAAGGGACGAGGATCGGAGGACAGGAAGGCGCGGCGAGGTGGGAATGCTGTGGGAGTAACGCCGGAGTGTTGCCTGGAAACAGCAGCATGCCAGTACAACAGATAACTGTGGTGCCAGCCAGGGAGACAGCCAGTAACGGCAAGAGTGCTCCGCGCTCCAAAGACAAAAATGAGGTGAGTTTCTTTTTTTCTTTTTTTTCTTCTTCTTTTTTTCTGATTAAGCCTTAAAACTAATGTAAAGTTGGTCAGACAACAGAGACTTAAGATTTCAGGATAAGTTGTATATGTGGTCAGAGGGTAGAAGTCATTTGATTGGTCCTTTGATTGGTCCTGAATGTTGATGACTTGATGACTGTAGAGGAGGTTGCAGTGCGTTTGTGCATGTGCTGTGTGTGCGTGTGTTTGTATGTGTGTATACATCTCCCTCAGTCACTCACATATACAGTATGGATGTACTCAGCAGCCTTTGCTCACTTGGGGTTTGGAGCTTTCTACTGCATTTTCTACAGAGCCTGGCATCACATCACATCCTAAGAAAATCACATCCTAGAACAACCCAGAACATGAAATAACGTCACATCGCATCACCTGATGTTATGTCACATGCATAAGGCTCTAAAGTCTTTTTCTCTGACACCAGGAAGGATTTGATGTATGTGTGTGACTAATAGCAGGAAGAGAAATGAGGTCATTGTGTCCATGTGAAAGAGCTGGGTTCTATAACTATGTCATTTACAAAGTCATGCAAGTGGTCAAATGGTGTTTGCCAAGTTAGTTTGTTGTATTGTTATATTTGTTATATTTGTTCTCTCAAATCCAGACAAACACCGAAATGATCGCATTCCTTATTTGTTGTCACTGCACTCATTAATTTTAAAATGGAGTAGGACTTTTAATGTTTTGTTTTTTTTTTTTGTAAATATAGCATTGTAAAATGATTTCACTTCCTTAATTTATTAATAGTGTTTTGAAATACAATTTTTCATTTAACCCTAGAAATTAATCTTGTTGAAATTAACCAAACCGCACAAATAATTTATTTTTCAAGAGAGACCCAGCAAGAAGTCTGCGTTAAACTTAAACTAAATCAACAATAAATACAAAACAACATAAACAGACTAAGGCATCTGTCACACGCTACAAAAGGCATAACAACATTGTGTTGGGATTCATGGCTGTTCAGAGGTTTTAAACCACGATGATGTCAACTTCCCTGGTCTGAGTTTGAGTCTGGCCGGGGACCTTTGTAACATGTCATCTCTCCTCTCTCTCTCCTTATTATCTGACACCTCTCTACAGGACATGATTTATTTTTATTTTATTATCACTATTTTTGACATTTTTTTCTCTGTTTGACAAATGAAAGTGAAAACAAAGAGAAAATGTAAAAACGTAATGACCCCAGCATTGTGGTTGCACATTTTAGATTAATAGATCATTAGGGCATGAGGATTACCACAGACTGCACACATAACACGATAACTTCTTGTGTAGCCGGACTGTTTAGATACACCACAGTCTACATAGTCAAATCTACTGATGATAACCTGTAACAACAGATAACAGAATAATTCACCCAGTAACACATTTTGAAAACGCAAAATACAAGTTTCATTTCACAAGAACTTTTAAGGATCATACCAGTGGTTTTGCATGTTTTAGCCCATTTACTGCACATCACTTATATGTTACATTATGTTTTAGAATTTTTAGATATTTTTCCAATGGTTTCCATTCATATTCATAAGATATAAACACCAATTAGCAGGCGTGTCTGGTAACCTAATAGTTTAGATACATACCAAATAGCTGTCATGTCCACAGTTCAGTTCTTAGCTGGAAGACACTTGTTGCATGTCATACCCCTTTCTCACGGCCCTTGTTTCCTGCCTCTGTTCACACCTCACAACAACTCAACCCTGATGAAGATGATTAGCTGAGTTTTTTTGAGATAGTGATTGTAGCTTATCACAATAATAGATAATATAAAGAAATATTTAAGATTTTAAGGTTATTCAAAGCAGAGATTCTGTAAAGAAGACCAGATTTAAACTGTACATCTGCAGCTACATGGGTAGTTGTCTAAATGTTGCTATAGGTGTTTTTGATCCCAAGCCAGAGTACAGAACCAAAATATAGCCCTTGGTCCACGCTACATCTCTTAATCCCCTCTGCAGAAACATGCACATGTCCACACAGACTCACCAAAGTCTCTGCTGTGCATCAGAGTCAGAGTGTCAGCAGAGGAACACAGGCTCAGGTAAGTGACAGTCAGATGTTAGCTCTGATACAGCACTTTAATACTACTGGACTGTGAGTTTAGGCACAAACATGGGCTTGGTAAAACAGAACTGTTTGTTTTCCTGTGATGGCAGCTTCACATGTGTAATTCTTCACGAATGTCTTTTAGCTGGAAGTGATTTGTTGCATCTAAGACCTGTCAGGCTGTTAATTCAGGATCCTATGGATGTTAAATCACAGCTTCTTTGCTTGTTGTTAAGACTGATTATATAGATTAAGATAAATGAAAACCTACAGTGGGACTGAGAAGAAGCCACTGTACCAATAAGGATGCTATATGTGTAAGTTGTAGAATTGAGAAACCAAAACGGTGCAATGCAGACGCAGCTACTGTTCATATGCTATAGACCAGTGTACATAGTCAGAGAAGCATGTTGAATTTCTCACTGAAGCTATTCAGAGCTAATTATAGTACTTGCATCTGCAGTACGTTGTGTTAGTCTGCTGTGTATTAACCTTGTCCTCCTAATTCTGCACTGATTTCATGTTCTTTTCTTGTTTGTCTGTTTACCTATGTTGTTACTGTCTATGACAGTGAGAGATATTTGAAATTGATATGATGTTTTCTTGTCAGCTATGGTTTAAGGCATGTCTGTTATTACTCTAGCCTACGGCTAGCTCAAAATATTTTACTCTTGATATTTTACACAATGATCAAAATAGTGTCTGTGAGAAAAGGCCTATAAAAAAACAAACTAACTGACTTATTTCGTGACTGCAACTTCTCTTATGGGTTAATTTATCTGAACAGGTATTAGCAGAATGTATTATTTCCTATCCAGAAGAAACTGGACAGTGTCTCAATTTCTTATATGTTCATTTAATTTAATGCCTGAACAAGTGCGATTTGTGTCTCTTTCCCTTTTGGCTTCTGCGCTTGCCTCAGAAAAGTGTGTCTCCTCTTTTACATCTGGCACAGATTCCGTCGGAGCCTCCACTAACAACCTGTGTTGGCTAACTTTTACTTTTTTTCTGTCTTTGTGTTAAGACATGCTAAACACCCATTAGACCTGTCTCTTTACTGATTACTGAGAGGTTGATATAAAGAATGTACTGCATGCTACTCTATATACATATATCGTATGTAGCTGTCACGGGTTTTGCTCAGACTTGACAGTTACAGGCTTAATATAATATTGTTTCTGTTTTTTTATGAAAGAAGCTACCACAATCTTTTTATCCTCTTAATGATCAACATATTTGTTCATTGTTTTTTTTTTAATGTTGATTTTGCAATAGTGTTTGGCAACCTCTGCTCTGGTTTCTGGACCTATGTTTGATCTGAACATGACAGAATTCTGTTATTAACCTGTTGTGTAAATTTAAGAGGGGATAGCCTATTTCAATTGCCAACAAACTTTCTAGTTTGCATGTGAATGTTGCAAGCCACGTGCTTCTCCATGGAGACGTATAGCAAAGCTTTATTGACAACAGTTAATGAAAATCTGACATGATGGAAATGGAAATGAAAAACAGAGATACAAACATCTGCATCTACTCAGAAATGAGTATGAGTATTCTTGCACACCTGGAGAGCACACATGCTTTATAATGTAAAGGCATTTATTTAATCATGATTTTCTAATCATGTTATGGAAGTGTGGCGTGTTACTTTTGATGAGCGATTTATCTGCTGACGTAAATATATTAATGAACTGTATTGTTATCTAATATTTTAATCAGTTAGTCAATTACTGATTTGTCCTGTGAGGTAAGACTTCCAAAACCTTATACACATGCACCTGAGGTCACAGGTACATGTGTCCATCCCCTCTAACACCCAGAAGAGGTTGCAGAGTGTTTGCTTTGACTCCACACAGGACTACTGATTTAAACCTGGCTATCAGCAAATCCCTTGATCAGCTTAGACGATGCAGTCTCCTACTTGTCAGTGTCTTTCTTATTTATTTCACCGATCTGCACAGTGTGTACCCACAACTGTCTGTGTGTGGGCTGATATGTGCAAGCTCTGTTTTGCTTCTTAAATGTCATCTATAAAAAAATATAAAGTTGCCACCCACAGGAGAGATTCCGAACATCAACTTTAAAATCTGTAAGATACGTAATAACTCAAAACATTCATCCTATCAAAGTGTCCACTTTCATACTGTTATACCTATGGGTATTATACAGTACAATATATACCAAATACTGACATTTTACAAACAGGAATGGCAGACATTTAACATATTCATCACATGTAAGCAGGCGTGTACTAAAGTCAGTTGTGTTCATTTTAATTTTAGATTTTTTAAAAAAGTGTAAGTGTTTGTTTTTTTAACATTTTAGACTTTCCAAATGGCTGAGCTTGTGTTTTTCCATTTAGGCCATCAGAGCTGTGGAGTAACAACAATATTTAACAAATATTATACTCAACAAATAGCATACAAAACTAACAATTAACTGATAGCAACTAACACTTACTGTCTGTGGAACCAGAAGATGATATAAATTATTCTCTGGGTCATAAACCTGTCCAGAAACTATTAAAAAATAACATCAGTGAGCCACACTGTTGCACTCTGTGACATGTTTCTTCACTATGAGGAACGTGGGCACTGTATTTTATTTCGAATCAGTCCCACGTACATCTTCCTGCTGCTGTAAATACACATGAATTCACAGCTGAAAATAGTCCGTACTCTTGTTTGAGCAATGTTTGCTGAACAACTACGATGTCCATATGTTTTGGCCTTTAAAAAAAAATGAACATATCTTTTACTTTCACTTTATGCTTCTGTTCATTTTCCACTGCTCAATCACTACAGTTGGAAGGTTAGCCTGCTTGTCTCTGGCATGTTCAGTGTTGGACCACGGTGTATGTGTGTGTTTGCACTGAGGAATAATTTTCAAACTTAGTACATATCCACAGTTAAGGCAGCAGAGGCTGGAGGAATATGTACATTGTTTGGGACAAGATGTATTTAAAAATAAAACACCTGGCTGCCAGCAATATAAACTGTGTGGCTGGTGATAACAAATGAATTTGACAATACATAATTTGACAATACAGATAAAAGTGTTTCGACTAAGAGTCATTTTTGTGATTGCTCCAGTTAGTGTTAATCTGGTAGTTTCTCATTATAGCTTCAGCAGCGTACAAAAAAGTGTTAAGTGAGTATTCTCTGTTCAGACAATTGCCAAGAGTTTTCTGATGTTTTACAGCCAAATATGATGACTAGAAATGCTGCTTATTTCTTGTACACTAAATGAACCAAACCCCTGCAGTAGCTAGTGTTATGCTCAGGTTTCTTACATTTATTTCACCTTTTAAAACGAGGTAATTTACTCATGTGTACACATCCACATAGCTGAACTAGGTTTGGGTGATATGATAATGTATGGACTGTCAAATAATATACATTTGTCTACTTTCAGAGATTTTGTTTATACCACAGTACCATCTCTTTAATGTCTCAGGATGTATTGGGCCATTGTGGGCAAAGTGATCAAATAAATGATCAGGACTGCTTCATAGTAAAATTCGATTTTTTTATATGACTTTTACATCAGTGTGATGAAGTACTTGGATTTGCCAGATATTTACTTTGCTGAATTAACCCAAGTAATTGTTGTTTCAGAAAGTGTACTTTGTTGAGATTAAAATTGCTATTTACATATAAACTAACAGATATCGTGATTGCTCATTTTTAAGAATCTTAAGAGTGTGTTGGTGCCCGTAAAATAACTTGGAAACATGATTCAGATACCAGGAAAGATAACTGTTTTCATCACAGATGAAAGGTGTTTGTACTTGGTAACGCCTACATTTTCGGTAACAGAAACTTGTATAGGATGCTGTAGGCAGTGAATAAGGGTGCAGATGTCTGAGGGTTGAGTTCAAGGTCTACCGTCTGAGTTCACACAATCAGCACTCTAGGAAGTTCCAGAAAAAGTGCTTTAAGTTGACTTTAAATAGAGACACATTACAGAGCAGCATCTTGTGCACTTAGCAGGACAACTAGGTAATAGGATTGGCTGGCTTTAGCTCAGGTCGCAATGAAATAACAAGGACACGTGGCCACGCATGACTCCTAACGCTGGATTTTAACCAGCCAACACTGAATACTGTAGAACACACTGGTGATGTTGAAAGCTGCTTAGTTTAATAATGAGCTCTTTGTTTTTGCTGAGTTTAAGAATCAGCTTGTCCAATTATATATTTATTTACTTTAAAAACACAAAACTTATGAAATATACCCGGATTTCTCTTATGTGATTTATTAAGTTCTTAGTAAGAGATCTTACAATTGAAAATTTAGTTTGTAAAGTTAACAGTAGTACAATTTCTGACTTGGAAATCTTCAACAAACTATAAGTGACAGCTGATTGGAACTGAAACAATCAGTCACTTAATGATTAGCTGATTGACAGAAAAGTACTTGCCAAAAATGTTGATAATTGATGAATTAATTATGCAACATGGCAGATATTCCCTGGTTCTAGCTTTTCAAATGTGAAGATTCACTGTTTTTCCTTGTCTTATATTATTTCAAATTAAATATCTTACAAAACAAGACATTGAAAGATGTCACCTTTGGCTCCTTTTTTGTGTCATTTTATGAACTAAGCTAATGATCAATTTGCCAAAAAATCATCTGCAGATTATATTATTTGTTGCAGCTCTACAGCAGATCACACTAAAATGTTATGGTTAGATGACATTCTCTGAGTTCTCTAATGATTTTCTGTCTCTGCCTCTCCCTGCAGGGGAGGAAGGCCCCTGGGCGCTCAGGGAGTCGATCCAGCAACATCTCCAAGGTAACCACTGAATATCAGACAGCTTAAAGGGCCAAATTCAAGGTCACACTTCCTAGTGTAAGTGATGTGGAAAAATGTGCTAATGCTAAAGTGTTACAAACCAATCAATGTAAGGTTGCTTTAAGTATACACTGTTGTGTTACTTATGAGACTCAAGACTCGTTGAGCTCCATTATTTAATATTTTTTGCACATTTTTTTCAACTATGAATGAAATCACTTTGAGTAGTATTAAAGGGTAAGTTGAAGTAACAGACCTACAGATAACCATAACAGGTGAATTCAGTGTTGCCAGTCTCAGTCCAGCCTTTAGCTGCAGTAGGCAGCAGAAATACTCGGCTAAACATCAGAAGAACCGACTAAAATTAAAGATAAATCAGGACAAAGTGAGCAACTAGCTAATGAAAAAAGTCAAACACTCAGCTAATGACTCGGATGCTTTTCCAAGGAGCCAGATCTAAAAGGGGAGAGAATATTGACTTCCATTTGTGAATTGAGCAGAAATGCAACTTTGTGGTTGCTGGACATGTACATAGGCAATTGTTTGCGAACACGTTAGCCACAACTACTTTATAAGGTGATCAGGGCTACGTATCTGTCAGCTTGTTTTATCTATTCATGTTGTGTTAACATAATAAAGTGTAAATATCTCAGTGATAATTGACTGGCATTGAGCTAATTTGTGTATGTTGGTTGTTGCAGGCCAGCAACTCTACAACAGGACTGACTACAGCCTCAAGGACATCGATCACCCCGTCTTCTCAGGACATATGCAGGTAAGACCGCTGTTATCCAGAATTTTAGTAACCTGAGCAGAAACTGGAAGGCCAAAAGAAAACTATGATTCCTTCTCTGTCCAATGACTATCTGCAAAAACAAACACCTCTCTTAAAGCCAGGCACCAGAGCAGCCACGCTTTTCTCTGTGATATTAACATGCACAGTTTAAAGCTTCTTCTCCACTGAGTGGGAGAATGAATTAGCATGGTCTGCTGCACCCTGAGGGCGTAACAAAATTAAAATGGATGCTGAAATCCAATGGTGCTCCTATAGTGCAATCAATGAGGGGAGGATGGCTGATTGCAGAATTGAGATCCTTTAGCTTATTATCTTCATTGTGGTGTGGTTGTCACGCTGACAGGCTCAGTCCTGTGGCTTCAAGGCTGAAAGGACACTGTGTAATAGCAAAATGGACACAAGATGTATGCAAGTGCTTGAACCTCCATTTATCGCCTTACCTTGTTCACTCATTCAAAAGTCACCATTTTCTATTCTGGTTCCTTACCCTGATAATCACACTGAACTCTCATTTTGTTTTGTCTTCATTATTCCATCTGACATTATGTTCTTGTCAGCTGTTGTTATTTCGCCCCAGCCAGTCAGTAGTAAGTGACATATACATCCTGCTAGTATCATTTTAGTTAATACAGAAGCCATGATAGCAGTAGCTTCAAGCCATTAACTTTATGTTTTTCACGCTGAAGAAATATGCTGATTTAGGGGTTGTTATTTCTGTAAGTCAACCAACACCAATCCAAACAGCTGCATCACTATCATCCACAGTGTTTTTTCTGACTCTGCTACATGAATGGGATTTTCTGAGACATTTTTAATACCACCTTTAATACCAACTCTAATTGGCTTGGTAATTTTTCCAGGCAGCTGTTAAAAAGACCATTTGAATCACTGAGGAAAATCTGAGATGGATGAAGGAAATTCAGGAAGAGATGGTATAGCTGATTTAAAGTGTGATTTTTTTTTAAGCCTGTTAGTTCCAAAGACAAAATTCAATTCACCTCCATTCTACTGGAGTCAGAGCAGAAATTTCAGATAGAAATATTTCAAAATCTTGAGAAATAAAATAAAACAATCTACACTGTTGCCCATAAAGTTGGAATAATTTTGTTTTCAGACACAATCCTGTTTGTCCCTATTTAAATGCATCAGTAATCACTTTTGACCAGGTGCAATGATTACATTATGTGTCCCAATTACCCAGGTGAAATGAAATAAATCACATTGTCGCAATCATTTCATGGAAAGAGGTAAAAAATATTTTATTCCAACTTTATGAGCAACAGTGTACATGGCTAGATAGTAAGTAACTTTTTTGTGATTTGGGTGAATGGACCCTTTAAGTCTGTACAATCAGGTTTCCGGTCATTTGCTGTTGTCGTGTCCATGTCTTTTCCATATTATTTCACCTTATTTTTACACATCTCCATCTGTGTGTGTGTGTGTGTGTGTGTGTGTGTGTGTGTGTGTTCAGCTCTGGCCAGCTGACCCGTTTAGAGGAGGATGCCTCTGAATCACACAAACACAGCAAGCACGCACATACCTCTGCAATGACAGTCACCAGCACAACTCTGGGCTCGTCATCTCAGGCCCATAAGAAGCAGGTGAAGCGTCGTCACCGCCGCAAAAGGAGCAGCTGCACCGCCTTCGACTGCGTGGAAACCAACGGCAAACAGGAGCAGACAGACCGCAGCGACCGCAGCCCGAGCTCTGACCGCAGCGAGAGGGGGGAAAAGAGGGAGCGGTCTTTCAAGAGCCGACGGGAGCTCCCACCTCGCCTCCGCTGCTCAGCTGCCCCACAGTCTGATTCCTCCTCAGAGGACGAGGTGAGCCGTGAAGCCCGCAGCTGGAGCAAAGAGAAAGCCCGAAGAGCACGCCGCCGCAGCGGGAGCAGCCGTGAGAGGGAAGGGGCGAACAGCGGTAAAGGAGGCGAAGACAAAGCAGATATGGAGCTGCAGTCGGTGGGTTCTGATGATGGGAGGGAGAACCAGCCTCTGGTGGAGGACACCGGAGGCCTTAAGAAGCGGCACGGCAGCCGGGGCTCAATGAAGAGAGACGGACATGGTTCACAGAGGGAATGCTCACAAACCAGAGATAAGGAGAAGAGCAACAAGGCACGCAGCCCAGGAGGCAGCTCTTCACTGGCAGAGGACACTGAGGAGCTCATTACCAAGAGATACCAAGAAAAGGGGTCAGGGGGTGGAGACATGTCAGTTCCCACACCGCAGAAACACTGTGGTGTGAATGGAGGCACACCCCGGCACTGCTCTGACGACTCTGAGCTTGAGGTCTGCAGGTTAGTGGGTTTGTGTGACACAGATCATCTAACTTTATTGCCCAAAACAATTACAGAGACAGAGAAGGTAAAACAATAGAGACAAGCCATAATAACAGTAGAGTAGCTGCACATCACTTTTTATTTAACCTAATGAGTCTGTGTATATTTTCTCTGTGTGCGTGTGTGTGTGTAGGATTTGCCACTGTGAGGGGGATGACGAGTGCCCATTGATAATGCCTTGTCGCTGCACAGGGAGCCTGAGTTTCGTCCACCAGGCTTGTCTCAACCAGTGGATCAAATCCTCAGATACTCGCTGCTGTGAACTCTGCAAGTTTGACTTCATTATGGAGACGAAGCTCAAACCTTTACGGAAGGTATGTGCACACTCCTTCAGCCTTCTGTCCCTCTTGATATCCAGTGTTATCTTACCTCTCTTTCACTCTCCGTCTCCATCCCTCTGTCTTCCAGTGGGAGAGACTACACATGTCGAAGAGTGAGAGGAGAAAGATCTTCTGTTCAGTGTTGTTTCACCTGATAGCAATAGTGTGTATGTTGTGGTCAGTCTACGTTCTGGTCAAGAGAACCGCTGAAGAAATCAGACTTGGGAAGAACGGTCAGTATTTTCCCCACTCCCCCTCTCACATACCAGAGACATGCAGAGTGAAATTTGAAACTTTAAATAATTCTTACCCTTGATGTAACAGTATTATAATTTGTAGCAACTTTAAAGTATGATGTGGAGTTTTTCTTGATCAACATTTAACATTACTCACGTAAAGGCATGGTGAGTGTATTTAAGGCCTAACAAACATTTTCTACCTTGATAAACATTTGCAAATCTTTAATCTTAAGATTCCAGTTTCGCGGGTTTCATTTGTCACATGCTGAAATGCAAGAAATTTGCATTAAATAATGGGTGGCATACTCTTGAGGTTGTGCTAAAAAGGCTAGTATAGAATAAAATATAAGAAGAAAGAAATAAGAAGATAAAACTCAAGATTTAAGAAAAATGTAATATATGTAGTATACGTATTAAAATGCCATAAGTGTATAAGTAGGTGGGCTATACAATTCTTACATGATATAAAAATGTAAAATGTACATGTGCTAAAGTTGTAATGCTAACTATAAAGTAAGATTTCCAAATGTCAGTATACTGCCCTCTGCAGAAATGTATAACACATTACATCTGCACATTTGCACGCCTTATAAAAACAATACAGGACCATTCAGTCATTACTCTCAGGGCTTTAAAAAATCCACAAAGTTTTCACCTGCTTTAAGCTATGTACTCTGCAGCAACCCATAGAGAAACTCCACAGGACACCTTTAACCTTTTCACTTGGTGATCTCTGCACCTGTCTGACTCTGGTGATGTGATTTTAAAGATACATTTCCTGTGTAGTCAACTACTGTATTCATGTTTTCTGTTCAAGTACGTGAGTGTATTGTACAGTATAAGTCTTTCATGAACAGACTGTTGTAGTCATCACTGACTGTCCCTCTGCAAATTTAAACGTGTTACTACAGATAGACAGCTGGTATATTATTGATGAATTCCACATACAGTATATCCAAGTCAAATTTGTAATTTTAACATATTGAGGCATTCAAAAACTTAAATCATAACATGTCTCAGATTTAACAAGAGCTAATTTTGAGCTTTGAAATAAATTAATTGCGAATTCAATTCAACAGCAATAACTGTGGTGAAAATGAAACCCAGGAAAAAAACTGTTTGTTATATACAAAATTAATACAAAGGTCATGAAAAGGTTCATGTCGAGTTTGAGTCAGAGTGACACGTTGACAGGACACATGATGGATGTTAATGAATAAAATCAGGGATGTGCTAGTTACAGTCTGATGCACATATAAGCGTCTGTTTTATTTGACTCTGTCAGTGTTTACGACATTGTTAAAGTGAACATAGTACACATACTGTACATACACCCCTCAGTACTTTTGAATGTTCTTTGCTGTGTTCAGTGATGGTGTGGTGTGTTGTGCTGTGATCCTAGTGTATCTGTCTTATCGTTCTCATGTTATAGGACCTACTGTTAGAAGCAAATCATACACTCTATGGCAAGTTTTAGTTTTAATACATGACAGCTCTGCAATAAATCCTGACGTCATGAAGGTTATGATTTTCAGTTTTTGATGAAGCTATTTTAAAGAGGTGTTGATTCAACTTCATGGTCATTTTGGAGGATGCATTCTGTTGTGCTGTTGAACTCAAAAATGATATAAATGAGGTGGACAAAATGATTGAAACACCTGTGAGTAGAACACCATACAGTTCAGAAGATATCATAAAGTTGAATCAACACCTCCCTAAAACAGTTTCAATAAAAACTGTAATAAAAAAATGTATTGCAGGTCTGTTGTATTAGACTGGGTGAATTTTAGCTTGGTGTATCTAATAAACTGGCAACTCACTGTATATACAGTATTTAAAAACACTTCATATATATTAATAAACATTAATATATATATTTCATGTACATATAATAAAATATTTAAAAAATAGCATAGAACATGTTCCTACTGCGATTATAGAAATAAAAAGAAATTACACTCGCTCTTGATTGCAGAAGAGTTATGGAGAGTTTCTCTTCTGAAGTACTATACGCCACAGGGTAAGCACAGCTCTACACACCACCCATCATGACCCATCACACATCCTGCAGGTTGACTTACAGTGGCGCTGTGTGTTTGTGTGCGCGCGTCCTCAGGTGTGCTGGAGTGGCCCTTCTGGACCAAACTGATCGTGGTGGCCATAGGCTTCACAGGCGGCCTCATCTTCATGTACATTCAGTGTAAAGTGTACCTGCAGCTGTGGCGCCGCCTCAAGGCGTTTAACCGCATCATCACTGTGCAGAACTGCCCCGAGAAAGACCTGCACAACTCTCAGGCCCGGCCCAGCACCCTCACCAATGGCAGGCATGAAACTGTGGAGGTCCCAGTCGGCCCGGCCCCTGTCCTGGCTCCAGAGGCACAGATGGACTCAGACATGTCAGTAGAGGCTGCAGTGGCACCGGCACAAAACCCTGTCTGACTGATTCTCCATCCAATCAGTAAAGTTCTGAGTCACACCTTGCTCTTACGACACAAGCTGGTGTGATCACGGAGATTTAGACTCATAACAGTGTTTCAGTGTGTTGTTGTTCTCAGCTCCTGTGATTGCTGATCTTATGAGACACAGCGGACGGATTTAAAGTGAAAGAACCAATCCTGTCCCTCAGTGATCACAGAAAACTGAAAGCCTGAAGGGCTGCAGTAAAGTGAATGTGCAAAGTAAGGAAGGATGGGGCAGGCCAGAACATAGAGAGATGGTGAGGAGATGTAAAGGAAAATTAAGCCATCAGCAAGGAACCAGGGTAAAGACTGTTGTAATGTGGTATATTGACACCATTTTATTCCTGTATGCACTTTGAAAAACTGCACTGACTTGGGTTAAAGGTGTAAACAGTCTGTGGATGCTATTAACCAAAGGTCTCACTATGCTTCAAACAAGGTTCAGGGGGCATGTCGCATGACCATGTCCGAGGGCAAACGTGTCACAGCTCTCCTGAACAGCTGCACTCGAGAGCCGTCACAGAGGGAGGTGAGACGCGATGAATCGTTCAACTGCAAATAGCAGTGCACACTTTTGGACCGTCTTTCATTAGACTGGCCAATCTTTGTATAAGGGGGTAGATAAGGACAGCATACACGTCCGTTCATATACACATCAGAGCTGCACAGTAACTGACTGACACTCACCTTACATAGGCACAGAATCCATAAATTAGGTTTTAAAATTTAAATATTATATTCAGATTCTGTTAGACACACTTTCACAAGGTGTGGAGAAAAGTGGCAACAAGTTTTCATGACCACATCTGAAGAAAAAAAAGTGTTCAGTTTTTCCACACGGCTACGCTGCTACAACATGCAAGGTGCAACAGTCGTTGCAATGGAACAGTCATTTGTGGAGTTTCGCTCAGTCGTGCGCATGAGACGTGGTGGTAATTGTGGAAGACTTGAGAGAAGTTCAAGGGCTGCACACTGCACACATTTGGCCTACTGCTGTTGAAGAAAGGATGTTTGGTTTTAGATGCCGTTGGAGAATCCAACAAGGTCTTCGTTTGAAGCATACTGAGGCCTTAACTCCCACTGGACAATCAGGTCTTCAGACACCAAAGAGTCAGATATTATAAATAGAGAAACAATTATTTAAACAGTATCTTTAGCTCAGTCTGATATCTAAAAATTGAATGTTATGAAAATTAATTTACTGTCATAGGAACGTTCTGAATATTTCTTAAAATAGCAAATCTCAAGTAGCCCAATGTTTATGACGTTGTCTTCTGACAGTTTGCAGCTTTACGTGGTCCTGCTCTGCAAGGTCCGTTACCTATACACAAATGTAACTACAGCTTTCATGGTTGCCAATAGTTCATGTTTTACATTAGGTTATAACAGTGTTTGTCTCAATTAAAACTGGCACACTGATTGAGTGACAAGACAACTGCTCTTTACACTTGTCCACTTTTCTACAGGTTTAATTTGGATTTTTTTACCAGTGTCACTGTCAAGTCACGGAAAATACAATTTTCTGTGTCTTATATCCATCACAACATCAGAGCACTCAACATCTTTGTCAACATCTTTTTTTCTATCTCTGATTGGATAAAAATTGATTATTCAGGTTACATACAATGCATATTTATTTGTGTAATAAACAATGAATGTAGAACCCCTCACAGGTTGGTGTTAAGTTTTTTAAAACAAGAAGACTCAGAAAGAGGGATGACTGATTAAAAAAAAAGTAGTTTTCCATCTCCAAGGTTTTGGCGCCATCTTCTGGACAGTAATGGAGCAGCAGCATCTTCTCACACAGGCACGCAAACAGTTTTTCTATAAAGAGTCTTTGCTGAAAGCCAGTTGATGTTCACTTGTCCTGGAAGGACGACAGAAGCTTTAATACTAAGACATGGTCGAATATGAAGAGCCTCAGTTTCAGTCCGACATCAGAACCATCTCATCTAACTTCTCATCATCCAAAGCAACGTCATCATCCTCATTATCCTCTTCTTCTGCCTCATCATTCTCCTGTCCTTCATTCTTTGTGTCAAGACCTTTGTTAGACACCTTCCGCAGTTTAATATTTGGAAGTTTCTTCAGATCGCCAGTCCACTCCCTGCCAAAACAGAGAATCAACATGTGACACCAAAGGTTAATAGAAAGGATCTAGATAAACCCTCACATGCGCAGTCCTGACAAAGAGTATTATTGATGCTATTTCTGGTCGTGCTCATTGGAGGAATTACCCTGACTGGAAAAACAACTGAGCCACTCATAGTCCAGTGAAAATTACAATGGCAATACAGTTAAGACACTTGCTAGTGATTGGTTTGGGTAAGAAAACATAAGTGATTGTTTTCCAAAGAACGTGATAACAGTAAAAGACTAATTTCATCTTCTTCATGATCATATTTTGTCAGAGTCATAGAAGCTGAATAATTTTGAATAAACTGGACATTTACAACAAAACATTAAAGCCACATGATTTTAGTCCAGTTCACTCACCTGAAAGTTTTCAGATGCTTTGCATTAATGATGTCCGGGATCTCTGTGAAGTAGACAACACACTATAATTGCAAATTCTCGCAGTGCATATATGTGTGTGTGTGTGTGTAAATATTTATACAGTGAGGACTCACCTAATCCTACGCCCTCATACTGTGCTCGCTCCCGCTCAATGGTCTGTTTGATGACAGCTTCTCTGGCACCATGGAGACGACCCTGACGGCCTTTGATCCCATTCGTCAACTCGATCTGCTCCAGTTCGGAATCAAACCTTTGCAGGTACCTAATCATACACATACACGCACAAAAAAAAACAAACAAACAAACACACGAGCTCATTAAACATTAAAATGTTCTGATACATATAAGTGGTTTTGTTTAGCCACATACGCAGCTGCCTTGTGTATTTTTTATTCTTAATTTTATTATAAGAATCCCTCTCCCAACTAAATGAATGCACCAATTATTGTTTTCCCTCAATGGCGATTCAGAAATGACAAGTGTGTTTACCAAAAAAAATACAAAACATAATGAGGATATGAGTTACTGAAGGATCACTTGGTATAAGAGATTAGAATGGCCATGATTATTTGTGGGTTGATTTTTCCCGTTTTATAATGAAAAAGTGCAATCCCAGGAAACATTGGACAAAGAAAAAATACCAGGGGATTTGAGAAAATCTCTAAATACTGAGTAAAAAACATGGGAATGATTTGCTTCTGTTATATGATAATGACAAAAAGTCTTGAGCAACACCAGAACAAGGAAACTAAGTGTTGTGCATGAACGCGTTCAATGAACGCATATTTTTTGTGATCGCTAAACTGAACGAATCAGTTCTCAAATGATGAACGTGAACAGTGAACGCCGCTCACGTTTACGACAGTTTTACGGCACGCCGCATGACGTCTCCATAGACACGACCCAGCATGGCTGGTGCTAGCAGCACAGACGGTACAGTACAGACGCATCTACTTCTGCTGAAGCCAGTTTGTTGTATTTGAAGCAGTTTTATGAACAATCAAGTGAAGACTCAGACGGTTTATATTTATATCCGGATTTTAAATGTAACTAATATCTGTGATTATTCAGTGGTATACAATAATTAATTTAGTTTGGAAGTGGCAATGATTTGGGGCTGATGATGAATGGGTAGAAGGGGCTTCTATTGAAAGAGAATAGCGGCCTATTTATTAAAAAAAAAAACAAATGAACGTGAACTGGTTCATTTTTGGAACTGTGAACTTAGTTCAAAATTTTAAAAAATGTACTATGAACGTGAACTAGTTCATTTTCATCTGTCTGAACTGAACTAACTAAACTAAACCCAAACAATTAATGACTGCCTGCTGTAAAATACATACAATTTAAAATGAGCCTATTGTAATTGAACAAATTCAACACTATTATGGTTAAAATGCTTTGATTCAATTCTTTGTTGCAAATGCAAAGTTCTTACAACCTCTCAATGATGTCACAGGCATCTTTTTTGGTGTAAGCCGTCTTTGCTGGATCCAACTGCCCCTGAAACCACAGCAGCTTCTCACCTGTGAATAAAGAGAAGATGTTTCAATGTTTTTATCATCATTATTATTATAGCTGTGAGGCAACACATTACTCTTAATATTATTAAAAGTTGTTCTGGTTCTTGTTGTTACGTGCATCTGATAATGCACCAAGAATATCTGTAAGAGTTGCTTCAGATAATTGAAAACTGTCACACAAGAGGTGAAATTAAAATACTGATGCTAAAGTGCTATGTTTAAAATAGGAGATGGCGGAGCATTGCTGTAAATTAAACCAAACTGTAATTGGGATGTATGACAAATAATAACTGACCTCATGCCCGACCTAAGACACCATCTCATACTTTCAATAAGCTAATACGTAAGACATACTCGAAATAAATGGATAAATGAAAACCCATCTTACCAATGCTGCTCAGACGTGTGGCTTTGTCATTTTTCTGCCTGCAGTATCAGAGAAGACAGTGGAATGAAAATGATTCTAGTCTGCAAAGTCAGTTTTGTATTCGGTAGTTAAAGGTAAAGTTAAACTACTGAGATTCTCAGTTTTTTGCACCTCTTGTTGTGAAATGGTGTTAGACACTGTAGCTAAAGCCTTAACACAGTCTGAAACCCACTTTCAAATTTGTGAAAACTATATTTTGTTTATGAAAGCAAGAACTGGGACAAATCTAGTCTAGATTTGAGTGTAGTGGTTTTCCATCAGTGCCTGGTCCAGTGTAGTCTAGACAAAAAAAAACTGTTAAACACTTTGTCAGACTTTAACTACCATGTCTAACACGCTGCCTCAACAGTAAGAGGTGCAAAATATTGTATTTTCTCTTGCTTCATGATGAAAATCTAATCTGTGACGATACATTTGAAATGTCTATTACAGATGCCGCAACAAGTGCACATAACACATCACAGCACAAACAGTTACAACAATGACATCCATCATCATAAGCTCACTGCGGAGAAGCACAGGCATGCTGCACTAAAAATACTGTATGTTACCTGTTGGATTTTATTTACTCTCCACTCACCTTTCTTTCCTTTTCAGTCGGATTTCCTCTCGGGCCAGATAAGCAGCTTTCCTGCTGAACGGGTGAACGACTTTCTCCGACACTTTTCCTTTCTGAACTTTTGGCTGAAAAACATAAATTTCACGGTTACAACTTTCATCTGGCGTTTAACTGCTGAGATCGTTTTAACAAACATAGTATGAGCTTAAATCAGAAACATTAACAACCGAGAGAAATTCGTTAACAGGGACAGTACACACGAGTTTTACCATTTTGTCTGTTTGGAAACACGCGTTGTGCGGCTCTGTTGACAACTGCACCGGAAGCGGACTGGTCCGTCATCAAATTGTGTCCGGGTGTTTTGCGGGGAAAACAACAGCGTTCCTGTTTCCAGTGTATTATGAATTCAAGATCATTAAACATGTCAAATTATTAAAAAATATTCTTCAACCAGAAGGTTTGGACTAACACATCGATCTACTCATTGGGTTTATTAATAAACTGCTAATAAACTGCTAATATCAGTTTTAATATAAAAAAATGGTTGAAGTATAGCAAGTATATGTTCATGAACATTTGAAGAAACACAAATTTTTAATGTTTAATTCTGCTGGGGCTGTATCACTTCTTTTCAATTAAAAACAAATTATGTAATTTAGCTAAACTACATCTGTAATTGTGCTTCAGTAAGTTTGGTTCAAGAAAGCTCATAATTAAAACACAATTTTTTCATGATCTTCAAGGTCTTGATAATGCTCTGGACATAAGATAAAGCTACGGAAAAAGTGGATATGAAGGCTTTGTGATCGGTCTGTCATATAATTTATATAAATCTCTTTGCCACAAACACATTTTTTTCTCATACACAAACTTTTCTCAACCAGATTTATTTTACAGGTTTACAAAGGTTGATTTACAACTACAAACTTTGGAATTATTTGTAAACATTACTTTACAAGTTCAAAATCATTTCTACACTAATTTGAGCCTTTATTGAGTAGTGAGTCAGGGGAGTAGTTTTTTTTTTCAATCTCTTCAGTGAACATTTCCAACAGAAAATGTTACTCAAAATATGAGCTACAGTGTGAAACAACATGACATACATTACATGATTGAAAAAGAGCAAGGCCATCTGACCCCCATGTTGGGAACCACTGGACTGAACTGTATATAAAGTACATATACTTGCTACACTTCAACCAGCCTCAACAGTTCAAGTTCCACATTGATCAACAAATGGGTGTAACGTTTCAGTTTCATGTGCGTCTGCGATGAGCTCAGATTTCTTCAGTGCTCCTAAATGATGCCAACGGGAAAAAAAGAAAAAACACTTTCAAGGAAGGAGAATCTGACGCCTCATAAATTTCATCTTATCAAAGCAGAAAATCCAGATGTCCAGTGGTGGAAGTACCCAGATCATTCATTTATGTAAAAGTACCAATCCAACAATATAAAAAATACTACATATCAAGTAAAAGTCCTGCATTTAAAATCCCAATTATGTAAAATTACAGGGGCATTATCAGAAAAGCATCCTGAAAGTATAAAAGTTGAAGTACTGCAGAAAAAAAGCCCCTGTAACTGATTGCTATTGTTATATATGACATCATTAGATTTCTAATACTGATGCAGCAATCGGTAAGCAGCATTTTACGTTTGTAGCAAGTGGCTTTGCAGCTACCTAACAATTAATGGAAAGCTGAGACATCAGATTCCTTTGAATGATTGGGATCCCCTGGTTTAGTCTTTAACAATGCTTTTTATATTATATGGTTATCATACGGTTCTTTACATAAAATTTTAATCAGTGAAGCATCTAGTGATTGCTCTGAAATAAACGTCAGTGTAATGGAGTATAAAACAAAGGTGATGTTGTAAATTTTGCACAACTCTTCCAAAACATTACATGTCATCAGCCATGTTGATAAATAAGTCAGTGAGTTACACCTTTAACAGACTGACTCAGATTGTATGACTCAGTTAGATCAATAGAGTCCTTTGAGGGGGGAATAACAAATTTCACAATATGAGCTGGCTGCACAGTGTCAGACATGGATTATAAGACAAAGATTCTTCAGTTTTGGTTTTCTCTGAGCCAAAACCTTCAAGACTATTATCTCTAAAGTCGTCATTTTAATTTACCATCACAGAATGAGATCTGAAGTCTCCTCTTCATTTGGCACAATTCTTTCTTTACAGTAAATGTATGTTATGAAAGCTTTTAATGGTTTAATTCATTGTCATTTTGAATCCAAATTGGTCAGAGTGGGTTGAGGTTTTATGAAACTGGGCTGTTTTTCTGGGTGAGGACAAGAATCCCTAGAGAAAAAGATCTGTGGCTTGACCATAAATGGATGGAAAGATGCATGAAGATGAATTTATTACCATTTATACACTACTAATCAAAAGTTTTAGAACATCCTGATAATGAGAGAGGGGCAGGTAACAAAAGAAGACGGACTGGTTGGTCAGGGTTTCATCCTACGGCAAGAGAATGACCCAAGACATTAGGAGAAAAGAAATACCTAGGCGGGGGCGGCAAAGTCTCTGGAGTAGTAACCTACAAGTGCAACACATTTGTTGGAACTTGTGCAACAGTGTTGGGACAATCTTTCTGAGCAATATGTAATTTCCATTGTAGAAAGAACGTCACAAGTTTCTTCAGGTGCTAGGTGAGTCAGAAGAGTCAGTCATTCATTTAGTCAGTCATTTAGTTCAACAAGAAGATTCCGGGATTCCTTGCTTTTACGTTTAGATTTACTCATTTGAAAGACGCTTTTATCCAAAGCAACTTATAAAGGACAACGCTGAAACTTCACTGCAGTACGAGAACTTGGTGTAGCGACTAAGTACTACATCTATTCAATAAGTGCAAAGAGAGGAGGTGCTCTCAGAAGAGATGAGTCTTCAAGAGATTCTTGAAGATGGAGAGGGGCGGCCCCGCACTGACAGCATTCGGTAGCTTGTTCTACCATCGGGGAACCACAGACGAGAACAGTCTGGACTGAGATTTTCTTGTGTGTCTGGGATGGCAGTGTTGAGAAGGAGCATAAGGCTGGATGATTGAGTTCAAGTAGATGGGTAAGGACCCAGAAGTCACTCTGAAGGCAGCGTAAGTGAGCGGCCATGAGTAGCCAGTGCAGGTGATTGAATAGCGTGACATGTGCCCTTTTATAGGTTGATCGAAGACCAGACGGGCTGCTGCATTCTGGATCATCTGAAAGGGTTTCACTGCGTGTGAGTGGAGGGCATTGCAGTTGCTTTTAAGATCTCCAACTGTTTATTTTTGATATTTTGATTTCAGAAACACTGATACACTCAATTATGTAAATTTAAATAACGGCACTTAAATGGCTTATTAGACCGAGAGAACTCATTGAGCCTTTATTACTGGATTAACAACATTAATAACTGCACTTGATGGTGATAAACAATGGTATTTTTTTCAACCTGGCAACCCAAAATTTGTTTATTAATAATAGCTTATAGCTAATTCCCCAGATTTTCCCTCTAGCGCCACCATGAAGTTGACATTATCCCAACCACTGGGAAACTTTTCAGCCCCCACCTGTATGGCCCACATCTGGACATACTGGACTGCTGTTGTGACTGTCCACATACAGATGCACTAACCCTCAATACAGATACAGTATGTCAGCATCACTACATACATGTGCTCTTACCCCAGTCCACCCACTCCTACATTTCACACCTATATCCATTATATTTGGTTATTAGACCGTACTATTGAATCCTCTAGATCCATGATTCTCCTTTATGACCTATGATGTAAGCATTGTTTTTATTTACATTGTTTGATTTCATTTTTCTCTTTCTTTAGATTTTGAATACAGTCTGTCTTTGTGAAAACGTCTCCACCTATATTGGATTGTTTGTTATAAAATTTGATACACATATTCATGTCCCTGCCATGATGACTTATAATAACTTTGAAGATCCCTGAACTTTTCATCCAGTGCCTTTATCAGGTTAAAAATTACCATGTTTTATGACCAAATCTAACATCATTCCCCTCACCCTCAGCTGTACTCGTGCTGTGTGCTGTGTTAGGCGATAAGTAGAAAATCTATCACCATGATAATCAACGGAACAGCTAATTAATTTTGTCCTCAAAGAGCATGTAGTGTTCTGGGTGACTTTACCCTTTAGCCTGTTGCTTGTCATGTAAGAATCAACACATAATGCCCAATCCCCTCACTTCTGTGAAGTGGCAACCAGCTGTATTCAAAAGGAAGGAAGTGTTGTTTAAATTGTTTATTAATGTATGAAAAGTGTTCACAGATGAGAGAAACCACAAAGCCCAATCATCCTGTTGAAACCTGCTACCACTATGCCTCCACAGTGAGATGAAGAAAAGACTGTATAGTCTTAATAAAGTAGGCCAACAGTCTTTGCCCATAGATAATCATAACAGCATGACCCTCAAATTCATGACCAGCATTTCACCACAAAGACTGACTTATGATCCTGCCTGAGTTGAGTAACAACAAACAAATTTACAGCCTTGGAGTTATTTTAAGCACGAGTTAGACACATTAACAATTTTCTCAAGAGATAGCAGACCATCTGGCCCTCACTGAGCTCATACAAATTGTTTTCCCCTCCTTAAAGTTTGTTCAGCTTCCCCCTCACTCTGTATGGCTGCATACCTAACCGGCAGGAATGTGATTGTACTGCAGCTGAGGAGCCGTCAGACTTGTGGCTACAAGCACACAGTCGATTGCATCACATCCGAGTGAGTTATCTGTGTGAGTCTGAGGGTGTGTGATTTTTTTTTTCTCTCTCTCTCTCTGCCTTCCATTTAACATGTTAAGTCAAATCAGGAAGTGTGATGCTGTGACAGTACAGAAGGAAGCAGGCACATAATGGCACTATGTCTGCCTCTCGGCCTGGTAACATGAGAGGCCTCCGGGTGAAGACCCCTCTCCTGCTGCTGCTGCTGCTCTTGACCACTCTGTCTGGGACAGGTAGGACTGGGGACATAGTTTTTTTACTCCCTGAATTAAGACGTCACAGCACTCTCCACTTTCCTGTCTCCTCGCTGCTTGCTCTTTTGCGCTTCAGTCGTTTTTTCTGACTTTGTTACTGTGATTTTATCTTTTTGACTGAAAGTGAAGAGTATTTATTATTGATACTGGTGTACTTTTGTTTCTTTTACAAAGATATGAGAAGCAGCAGACAGAGCAGATAAATCAAAGTACTAAACTACCAAAGTACTAAAATTTTTAAAAGCAAACTTTTAAACTGTTACAGTATACACCATTGGTATATTACTATCTTACCTCTCAAACGGATCATGGTCATTCCTCTTTCGCTTAAAAGCTAGTATTTTTCTTAAGCAAGAGAAACATGACAAAGCTCTGTCAGGAACAAATTGCTTAACGTGATGAATATCTCCACCTACTCCGCTCTTTTCAATGCATGAATTTTGCAACAATTTTGATTTTTTTTTTTTTAGTGAGCTTTTGAAATCATGCAGACGGAAGTCCTTAAGTTCCTGTATGAGATCTGACTTAGTGACAGTTACTCTCCTCCTCTGCAGATGTTGCTTTTAAAACTCCCTTGTAAAACTACTTGTGTGTTTCACTTTTAATGTAAACGGTGCAATTGTTTTCTTTTAAGTCTCACTGTCTTTTACAATAACAGTGACATGGGACTGTGTGAAGTAATAAGAGGTGTTGTGTTGCAGTGTTATGCCAAAGTGAAGATTACGATGAAAATACAGAGACTGAGGCACCAGAAACCGATGGCTCAGACCCCGGTGTTGATACAGAGCCCTCTGGTGAGATGTGAATAATGAAATATATCCCAGAAATAATAATAATAATATTAATACACTATGTGGCCAAAAGTACGTAGACAGAGGTGTCCACGTGTGAGGCTCTTCTCATTTCCTGTTTAGGGTTAAACCCCTTACAGTGACTTGCAGTTCTAGTTTTGAAAAAAATAGCAATAATATTCCTTTATTTCACCGAGTAAAACTGAGACTGAGACTGAAGGACAGTGTTTGTTCCTCATTCTGGTTAAAGTTGTCATACAGGTGTATTTCTTTTATGCCGTTGGACCAACTGCGTCTTTACAACCAAATCTTGTGGAAAGTCTTGCCAGAGGAGCGGAGGCTGTCATACTTTTGGCCGTTTGGTGTATGCTGAATAACACTCAGTAGTTTTACTCATTGTAAATATGATGATGTGCCACTCTCTCTGTTTGTAGAGCCCCCAAGTCTTTATGAAGCCACGTCACACCCCTACTCTACAGAAGAGTCAGGTAAAAGTCCACCAGAGCTTTTTCTCTCTAATGGCCCCTCTACCCTTTGAGAGAGTATTGTATTACAAATGAATTTCTGATTTGCTTACTTTTTTTCTTTTCATTAACACTTTTATTAAGCTTTAATTTTTGAAGAAGGATCAGTCATGTCGTTATGAAAGATAACGATAAGATGGTATGATCTTTGTATTGCTGTTTGTATATTGTTTGTGTTTTTTCCTGTGTTGTATGTAGTTTATAGTTGGTTTAATGTATTTTAAAGGCCAATCTAGGGACGGGCTAATATATACATTTAATAAAATAATAATTAATACCTATATATTGTATCTACAAAAGAAAAAACAAATAGCAATGAAGTACACTTCCTGATGACTATACATTGTATAGATTAAACAGTTGGAGTTCAGAGAATCAAAGTACATTTTTGAGCACAATTCATTGAGATATGTAAATACAAACCTAGAAAATTCTGTGCTCACCCATCATTGATACCCAGCACAAAGGTCTTAGTCCCCAGATGACGAAAACATTTGAAGATTTCTACACTCAGATGTCAATTTATTAGGTACCCCAAGCTAAAACTACTGCAATCCAATGTAATAGTCCTGCAATTTGTGTTTGTATTGAAACTGTGTTAAAGAGGTGTTGAGTCAAACAGTTTGTGGTGCTGCTGAATTGAATCACTTTATACATGATACAAGTGTTCCTGTTGCTTTAAATAACAGACACACCTCTCCATATCATGCAAAACAGTTCCACAAACAACAACCTCCAAAATGATCAGTTGAATCAACACTTCTCGAAAACAAATTCAATAGAAACAGAAGTTTATAACTTTCATGAAGGTAGGCTTGATTGCAGGGCTGTTGTTTTAGACTGCAGCAGTTTTACATAGGTGTTCCTAATAAACTACCAACTGAGTGTATGTGGAAAGTGCCAGAAACAAAGAGCAAAAGAAAAACTGCGATATGAAACTTATTACAGAGTTTGGATTCTATACCAAACCTCTGGAGTGACGTAATATTTTGAACTGCCTTTGCCAAGCTGAGTTTCTTGCTATAAACATGAGTGGGTTGTTCACATTTATCTTTCGGTCGATCACTTGTAGAACCCAAATCAGCTTCCCACATTCTTTTGATTTTATCTGCCCCTCAAATGAAGCTCTATAAGTGAAATAGCAAACCCACCTGCAAACAAATTTAACTTCGCACATATGAAGCTCTGAATGTTTTTTTTGTTTGTTTTTTTTTTTTAAAGAAAGTCAGACCTGAGAATATCAAACTCGCCTCTATTCTGTCGCTTCTTGGCACCGTGTGGAGAGAGGAAACAAAACTAGTACATCAGTCAGTACTCACTGAAGCCTGTCGGTAAAATCAACTAATTATTTCCATTAACTGTTTTTGTTTCCACTTGAAGGGGGCGATGGGGAAGAAACTGGTTCAGGAACTCTCTTCTCTGGTATGTCACACCAACATAGCAGCACAGTACTGATTTGTGTCTAGATTCCCTGTAAATGTAAAATCATTTTTTATACTGTTTGTATTAATAATTAGACAAAAATGACAATCACAGACCATAACAACAGTTTGAGTGCCGTCTGATTTGAAGAGAAAGAGTTTTGCATTTTGGTTCCAGAGAAATTTGGCACAAATTCAGCAGGATGCATGTAGTTATTCAAATGATACATCACAAGCCTCTGAGTTTAGCCTGGCTGCGCTGATGATGACTGACTGATCACTGCTGTCTTGCTTCTGCTGAAATTTTTGCAGTAACAGTGGACCCCAACACTATTACTTTCACCAGCCCATCAGAGGACGAGGAACAGAATTTGGGTGTCATCATCATCCCGCTCTTCGTGGGGCTGGTGGTCATAATCATTGGCCTGATAGTTTTAGGCATTTTCATCAGCCGCGGGTGGATCAACAAAACAAGAAATCAAGGTATGTCCATCACAAGAGGGAACATTTTAAAGGGTCAGTTCACCCAAATCACCTGGCTCCCTGTGCATATTGTTTTGGTTTCATTTGCAGGGGTTTTTCAGTGGCTCAAAGCATTGGAAGCTTCACAACAACAAATATATAATGTCAGCTGTCTGCAGTGAGATCTGTGGAGTATATGATCAAGTGTCAAATTATCTGTTCATTTCCAAAAAATGCCAAATTACTATGTAATTACTACAGATACTTTTCCGTGTGACTAGATACCAGCAGGGTTAAGTGGAAAATATATTTTTATGTAATTTGGGGCAACTGATGATAAGTCTGACTTCATTCTTATAACATGATAAATAAAACTTCAAACAAAACTCAACTATCAACTCTTTATCAATATCTGTAATTAATATAAATCCAATATCTCTCAACCTATTTAGCTAGTTAGATACTTTAAGTTACAGATGGGCTGTGTTCAGTTACTGTAATGCTATTTGCCATTTTAATAACAGTGATTGAAGCATGTTCTCTTCTGATAGAGCTAAGAAAAGAAGATCCATATTTGGATGGATCCAACACTGAGAAGGTGCCAATGTAAGTACTGATCTAATTGATTTTTCTACAAATGCTAATTTAAAGGAATGTAGCAAATCATGTTAAAATGTTTAATCTCAGTTTGATTTACAGCATCTTAATCAATCTTAATGTCCAAGTCTTAGCAAGTGTTTACCCTCAATGTGTAATTTCCTGTCTGCAAAACACAACATGTGCGTAAAGGAGGTTTGGATTTTATGCAATTGTGAGCATTGCGTTAAAGATGGAGTCATTGCGAGTTAAGTCTTGTGGTTACACGCAATATCTTTCTCCAGTTGTAATTGCTCTGCTACTTACAACATCTCGAACATCAGATTCATTTCTTGATCCTTTATTAACCAAATTGTCTTGAGAATTACACGTGCTCTCATTATATGTGCAGCTGCACATGCAGCGAGCTAAACACACTTCACATTGAAGACATCAGTTGGCCTTCAAGGGTAGTAGTGGAAGCAACAGTGAACAGTATTGAATAATAGGGGTTACACTTCACAAAAGAGTTGGAAAGAAGGTGTTATAAAAAAATTAATTAACACAGTAACAAGGAGAGTGGACTCAGCTAACTGTTGCAGTTTAACTAAATTAATAATAAACAACCCAAGAATCATAAGACAGCTATCGCCTAAAGAGTACCTAAAACATTTGCTTGGATCAAATAGTGGATTTAACAATGTCTGTTAAACTGATGTGGACCTGTTAACTGTTCCTACTAGCAACATAATGTTCAAGTGAAACCAGCTGCTGGTGTGAGAAAGATTGAAAGTAAACATTTTGTGCCTTTTAGGCCCATGTTTGAAGAAGACGTACCGTCTGTCCTTGAACTAGAAATGGAGGAGTTGGACCAATGGATGAAAAAAGATGGTAAGTTTCTTGAAACAAACAAAAACCAGCAGCAAGTTTAAAGGAAGCTTTTTAAAAACACATGAACATGAAAGGAAATGTGGAGAGGTGCCTTCTTTTAGAAATACACTCAAATGCCATTTTATTAGGTACACCTAGCTGAAACTGCTGCAGTGTAATACAACAGTCCTGCATCAAATCCTCTTTGGACCCCTTTCTTTTTTAAACAGTTTCAACAACAACTGGACTTTATGACCTTTACATAGGCAGGATCTGTTGCATTAGCCTGCATTTGTTTTAACTAGGTGCACCTAATAAACAGGCAAGTAAGAGTTTTTTCCAGCAGTAACATGAGTTGGTAGAGTTTATCCAGCAGAGGTCACTGTTGACATACAGCAAAGGGCAGAATGTCACTGTCTCGTCTGATGTCAGTTTATCACATAGTCATTTTTGTAAAGTCTGTATATTTCTTAATACGTATTGATGTAAGAATTTGATTTGTTTGCAGCATTTCTGTGACACCAATGATCACATTTATGAGGGTTTAGAGCATACACATTCATAGGGTTTGCCTGTTGGTTTGCTTGTTCTAGGAGAAACTGCAGAGGACTCTAAAAATGCATGATTCTAATTATGGTGAGCATATTTTACACTTGTTATGAAAACATCCAGCCTTGATTCAGTTTCATGTTATTCATTCCTTTGAGAGAGATTTGCTTATAACCTCATAAAACATCGGATCTCTTTGCATGTTTATTATATCGTAGTGAAATTTTGTCTGGATATTGATATTATGTCTTTATTAGTGAATATAAAGGCATAAAAAATCATTTATATTGGGTATCCTTTGTTAATATTTAATCACTTCTTTGAGCCTTGTTTGGTGATCTTGATGTCTGGCTCAGTCACTGTGTGACAGGGTGAGCTGTTTTATTAAGCAACATTCCTACAGGTGTGAATACAACCTACTGCAGATGAACTATCTCATTATGAATACTCTCAAAGCAAGAGTGTAAATATTTATGTTATAGCTACACATGGAGGCATTATGACAAACCTATCACATACGGCTTGTTACACAACAATGCTAACACAACACAGATCAACAGTCGACTTGGGTAACATTAAGTCTTTCCAGACACTTTATTTTTTTTGCCAGCCTGTTTGTTGTGATGCACCAGCTGGTTTTCTAGCATGGCTGTGACTGATGAACTATGACCCTTTCATTATTACACATGGTATTGTTTGAAAGCACAAACACCCTAACATCTGTTAGTGATTACAACAGGCATGCATGGAAGTGTGGCGCAACTTAACCCAGGGATAGTCTCCTTACTGGAAAGGCTGGGAAGGCGAGGTCAAGGTCCACTCTACTAAATGTTGACCAACGTCATTTACACACTGCTTTTTCTCAGGATTTTATTTCCAAAGCTGTGCAAGGGTTAGATTCTACTTTCATTCAACAGGGAGGCACTCTGTACACAGTAGATTACTCAAGAGATCTCAAAACAGAAGTAAATGTGATGTTACTGCTGCTGTGGTTGCAAAATGTGATGCTACTGCGGCAGCTGTGCCCTGTTTGTCAGACCTGTGAAATTCCACAGCAACTTAGGCGCTGTAGTGAATCAAATTAAAGGAAGAAAGCGTATACAATGTATTTGAAGCTGCTGAAAAAGCAAGTTTTAAAACCTACCCATTACTTTGCACTGGATGTAGTTGAAGCATAGCTGAGCCAATCTCAATACAACAATGGTTTGGTTAAGGTGTTTAGAAAAATCTGTTTAATTCAAATTGAAGAAAATGAACAAAATGGCAGAAAGCCAGCAAAAAAAACACACACTTTAAATTGAGTTTATTGAAAAAAGTGCACAATTTTTTACTCAAAGCTGCAGTAATATTTTTTTAAGCCACTTGGGAGCAGCACAACTAGCTATACACACAACACTGACATGGTATCAACCCATAAAAATATGTTAGCAAATAATTGTATGTTTACACAGCCAGCAGATACAAAAATGAACAAAATTAGCATTAATTTGGAGTTGTGTTTCTGTCCACGTGATGAATGTAAGTAAAATAATAACTCTCCTTTCTCTACACCAACTCCTGAGGGAAATATCTGGCTCTTTAGCTTCTAAATATTCCACTGTGTTCACCGGCTAATTGTTAACATTACCTATCTATTTGGTGCTGGACAGGTAGTGCACAGGGGATTTATCGCACTAAAACAGTGCAGCTGTTCATCCAAACCAAAACACTGAGCTGAAAAACACTAAAGCTCTCCATAAAACTGTGGAGGATTGTAGAGTTGGGTTATAATTCCCTGTTTGCTTTACATTTCGTATAATCATTTAACCTCTTGCTCTTAAAAAAAAAAAAAAAAAAAAAAAATATTTATATATATATATCATATGATATACTATTATAAATATATATAAAATAATGAATAATAAAAAAAAGATATATATATATATATATATATATATATATTATTTTTATTTTTTTATTTTTTATATCTGCCTGCACCGAGAGAAAAGATTAAGCAGGATTAATAACTTACCTGTATGTATTTTAATAAATAAGAGGAACCAACACCAACACACAAAGTTAAGTTTAACATGAGAACATTTAACAGCCAAATATTTCTTTGCTTGTCTGTTGATTTGTGGTTGTGTGCAGAGTGTGTTTCAGCTCACTGACCAGAAGTGAAAGTGTAGATTGTGATGTGGTTATTTTTGTTGTTGAAGTTTGTCCGTTTCATGACCACAGTGTTTCCTCCTTGATGCTGTGTGAACAACACCCTGTTGTTTGTGCAGAAGCTGATGACAACAGTAGTAGTAATGAGGCTATAGATGGACTGTACAGTAGCTACAGCCAGCATGTGTTAGTGGCATTGAGTGGGCGTGCCCTCATTGCAGTCAGGATGAGAGAAAACACTCTGAATTACAGCAAAGCATCAGGTTTAAGACTTTTCTTCTTTGCTTTTATGTTTTTTTTTGTTTTGTTTTGTTTTGTTTGTTTTGTTTGTTGACTTTACCGAAAATGACAACAAAAACTTTTTTTTTTTACAGCTTTAATAATCCTGCATATGTAGCTTCAGTACCAGTAAACTATACTGCACAGTGTAGAGTGAAACTACTCCCTGAACAAACTCTGTCACCAGATTTCAGAGATTATAGAGGACTGACCTTCTCCCTCTGTCTCCCTGACTCTGACATTGTCGCCTCTCTTTCCCATGATTCCTTTACTGCAGGTTAACAAAGGACGCTCTCCCGGTATGCAAGGACACAGTCAACAATGCATAGTTGCCAACTTGGATGTTCTGACCTCTCTACAATAATCCAGCTACATTTGTGACCACAGGCGGTAATTTGACTGCCAGGAAACCACGTCACACCACTTAGGGGACACTTACAAACATTTTTTTTTTTTTTTTTTTTTTTACAGTAAAACATTAAGCAAGAAAAATTAATCTTAAAACTCTCTTTCCCTCCTCCTGAAAGTCCTCAGTGGAGAGCAACGTGCAACAATTGGACGTGAATGTGTTAAATAGTGGCTTTTTTTATCACAATGATCAGTATTTTGCCTTTCATGTATTGTTTCTTTCGTGCTTTGTCTGTTTTTATTCCTTACTGCCAATATTACCGGTAAAATATACAGTATTTTCTGTCTCATCGAGTCAGCCTGAGGGAAAAGTATTTTTGTGTAAAAAAAAAAAAAAAAACCCACTGCTGTTGCTACAAAACGTTCCCTGTTTGCTGATTCATACTGTTAAAGAGTGCGTGGTCATCTACAAGTGCATTAAGTCAATACTCTTCTCCAGCCCTTTACAGGTATGACTGCTCGTAGTTTCTGCTGATGGCTTATCTTCAGCTCAAAGCCTCTTTGTTATTTTACACTGTGTGACTCCCTCCAACTGCAGCTTTTAATGGGGAAATATCCTGTTGAGGATTGTAGGCATGCATGACAGAGAAGGCCACTCCTTTTTCATGCCTGTGCAGAGCCGGTTAGGACTAATGGAGAAAGAGTTTTTATTCAGAAACTGATTGAAATCTCAGAGTGTGAAATCAGGAGTCTTCTGTCTGTGAGACGTTTGATAAATTACTGCCTGTTGCTGAAACAGCTTTCCAAAAGCTGGTACTGATAAGATGTCCGTCGCACCATAGATAGTCACTGTCTGGTTGCCAGTTTTGGCTTGTTGAATCTAAGCAGTCATTACACTGATCTAAATGTAAGTGCCACTTTCTGTTAGTGTCAGTTGGTATTTTGCAGAATCTTGCACTGTAAATATGGGAGTACAGAATACCAAAAGATAATATTTTCATGGAATGCCTTTTGTAAATATTTCATATAAGGCTGTAGTATTTTTATTTTGCTGATGAAGCTTTGAATAAAATTTCAATAAAGAAAATATCTTGATATGTCAGTCCATCACTTTTGTCCAGAGCTAAATATCTCAACCGATATTTGACGGCTTGCCATGTAATTTATGTTCAGACATTTGTGGCCCCTTGATGATGGATCCTAATGACTGGTAATCCTCCGACTTTTTCTCTAGTGTCACCATGAATTCAAGCAAAATGTCTCGACAAGAATTTGATTAATTGCAATTAAATTCGGTTCAGATATTCAAGGTCCTCAGAGGATGAATCCTCATGTCTTTGGTGATCCCCTGACTTTTCCTCAGGTGCCACCAACAGGTTGATATTTGTGCTTGTTGATATTGTGTCTCAACAATTATTAGATGGATTTTTCCATGAATAGCAATAACTAGTCTTGAATATGATGTTACATACTGTGTGTATATTTATATAACTCTTAACAGCTACACTTATTCATTTTGCAGATACCTTTATTCAAATCAGTGTACGAGGTACAATGAAACCACAGAAGAACAAGGAGAAGCCACAGAAATAAATTTGATTAATGTGTTTATCTGTTTCTGTGCAACTGTTAGAACGATGGCTTTGTAATATTTTCAGCTTGGTGTAAGTGTAACTCCAAACCTTTTTAAAGTGACATTTAAATCCGTTTAGAATGATAGCACCATTAATACAAAACAGCAGGTTTAAAGTGTGATACATCTGTCCAACATGTGTTTCCGTCACTGTACACTCTCTGTTTCAGCTCGTACGTCTCCTGCTGTAAATCCACATATGAATCTGCTCCTTCATACTCTTTGAGCTCTGCATGTCTCATAGTCACTTATGAAAAGCTGGTGGAATTCAAACCAGAAGAAGTTCTGGGGGAGAAAGGACAGACCATCCATGTAAACCAATGAATACAAATGAGAAACAAGTCTCTTACTCCACTCCTGCTTTTCATTCTCTGTCTCATTAGATTTCCAGACAGTTGTTCTGTCTGTCACATTGTCCTCATCGTCACTCCTGTCAGGCTGGTCAGGCACTGCTGACTAATCACTGACATTTTCATAATCAACTACTAAGGAAATGCTGATTTACAGTTTACACATGTACTGTAAATCAAGCCTGTTGTCAAAATGTTCTGCCTTTTGTTTGGTAGTAATTTGAGTCTGGAACATCATACCTAAAGGCTTGTCCAGTCATGTTTTTACAGCCTCAAAAGTATATTTTACCTTTATTGTCTCTGTTGCCTTATTACAGCTCTTCACTGGTGTTAAACAAAAAAAACAAACAAAAAAAAACTAATGACAGACTAGAAACTGTACAGACCTCCGTGACCAAGATTTTCACCAGAACTTCACACCTGTTAAAGCCTCCTTACACTGGCTCCCATACAGGTCAAGGACTGATATTTATCACATTCAAAAGCACACCCCACCGATTTTACGTGTCAATGTCAGTTTGCTGGTTATGTTTAGTTCTACCCAGCGTCTGAAAACAGTTTTTAAAATGTCTTCTGTGGTTCTGGAGGAGCTTTGTCATGTCTGAAACCCTGCATTACGAACAGACCAGTCAGGGAGGCTCTAATAAAAACACTTTCAATTTTGTTATGGGACATTTTGGATCCAATACTTTTGGCCTTTTCCTCATGGCCTAATTAAAATCTAGTGGTCATGTGAGGCAGCATCAGTCTTTACAGCAAATGCTACAAAACGACATGTTTACGTTTAAGTGACAAAACCTGGCTGTAGTGATTGTGACAGGAGCGAAGGAACAAGTGAGGTGACATTGTTATAGAGTGACAAAGTCTGTGTAGAGATGGACTGGGTGGGTGGATGAGGTTGACAACCATGACCATGATTGTTCTATAACCTTAACCATGTGCTTATTATTGTAACCATGATGACGATGGTCCTCTAACCTTGGCAAAGTACTTATTTTAACCCATGATCCCCCCCAAACCTAACAAAATTGTTTTTGTGCCTTAATCTAACCAAACCTTTACTATGGGATCGCCACATTATAAAAGGGTTAGTTATTTCTGAGTAGTGATTTTTAACAGTTGCGCTAATTCAGGAAAAGTTCCTATGGGTGGTATCAGGTGGTCAGGACAAATGAACTGTAGTATGTGGTCATTTGGGTTGGAGGACTTGGTGATATGAAGTCTGTGCGTAGCTTGTTCCAGGGTCAGAGAGGGAACAGACAAAGTTTTGGAGGCTGTCTGAAGTCTGGCTGAGTCAGTATCATCTTTTCAATCTTCTCACCCAGCTCACAACATTAGTAAGCTACCGTCATTAGCATTTCGACCGTCAGAACATGACACAGACTTTAGATAAATATTTTTGAATATATTTTGTCAGTTTGTCAGTTTAAACTGCTGATTGCACACTGACTATGGAGATGTGTGCATGTGTGTGCGCATGCATGCAAATGTGCATGTCTGTTAGCAAACTGTTTGTAGAGCCATTGTTTTTTGCTGTAGTATTATATTTGGTATTGAGAATCGTGGAATTTAATTGATATTGGTACCGACTCCCAGATTTCTGATATCTAGTTTGAATGAGTATTTACAGCTTTTTTTCATGTGATCCTAAGCTTACTATTTTTGGATTTTGAACTGTTGCTCAGACAAGACAAGTGAACCTGATCATATCACATTGGACTTTAATTGTGATGGACATTTTTCACTATTCTATGACATTTCATAGAGCAAATTAATTGATTTATCAAGAAAATAATCTACATATTAATTGATACAGAAGGAACTTTTTTAATACATTACCTTGTTTGAAAAACTTTTTAACTTCATGAAATGAAGATTATTATTATCAATACACTGTAAACCCATAAAATGCAGATACACTTTTACCCTTGACTTGAATAATACTTTCAGACAGATGTGCTACAATAGGAGGTGAAGGGTTTTACTGACTGTGTGTGAAGGCAGCATCACCCCACACTGTGCCAGATACTAGCTGAACTGGTTTACATGCAAATAAAACAGTAATGCTTGTCACCCAACACAACTTTGGCAAACACTATGTAATGGTAATGCAGTGACCAAAAAATCTGAGCCTGCAGCATGCAGCACTTGTTGTTTAGGCATGTATGCCATAGTGAACAGGAATGATGTGATGTGATCCCCTGACGCACACATTCATAACATCATATTTCCAGTGACCCATCTCTCTGAATTTACCAAGCTTTGTTGACTGAATCACTGTCTGCCCGGCAGGCAGTGTTCCTGACTGTCACACTCTATCAGCTCCATTTCACAGCCGCACCAGCAGCCGTGTTTGTTTGCCTTCAAGAGCTGTGATGTTACAGAGCATCGTCTGTCTGTCGCAATCATCGCATTCAGTCATTCTTGGGCAATCTTCGACTGGAAAACACATAATACACCAGGGAATCAGTGCGTGTAAGAGTGTGTGAGAGTGCCATTATGGGAGACTTCACAATAGTTTGGAGTTTGGTCCTTTATAAAGTTTTGATGAGCAATTTGAACCGTGTGAAACTTTCCCCTGCCTCTTATGAAAGATTGCCTCTTGCACCAATTGGACAACATTTGATAGAGGGTGATAGGGCTGCAGCTACCACTGAGAGCACATCTCTGTTTTAATATGGGAATTCAGAAGTATAATGTACATTTTATAATTTTATAATGTTTCACACAGTGGGGTTTTTAAAGGCACACAGTAAATCATCTTAAGGTGTAAAACAAGGTGTTTTTACTATTGAAGAACACATGGGAAGTTTGCTAACTGATGATGTTTCTTCAGAAATTTGATGAGTTGAGTGAATGAACTATTGAGAATTCATTCAACTCATTAAATTTATGAATAAACATCAGCTTATTCGCAAATTTCATTGTCTGTAAGTTCTGAAGCGATCTAAAAATAAAAACTATACATTTTGAGTTGAATTAACTTAAAATTATATGTCAATTATAAATGTAAAAAAATTAATAGAATATTTTACAAATGATTTCCAGGTCTCTTTAAAATTATCTGCTGTGGTGTGAGTTTGTGGAAATATTAACATATGAGCTCAGCATTTCTGACATCCTAGCTCAAGCCCTGCCGTCAACACATACAACACTCAGATATATCCAGTATAATTCAGTGTTTAGCTTCACTGACAAAACGACTGAAACAGCAGGCATAGAAATCATAGAAAATTCCAGACAGGAGTTCAGATGTTTGTGAGGAATCACTTTCAGAAGCAATTTCCATAAAAGCACATACAGCTACAGCGGCTGTCAAACCTTTATTTGAGTGTGTTTAATAACAAAGTGAGGATATTTACAGCTATCCTTTGTTTCCAGGGTCTGCTTTTCAGTTTTCATTGACTGGATGCCAGCTGCAATTCCACACTTCTCAGG